CCCGTCACCACTGAGCCTGTAATGAGCGTCAGGATGGGGATCTGTGAGCTCCTCCAGGCTCCGAGCCTGCACTGGGCGGAGGTGTTTCCAGAGGGTCCCCACTCCACACAAGAACGGGCTTTCTGTTTCAGCTGCTTGTGATTGCCATAAATCATGACCATTGTGTGTGCGCCTGTGTGTGCATGTGTGTGCATGCAGCCGTGTGTGGCCGTGTGTGTGCATGGTGTGCCCCTGTGCACGTGCCTCTCTACAGAAACAGGGCGCTGAGTCAGCTCTGTGTCCTGAAGGAGGGGCGGGAGAGCTTCCACCCCGGCCAGAGGCAGGCAGTGCCCAGGCTGCTCTCCTTCCTGCATGCGCAGAATCCATTAGCGAGCTGACGACAGATGCCCAAGTCACCGCCTCTGTGCACTGGACAGCCAGCGGCCGGCTGTGCCATTAGCCCTGAAAGAACTAGCCCAGCAGAGAGCCACAGATTAGAAAGAAGTGCAGGGAAGTTCAAATGATGTGCAAAGAACAGTGTCAAGGTTAAGAGAATTTTTCTATCCCTTCGCATCCCAACAGCATTTCTGCTGAGGGTGATTCATGGGGTGGGGGACCTGGCAGGGGACTTGGGGGCCTGGGAGGCCAACTGGGGGTTCAGAGCAACCTTCAGAGGCTCTGAGATTCCCAGGCTCTGCCCAAGACTCCTTGGAGCAGGCTTCTGAGCGGGTAGCCAGTGGCTTCCGTCTGCAGAGAGGCTCGATCCTGTGGCACGGTGGCCTCCAGGAGCTGCCCTGCCGGAGCCTCATGAGGAAGCCACAGGCCAGGCCACCTTCCCGTTCCTGGCCCCTCCCTCGGCCACCCAGCACCCGCCACTCAACCCTGTCAGCCTCCCCTGAGGCCCCCAGTGGCCCAGGACTATCACGGCTAGGTGACTTAAGGCCTAGTGTAGACCCCAGGGGTGGCCTGGCTCCAGGCGTGGCTGGACGTGGCATCCATTCTGGCCGGGGATCCTCCATGCTGGCTCCCGGCAGTGAGGGACAGGGGCTGGGCTGCCTGTGGCCACGTCCTCGTCCCCAGGCTCCTCTGGCCAGTGCTTCCTTCCAGGGACATGGGCGCACGGGGAGCTTTGGCCAGGACGAGCTGGGTGACCTGGGCCTCCAGGCTGGGGAGCAGGGATGGGGACTTGTGAACCCGCCAGGCCTGCTTTCTGGCTTCCAGAGCATGCAGAGTCCTGCACACCCAGAGCAGGGCGCAGGAACCCTCCTGCTGGCCCTACGGTGGGCTCCGGACACCCCGGGCAGTGCAGCTGGGGGACAGGGTGGCCTGGGGCTCCTGTGAGTGCTGTCACCTCTCCCGTGAAGTGGAGGCAGTAACAGGCGAGAGGGGGCCAACTCTACACACTGCTCTGCCCTCTCTGGAATCAGAAATGGCCCAGGCCTCCATGCGCTGTCCCGGAAGCCAGGCTGAGTCAGGCCTGTAGCACCCCAGCCAGGGCCACCTTGGCACGTACCCCACCAGGGCAGAAGAGTCACAGCCTCTGTCCTGCGCCTCCTGTTGTCAGTCAGAGTGCCCAGCGGGGCCCAGCACATGCCCACAGGTGGGCTCTCACCTGTTCCCTCTCCCCGGTGCCGCCATAGCTCACTCAGCTTTCGAGGAGAGTCAGCCTTCACCTGCACCTCTCACGTGAATCGGCAGCAAATCTCAGCTTCTGGGAGGGAGGAGGGAGGGGTCCCAGGGCACCCACCCAGGAGGGCACCGCTCCGTATCTCTGGGGGCCACCAGGAAGTGACCACCTGTGACCCCCGAGGGCCAGGGGCCTGGTGTGCGGGGCCCAGGCTGGGAAGCAGGACAGGAAGGAAAGGCTTCCGAGGCAGAGTGGCCCCATCCTAAAGGCTGAGAAAGGCTGGCCTCGAACTCTGAGCTGGAGCCCTGGGTCTCTGTGTCCAGCAGGGACAGGGACAGACAGGGGCCCGTGAGCAGTGCTCTGTGCAGGGGAGCAGCCGGCCACATCCACAGCTGACCTGCTTGAGGGAGCTGGAGTCCTTTCGCAGCACAGGGAGGGCTGGAAGGGCAGGAGGCCGCCTCCACACATTGCTGTCGGTGCGGGACGTTCCTGACAGAGCGCCCGGCCCCCTGTAAGGATGCCAGTGGCAAGGGGTGTCATCTGCACCCTGGCCGTGGGAGCCTGTGCCCGCGCTCCTCTGACCTGCCATCCAGTGACTGCAGGGAGAAGGGCCCGGGCAGCTGTGCCGGGAGGGAGCCCACACCCTGGAGTCACAACCAGCCCCAGAGAATGTAGGGGACAGAGCCCTGCATGATAACAGCAGCAGGCTCTGCCTCCACACAGGTGAGGACAGGGAGACACAGACACCCAAGACAGACATGGAGACAGGCCGGAAGCCCCCGTCTGCAGCCCCACCAGATGGGTGCAAGGGGTCTGCGAGCAGGGGCCAGTGCTCCTTGGGTGGAGGCCCGCTAACCTCGGTCCAGCCTGCAGGGCTTCGCAGCTATTCTCTGTGGCTGGGACGGAGGGGCCTGATTTCCTCGGGAAGGGCCCCATGTGGAGCTGGGGCCCGAGACTGCTCTCCTGGGGGATGGGAGAGCTGCCCCCGTGACTGACTGTCAGCCTTTGTGGCCTCCTCCCTGCACCCAGTGTCCTCCACACCCCCAATCCTGGCCAGGCTGCTGGTGGGCCATGGCACTGGGCTGGGGCCACCCTGGATTTGGGCACGGCAGGCAGGGACCTTCTGGGAAGACCTGAGGACCCTGGAAAGGCCGCACCTGATCCGAGAGAGGACATGGTGTGCAGGAGAGGTGTGCCCAGGACCCTACCTGAGCCCTGAACAGACAACAGTAACAGATGCCCGCTGCAGGTATGGGGCCCAGGGTGGAGGGGCAGGCAGGTGCCGAGGGTCAGCCTGGCCCTGTTGCCTGGTTCCTGGGCTCAGAGCAGGTGCAGGTGAAGCATAGGCTCCTGGCTATACCTACAGGATGCACACAGCCCAGGGCTTTAGGGTGGAGAGAAAGTTGGGATCCCAGTGAAGCCAGGGGCCCAGCAGGGCCTCCCCCGCCCTCAGCTCACAGCAAGCGAGCCAGTGTGCTGTGATGTCAAAGGAGTGTGACGACTCCCATGCGGCACCCCAGATCTCCTGTGCCTTGCTCTCGGGCCCTCACTGCCCACCTTTCATTGGGAACCCAGGTCATTGGCAGTGCCAGCTGGGAGCAGGCTGAGTGGGTGTAAGCAAGACCAAGACTCCCACGCATGCTTGGGGGTGCAGCTTTCTGCCCTGTCTGGAGGACCAGGACAGGGACTTGAGGGCCGTTATGTAGAGCCGTGTGCCCCTCCTTGCCCCAGGCTGGCGTCGAACTTTGTGAAAGCACTCTCTGAGCAGCAGTCTGTGCATGTGGGGGGACACTGGGCATCAGGGGCCAGGCCAAGGCCTCCTGGGGGGATGTGGGCTCCCGTCTCTGCCTGCCTGCTCTCCCTCCAGCCCCGTCCTGTCCCCGATGGGCTGAGTTCCCAGAACTGAGGCCTGCAGCCTCTGAGTGTCCAGAAAGCTGAGCCCGGGCATTTCCACTCAGAGACTGGGTTCTAAAGGCAGGTGCTGCCACAGAGGGTGCCCGGGGGCTCCTGGAGCCCACAGTCTTGGTGGCCAGGGTGCTGGTCCACAGACGGACTCCACAGTGCTCTCAGGGACCCTGAGCACCAACGCTGCCTCCAAGGCCTACATTTCCTTGTCAACTCTGAGTCCTGGTGGCTCTGGTCACTCAGGAAGGCTCTGTGCACATCTGGGGGCCACCTGAATCATTCACAAAGCATCCAGCACTCTGGGCAGAGGCAGCTGCTCCAAGCCACAGTGGATGGGCTCCATCCGGGTCCTACTGTTCATACAAAGCATGCAGGATAGGAGGTCCGTGGTGCCCCAAATCAGCCAGCACCATGTTCACCTGGATTGTTGGCACTGCCCTGCCTGACTCACTACATCCTTTGGCTTCCATCCATGCCCACCTGGGTGTATCTGCCCACCTGGACGCAAATGCCTGCCTGGGCACCCTTGCGTACCTGAACACCTGTACACAGCTGAACAGAGCTGCCCACCAGGGCACCCCTGAACGCAGCCTCTCTACTCCCAGGCCTCAGCATGGCGGTGGCCTCAGCCCCCACCCACCAGCCTGCCTCCCACCCGCTGCCCGCTCTGTGCCCAGGAAGCCACCCAGGATGCTGCTGGATTCCCAGGCTCTGTGATCAGAACCACAGCCAGCACCGAGCAGCGCAGGCAGAAGGCCAAAGGCAGGACCCCACCTGCAGCTGCCACCCATGGTCCACCAGGCCAGGCCTTCTGGAGAAACCTTCTCAGAGGGGGGGACATGGTGCAGATCAGAAAACAAGCCTGAGAAGCTGCCACCCCACCTGTCACAGTGGGTTTAAAAGACAACAGCAAGAACAAAAGAAAGCCAAGCCCCAGCGAGTTCTCGAGGGCGAGGGCTAGGGCCACGTGGTTAGAAAAGCTGGGCCTTTGCATGTCACCAGGTGTCAAACTGAAACTTCCCAGTTTTAAGGAAATGGCATGGTTTTCTTCCTTTCAGGGTGATATGCAAGCTGGTGTGAGCATGCATACAGCACAGGCGTGCACACAAGGGGACGTGCACCCACGGACACACGCAGGGACGTACACCCAGGGACACCTTTACCTTAGAAAGCATTTTTTCCTAGCCCAGCACCCGACCATCCTTAGCAGAGGGCTCTGTGCTTAGATACAGCGGCCTCTGCTTTCTCACAGCTGGGACAGCTTCGCCGGGGAGGTTTTGCAACACTGGAGACTCGTTTTATCGCCTGCTCAGGGCAGCTATTTGCTCGGTGAGAAAAGAAAGCGCTGTCCTCCATCTCTTCAGCAGGATGTTGGGCAGCCCAGGGCCATGCTGATGCCGGGGCCAGCTGAGCCCACGTGCCCATGTGCGTTGTCCGTGTGTGACCTGTAGCCCGCAGCCCTCTGACCCTTGGTGTTCTTCCCTGACAGATCTCTGAGGACCTGGGCAGTGAGAAGTTCTGTGTGGATGCCAGCCAGGTGGGGGCCGGCAGCTGGCTGAAGTACATCCGAGTGGCATGCTCCTGTGACAACCAAAACCTCACCATGTGCCAGATCAACGAGCAGGTAGGTCCGGCCTTGGACACGGGGCCTCTGCCCCTGGCGCTGGCCCTGGGACCTGGCGCACGGTGAAGGTCAGCTGGGTTTGAGAGTCCCGTCCTGCCATGCGAGTGACCGTTTGACGCTTGGCCCGAGCTGGCTTTCTGGGGAGCTTAGCTTCCTGGGTCTGCTCGGTAGGAGCCGTGGGTCAGCAGACCCCAGGCCCACAGTGCTTGTTGTGGGTTTATTTTCATGTCCTTGTGCTTGTGAGGCAAGCGGCAGAACCACTGAGCTAAATCCCCGGCCCCGAAGTGCTTGTTGTGAAGGATGATGGTTTTGAGAAGAAGAGCAGTCGAGCAGCGAGCAGGTGGGATCCCAGCCCCCAGGCCGACCTTCCAGGCAAATGCTGTTGCCTGCTAGACATGAGGGTCGGGGTGAACATGCCAGATGCCTGCCTGCAGGGTCTGCTGGCCAGCAGGAGAGCGGCTTGGGGCTTCCTCATCCCGGCCAGGCTGCCACGCAGCTCCCACGGCCTGGAGCCTGAGTTGCGGCCACAGCCTGCCCAGCCCGCATGGGCAGGGCCTTGTCTTGGCACTAGGTTCTAGCCACCCGGAGTCTTCCGAGCATGTGGCTCCAACTCCAGCCCAGTTACTGCTAGGGCTGGGGGCCCCTTCCACCCTGTTCCCAGCTCCCGGGGCCTCGGACCCCCACCGGCTCCCTAGTTCCTCGAGCCCTGTGGCTTGTCGAAGCCACCCCAAGCCCACAGGCTTCCCAGGAGACCAGAAAGTTTCTCCCAGCTCCAGAAGGCAGCTGGCTGCCACTTCCTCCCCTTAGCTACCAGTTCGCAGCTGGCCCAGAGACCGGCTATACTCTGGCCAGCCCAGTGGCAGCTTCACACCGTGACCCCCAGGCTCTGGGTCCCTCTGGGATGCCAGAACTCCCAGCCCCTTCTGAGAGCTGTTTGCTTTTGCTAGACCTTAGGGCTAGGTGTGCGATTTCATTTGCAAGAAAAGATTCCCTTGGTTTAAAAAATGATCGTGAAGGGCCAGGGATTTAGCTCAGTGGTTCCGCCGCTTGCCTCACAAGCAGAAGGACCCGAGTTCGATCCCCAGCACCAAAAAACAAAACAAAACAAAACAAAATGATCGTGAAGACCATGTAACAAAGGCACATTCTCCAGGAGTCACACAAGCTGGTAAGCGGCTCCAGCCTTTGACTTCAGAGAAATACTTTGCATTCAGAAGTTCAGCAAGTGAACCCGGGGAAGCCCAGCAATGCTCCTCACTTGGCTCCGTATCCTTCGCAGACTTTGGGCCCAGTCAGGACCAGGAAGTTGGTCCCACGAGACTCCAGACACCAGGCAGTTCCAGACAAGCACAGATCTGACCCCAGTGGCCTTCAGTTAGAACCACAAATTTTGAGAAAGAAACTTCTGGTTTCAAAAATATAATACAGCCAAAGAATTAAAGTAAAAGGATAACTTTAAACATTAAAGCAAAACTAAAAAAAAAATAATAATAACCTTCCTGCTTCCAGATGAACATGAAATCGAGTGAAGGAGTCAGGGTTTCACGTTCACGCGAGCCTGCAGGAGTCACAGGTGCAGCCCGGCCTGCTGGGAGCCCGGGGACAGCAGCAAGGCCAGGCAGGACTGCATCTGTGAGATCCAGGGGGGAGGACGCAGGATTTCATTTAGGAAATAAAGGCTTATAGGACTCTAAGCGAAACCAAAGCAAGAAGGCAGGTGTCTTTGTGAAGCAAGGTTTTCAAACAGAAGTAATCTCAAGAGAAGCCTGTCCTCAGGTGAGCACAGTGGCACACACCTAATCCCAGCACTCAGGAGGCTGAGGCAGGAGAATTTCAAGTTCAAGGCCAGCCTGGGCTACATAGCAAGACCCCACCTCAGAGGGAGGAAAGAAGGGAGAGAGAGAGAGAGAGAGAGAGAGAGAGAGAAGCCTGTCTTCAAGAATCTTTGTTTTATTATGAATTTTTACAGAAGCTTTTATTTGAGCTCCACTTGAGGTCCATGTGGGAGCAGCTACTTTGCAAACTGTCCATCCAGTGTCAGGACCAGACAGTGGAAGCACCTGATGCCAGGAAGGAGAGCGACAGCCCCACTCTCTGGCTTACTCCCTTCAGTTTGACCCCACCTGTGTCCCTCGCTGCCCATGCTGAGCTCCATGCTTACAGAGGCGCTTGTGGCCTCTGCTGGCCCCTCTCCCATGCAGCCTCATGGGGTCCTCACCCTGGTTTCCGCCCATGGGCCCTGTGATGGCTCTGCCCTCCCAGAGGGAACTCGGGGTGCACATTTAGGCAAATGCAACCCCTGAGAGGTCCACAGAAGAAAGTCCTCTGTCTGAGCAGAGGGAGAGAGGAGCCCCATCCTCGGGGACATGCCCTCCTAGCACGGGGACACCAAGTATTTTGGTCCCCCAGAATCCCGCCAGTGTCCCCAGAGCTGTGCCTCTGAACTTGAGAAACCGCACGGCAGTGGCCTCAGAAGCGCATGGATGTGGGGGAGGACACTGCGCTATCCGGGAAGGGGGAACAGAGAGGTGCCAGCCGCTCTGCTTCCAGCCCAAATCCCAGCTCGGAATTTCAGCTGAGGAAAGTGAGCAATTCCAGGATGTGTTTGCTTTTGAATAATAATGTTCAAAATCTAATAATACGAAAAACTGCTTTCAGAAACCCATCAGTTCTCAGGACCTATTTGCTGCTTGAACGAAGTGGCTTTCAGAAATCCCTCTGGAGAGGGAGTACAGACTCCCACTCCTGGTTAAATGGTCTCCCAGGGCCAGAGCTGCTCTCCAGGTCACCCGAGACCCAGCGCGAAGCACTTCCATTTCCTGGTCCTAATGGGGAGGCACACAAGCTGCTGTGACCCTCTGTGGGGTGAAATAAAAACTTTCCTCAAATATTAATAATAAAAAACATTTTCAAAGACAGGGTTTCCTTGAGAAGGAAATATTGCATGATATTAATGGGGTTTCTCAGATTTCCATGATCCCAAGGGCTCCTACCAGGATTTCCGGGTAGCTATGGACACCACATGCCCACCATGTGCACACACGCACACACACACACGGACGCACCTCCACAGCAGCACAGACGCGCCGGGGCAGGTTAGCATCAGAACATCCACACAGAGAGAAGTGTTGAATTCGTCCAGTGCACTCGGCAGAGAAAGCCCCAAGTCACACAGGCAGGAGCCTGGATCTGCAGTTCAAGACTCATGAGCTCAGCCCCAATTCTCAGGAGAGGAGCCAGATGGAAGGGCTCTTGGTGTTTTCAGAGAACGTCCTGGAAGCCACAGTCCCGAGGAGGCGAGCCCTCCCACATGCAGAGGGCTGAGAACACTAACGGAAGCTGCCTGGCACCTGCTCAGACCACCAGCCGCCACCCTCGGCCAGCCCCGCCCAGCACTCCCTTATTGCCTGGACCTGGGAGAAGGCGGCTTTGGCGCCCTTGCAGCCATTTGGGGCTGGGGGACCAGGGTGTGAGCAACAGCAAGCGGGGCCCCTGTCCAGCACATCTCCTGGACACCTCCCTCCGACACCCGCTTCTCGGTCCTTGGCCTCGGACGGGTGCAGGGCAGGTGGCACAGCAGGCCTGCGGGCTCCGTACCCCTCACCCCTGCTCTGTCTCGAACTCCTCACCCCACGGCCGCGGGGCTGCAAGAAAGCGCTCACTGTCTCTGGCTCCCTGCTCCTGCCAGGCGCCGAGATCCCCTCCTGGCTCTGTGACTCTGAGAACCCTGCCCAAGGGAGCTCATGAGAGGGGACAGGCCCTGTCCCTCCTGCCCACCGCAGTCCATCCACAGCTCAAGATGGGGGAGCCAGGCAGCAGCAGAGGCCACACTGGGCCACGATTTCCTCCTGGGCCTGGCCCTGTCACCTGACAGGTGATCTGTGGTTTCTATACATAAAGAGCAGCCACAGGTGGCCCTTCTGTGGCCAGTGATACCCTGCTTCCAAATACAAAGGCTCTCGGGGGCCCATCTGGTAAGAACAAAATGCCCACCATAGATAGGGCAGCCGGACTCTGTACCAGAGTGTGGGGTGGTCGGGAAGCTTGGAGCCCCCGCATCACTGGGTGCACGGGCCATGCTAATTTCCTTTCGTCCGGCTGAGCCCAAAGGCAGGGAAGCACCCCAAGTGCCTGAGTTTGCTCTGGGAGCTTGGGACCGTGCCTCCCCTCCCCAGCCACCAAGCCTCCCTTTCCGGGTGGGGAACGCAGGACGTCCAGGTCACCCCTGGTGATTCTTCCTCCTGCAATTATGAGCAGAAAAGTGGGTTTGAAACGCTTGGGGGACACAGACAGGGTCTGTTCCTAAATCTGTTTTCATGTTAAGAAAAAAAACAAGAGCTTGGAAGCCAAGTGCCCACAGGGGAAGCAGGGCGGCCGGGGCCTCTTCACAGAAAGGCTTTTTTCTCTTTCTCACGTTGCCTCCATAGGGCAAGAATATCAGTGGCGGGGTGGCCAGCAGGACTGGGGCGCAGGGCCGGACTGTGATCAAACTCCCGGCACACCTCCAAGGCTGCTCTCTGGCTACTTGTAGCACCCTCGTCCAGAAGAGCACATCCCTCCTGCCTGGACAGTGCTCAGGGACACTAGCAGGTCCCCACACCCACAGGGGCCAGGGTGCCACACAAAGCCCACAGCCAGAAGGCTGAAGGCACCCAGCCTCTACTGAAGACACTGACACAATGGACCGTGTCTCCCCCAAGCAGGGCAGTCCCAGGGCAGCCCCTCCTCGGAGCTGGAACACGGACGGGCGTTTCTGTGGAAGACATCAACACCACACGGCCCAACGTCCTCGACGAAGACAGCACTTGTTTTTAATGAAAACCCGGTGTTGCTCGGTGGATCGCGGCCTGCAGCCCGAGCCTATTCTCTTCTGCTTTCGTTCCCTTGGCCCCGACCTGGACCCCTCTTTCCTGGCAGGTCGTGTGATCTGCTAGCGCTGGAATTTTAAACGGGGGGCGTCTGACATCCATCATCCTGCTCTGACCCCCTGACATTTCCTTACTCCCTTTACTTTTATCCCACATCATTTTTTAAATTAAAAATCATAAATTTTTAATTTGGCCAGTTCAAATGGTAGCCTCCAACAATTAGGTACAATTTTCTCTTTGAAAATGAGAAGGGGAGGTTAGGGGACTAGTTGTAGCATTTCTTAACTAGTTGACAAAAGACTTTCAAAATATATCAAATTTGTTTTGATTCAGAAAAGTGTTACATGTTGCCGGGCCCCCTTGGGAGCCAACCAGTCCTCATTCTGGAGAACAAAATGTTTAAATTCACAGTACAAGAGCCAGTTGTCAGATCCTGTGTTCTGCTCCTTCTTAATTAAATGCAACCCTTTATTAGAGGAATGTTGACAATTTAACTATGGACAAATAATTTCTATTTTTACAAGTCTGCTCCAAACTGCACAACTAAGAAAGGGATAAATGTATAGCATTTTTTAAACCATGAGCCGCTGGGAAAGAGGCAGAATATATAGCAACAAAATAATAAAGATTTGGCCACAAATAAAATGGCTTCAGTGATCATGGGGAGAGAACATAGCCAATCCCAGGACTGCCGATGAGCCTTTTCCTCCCTTGGCCAAAGGAAGGAGCTGAGGGTCCCCGTGTCCAGCTGGAATGGCTGTCCCCTCGCTCCTGCCCAGCCCTGAGAAAGCAGGGCACCAAAACAGGCCAGGCAGAGGACCGGGGATTTAGCTCAGTGGTTCTGCCGCCTGCCTTGCAAGCGCAAAGTTGGGAGTTCTATCCCCAGTACAAAAAAAAAAAAAAAATGAGGAGGAGGAAGAAGAGAAAAGAAAGGAAAAGAAAAAGGAAAAAAAGAGAAAACAGGCCGGGTGAAGGCTGCACTCGGGAAATGGAGATGGAGAACCTCTTGGCTGGTCCCGCAGAGCCGTCACCCAGGTCTGGGAGCGTCTTTGAGTTGTTTTCTAAACACCAAACACTCGACCCTCAGCCGGCGTTGGAGCACTGGGGCTCGACCCTCTGCAGAGAGACGCGGCTCGTGCTTTGGCTCGGCCAGCAGTTGGTGATGCTCCTGTGGTCCCTGAAGGCTAGAGGCAGTGTGGAGCCCAGCACAGCTCAGAGATGCCCAGAGAACGCAAGAAAAGACCCGGGAATGACCTTGGGACCGGCGTCCCTTCTCGGCAGAACAGGTGACAGGCAGGCTGGGCCACTGGATGAATGGGCTTCACAGCAATCGCTTTAGAGAAATTCAAATTCTGCTCCCCACGACCACGTCTTGGTGACAGAGGCCTCAGAGCCACGCCAGCCTTTGCCAGTTCCAGCCCCGTGAAGTCCACAGTCCAGGACGGTGAGAGACTGGGTTTGTTTTTTAAGTAAGGTGCCGGTAATGACATTTCACCTGCCTTATTCCAGCAAGCCTTCAAAGTTTCTTAGACGAGTCGAGCAAGAGGGAAGATTAAGTTGCGTGGAAGTGCACTTGATGCACTGAGAAAAACCATTTGTTCTGGGAGGAGACAGTGGTAGCTACTGCCTGTGTCCACCCCACTGAGCCCTCAGTGGCCATCTGGTCATCTCAAACCCGGTAATCTGGGTCTATTTCCTTTATTGAAACATCAAAATACTTAGATGGAGTAGGAATGAAAATTGGAGGCAGGTCTTGTAGACAAAAGCAGTGTCTTTCCTTGTGAATTGATCGGATATTTATAAACATACTCCAGGAACCCTAAGGAGACAGCGTGTAAAAGCTGATGGCCAACGTCAAATATTTCTCTGTCTTTCAGATTGTGTGGGGGATGCTGATCATTTTCAGTACACAACTTCCCTGAGGCAATTTCTCTCTCTCCCTTTTGTAGAGAGGGTGGCTAGTTATTTGTCCTCGGCATTTGTGCCTGGCACGTTTACCTCCAAGGACCTCCTCTTTGTGTCTGGAAAGTGATAAAGAGGAAGAAAATAGCCGGGTCACGCTAAGTATGGTTATAATTCCGAGGGCCTCTGTTCGGAGGTGTTTGCCCAAGTTCAATAAGGCCATTGTCACCGGGAGAGAAGCGGAGCAGAGGAAGCCGGGGCTCAACTGCAGGCTCTGTCTGTTTGGCATCGTTATTTTTTAAAGCCGACATTTATTGGTGCTAGTAATCATAGCTGTTGCTGAGAGGTTCCCTCCCTTGGATCCCAGGGAGGAGAGGGCTCCAGGACTCCACATGGCTCTGGGGCTGGAGGAATTCAGGCTCCAAGGTTTCTTCTTCCTTGAACACATTCTCCCTCCTTGTGAAAATTCAGCCCCAGTCTGTCTGGGGGGCTCAGACTGCCATGGCTCCCGCTGGATATAGGGCAGGACCTGAAGGGCTGCTGATCATTTACTGAAATTATTCCCCATCCACCCACCCCCACGACCCACCAACCTGGTCCCGTCAGCCTTTGTCCGAAGAAGTTGTTGGCTCCTCAGCCAGTAATTGGCTTTCCCAGCTCCTGCCAGAAGCCCTTTTGTGCCATTCAGAACCAGTGGCACTCTGGGCCTTCAGGAAGGCAGGGTCCCTGTTGCCCCCTGAACCCCTCTGGGGGAAGCGGGTCGGAGTGCCCACCCCTCCCTGGACCCTGAGATTAGCTCCAGTAGTGATTCATCTTGTCCTAGTTCAAAGTCCCTGCAGACGGGGCTGCTTCCCTGCATGTCCCCTGGTACCCCACAGGTGCCCCAGGAGGAGCGGGGTGCCCCAAGGGAGGAGGAACAGGAGGGGGAACCTGGGAAAAGGAGAGGACTCCTTGGGAGGAGGGGCCCGGGGCTCCAGGCAGTGTCCACCCCCGTGGCCAGGCTCCCGGCAGGCTCCTGTCCTTGAGCCAGAGTGGGGGGATCCTGGGAGGCCCAGCAAGCTGGGAGTGGAGGTGCCGGGTCCAACGGTCCCTGCAGCCCTCAGAGGGCATGGAAGGAGTGGCAGACTGGGCGGCTGGGCACCAGGAGTGCCTGCCTCCCAGAGAGAAGGAGGTAGGGTGTGCCACTGGGGGGTCCCAGGAGATGGGCACCTGCCGGGGCAGCCCTTGCCCAGTATCGGGGTGCCGGGCCCGTTGGATGTTGGGGCCTCGCTGGCAGGTGGGGCAGCAGCGTGGTGAGCCGAGTGACCTTTGCCCCTCCCCCATCCCCCCTGCTCCCCTCCGGGTCTCACTCTGGGGAGCCGCTGTGCTGGACGGGGTTGAGCCTGGGCTCCCAGCAGCCCCCAGGTTCCCTTCCCTGCCTCTGCACAGAGGTCTGGCTCTGGGTGCAGGTCAGGGTCCTGGGCCAGCAGCAGCGAGAGCTGGGGGCTGTTGGATGCTCACGGTGTGGCTCTGGAGCATCGACCATCACAGGCTCAGGGGGGGCCACAGTGCTCAGTTCAGTCTCCAGTTGGAGGAAGTCGGATGCCAGGGTTTCTGCTTCCTTGAGCAGACTTCTCCCTTCTGGTTAGAATTCAGCCCCAGCCTGTCCGGAGTCCGCTCAACCCTGGAAACCCGCACTGGGGCTCAGGCCAACCATGTCTTCTTGGAAAACGTTCCTGCCTCTGCCAGTCCCTTCCCATCTTCAGCCCTCCTCCATGAGGAAAAGGCTCCTTGGTGGGAACGGCCAGGGTGACCTCGTGCCAGGCCTCCAAGTGGACAGTGGCCTCGCCTGGCCTCGTCCGGCCTGTCCATCCTCGGGCCCGGCTGCAGGCTGCTGGAGCTGCCAGGTTCCTGACCTTGGGGCAGAGCCCCAGTCGCCCACCTGCCCTAGGAGCTGACACCAACTGTGCACTGCCTCTAGCCTGCAGGGCAAGGGCTGACCCGCCGTCCAGCCGTGCCATGAGGAGCAGGCCCCACCGCCAGCAGAGGCCTGCGTCGCTGGTGCCTGTGGGTGCCCAGTGGCCTGCACTCTGCTTTGTGAACTGCCAGCTTCCTCCATCGCAACCACCACTTCAACACCTCTGAGACGTGTCCCTTCAGGGGCCAGGGGGGTGAGCGGCACAGGGTTCAGAGCGCTGCCACTGAGCCCAGCACATGGTCAGCCTCCCGAACAGCCCCCCAGCCCCAGGGCACAGGGGACCCGCTCAGCCCATGACAGGAGGGGAACGGGAGCCTGGGTCCCAGTGGCAGGGCCTCCTGCCTGGGGTGGCTCCCCGGACACCCCAGGCACCGGACACTGACACTGACTGTCGCCTATTTAATTGTGTGCCCTCTGTCAATAGCCCAAGTCAGGATGGAACCAGTTAAAAGGGGCTCCATTCCTTCTGAGCACATGCAGCAGAACTTCCGAGGGAACCTCTCAGTGGCAAGAGAAGCCGGGTCAAGTGGCCTGTGGGCCGGGCTCCCCGAGGAGCAGTGCGGAGGCCTGCGGGACCGAGCGCAGGCCCAGTGCCTCTGCAGACAGCAGCAGCACCGGCCTGACCTGCTCTCTCTGGTCTCTCGTCCTAGATTTACTATAAAGTCATTAAGGACATCGAGCCAGGCGAGGAGCTGCTGGTGCACGTGAAGGAAGGCGCCTACTCGCTGCGTGCAGTGCCGCCCGGCCTGGATGGTAAGATCCCGCCCACCCAGCCAGGTCCCAGACCCAGCCGCTGACAGAGTGCAGCCTGCTTCTCTCCTTCCTTGGGACCCAGAGCTGTGTCCTGAGTTTAAGAAGGGCTTTGCACAATGGCAAGTCGAGGTCAGGTTGAATGATATTTTTGCAGTGTTGGAGCCTCTGGTGAACTTTTTAAACTGTGTCATCATCGTTAGTATCAGCTTTTCCCAATCCTGAAAAAAACAGATGGGATGGGATGGGAAGGGGGCGGGGAGGGGCGGGTCTCCCCAGAGATCGGCGAGTGAGAAGCTCTGTCTCCTGTAAGAGAGGAAGTGGGCATGGCTGTCTTTCAAGGCGACTCCCATCTGTAGTTTAGAATCCAAGGAAGTGGGGGGGAGTTTTACTTGGTGGGGCTTGTTCAGGGCGGCGGGGCCTGGCAGTGGGTTGAGAGTCCTTAAACTGCACCTCCCTCTCCCTTTGTCCCTATACCTGCCCGTCTCCCGTCTGTCCACACACAAGTACCTCTGAGACAATGCTGGAGAAAGCGCCGGCCTTACACAAACCAGGGCTGGGGTTCCTTTCCTTTTATTCTTTTCTTTCTTTTCTTTTTTTTGCGATACTGGGCACTGATTGAACCCAAGGATCAGAGTGAAGACTCTGGAGCTACAGCCCCAGCCAATTTCCGATTTTTGGTTTTCAGACAGGGTCTTGCTAAGTCACTACATTGCCCTGGCTGGGCCCAAATTCTTGATCCTCCTGCCTCGGCTTCCCAGAGTGTTGGGATGGCAGTCGTGTGTCACCACAGCTGGGCTTGGACTCTGAAACACTGGCTTGGGTTCCTTCCTCATGCCGTTAAGCATGGGGTCCTGGACCCGGAGATTGGGCGAAGGCTCTGCTGGCAGCGGGAGGCAGCGCTGGGGCTCCTGTGTGACTGTCCTTCCTTTGCGCGCGCGCGTGTGCGCGTGCGCACACACACACACACACACACACACACACACACCAGTGGACAGAGAAGCTCCCTCTCCTTCCAGCTGTTCCTCGAACTGCAGATTCCTGCCCATGCCAGAGAGGGGGGTGTGGGGTTTGCCTTGCCCTGCCAACAACACACAGACTTAAAAATTACTGCCACTCGCCCTGTCTCTCTGAGCTCCACTCTAATTCCTCAGGGAGGAGCAGCACAGCTGGCCAGGAGCCCGGCAGGAAGGTTCTGAGGCCAGACCCAGAGAAACCTGCCTCGGTTTACCCTTTGGGCCCTCAGCTGGCACAGCAGCCAGTCGTGCCCCTGGGCTGTCGAAAGGAAATCAGCACAGGACAGCGTCACCAGCTGGGTCCTGTCCGTACTTTCTCCTGAAGCTTGGTTTTCATTAGTTGAGAAAAGAAAAATAAATTGCCAAAATCTGAGTAGCAAGAGAGAGGTCTCATTTTCCTTAAAATAATTGTTGGAAAGACCCGTGAGTCTTGGAGAATACACGCGACTCCAGAAGATAAATCTGCTTAACTTGAAGAGAGCGTTCGGCTGTGGGATTTCATCGGTACAATGAAATTTCTTTCTTCCAAAAGGTTTTTAAAAACCTCAGTTCCTGCTCCCCATGGGCCCCAACCCCCAGTACTAAATAACCTGGGTCTACATTTTCCTAATAATCTATCAAACGCTCGTGGGCTAATTGCTTCCCACACATAATAGTCCGACATCAAATGTTTGACTTTTCTTCCCTCAGCTGTCAAGGCTGCTTCTGCTTCTTTGACTCCCCAACGGCCACCCCACCCCCAGCTAAACTCTGAATTGCGCAGAAAGAAAATGTAAACGCGTTCCTCACTAAGATAATTATCATAAAAAAAATCTTTTCCACCGACCCCAGCTAAATGCAGCCGGCCCCTTATCCCTGCAGGAATTTGGAGTGGCTCTGGAGCTCTTTTGAGGCTGGAGTTGAAGATTAGCATGTGGATGCCGATAATTGTGAACCCCTCGGCTATCGGAGCCATTAGGCGCTGATTTATTTTTCTGTTATGCTCCTGCTCGGCCGTGAAAGTTGCTGGTGGAACTTAAGCTAGACAAGCACAGGGCAGCTTTGACAGGCGAGACCCAGGCTGCTCCAGCAGGGCGAGCTTTGGGTCACGTGGAAGGTGGGACTTCCGCCCGGCCCTCGACCCCCGCTGCATCTGCAGGAAGAGGGCTCAGTTTCCAATCGCTCTTTTGTGTGCTTGTGGGGGGAAGGGAGCTCGAGGGGACCACATTCAGGCAGCCAGAAGGAAAAGGAGCCCTGTCCAGGACACTCATGGGGACACGCATGTGCCCCTGCACAGCTGTGGCTCCATTAAGAAATGCCACCCCAAAGCCAGGCCTGGTGGCTCACGCCTGTCATCCCAGCACTCTGGGAGGCTGAGGCAGGAGGATCACAAGTTCAAAGCCAGCCTGGGCCACTTAGAAAGACCTTGTCTCAAATAAAAACAGGCTGGGAATGTAGCTTAGTGAGAAGTCCTGGGTTCAGTCTCAGCCACGCCAAAAAATCAAAAAGTGTCCCAGTAGCCACACAGGTGGCTCGGGGGAGGGAAGCCATGTGAGCCCCTCAGGCGGCTGTCTTTGTTTTGAGTCCTGCGATGGAGTGGGAGGAGGGCGCTTTCATGAGAACCGTGTGCTCTCGGGAGAAGATGAAGAATTGTCAGCATTCAGATCGGCCTTTGGCCTTTGTCGAGAAAGCCTCGAAATGACTACTTTGCCCTCTCCGGAAAGGTCAAGAGGACCCAGGACAGGCGCATGACAGGGTGGGGACCCCGGATGTAGTATTTGGGCGTCGCAGCACCGCGTAGGATTTCTTTAAATGGAATTTCTTGGTCTGGGAAAAAGGAAGCCACTACCCACAGGTCCCAGGTGTGCTCAGGCCACTTCCCCGCCTGGAAGGAGTGGGAGATCCAGGCGGGCGAAGCTCAGGTCTGGTCCAGCCCCTCCACCGAGGGCTGAGGCAGAGGAGGAACAGGGCAGGCTTGTCACCACCGTCTGGGCCTCCTCCGGTTCCTCAAGCGCCGGCAGCACAAATCAGGCTGTGTTCTTTTAAACCCCAAAAGTTTATTTTAAATCTAAATTGCAAATTAGAAGGGAAAAAATTAGTTGATCACTGGTGTGAATGGGTAGAAGCAGCATCTCTCCTGGTCTTCATTTTTTTCTGTTTGTTTGTTTTTGAGACAGGGGCTCACGGCGTCTTTTTTTATCTTCTTGGTACCAGGAATCAAACTCAGAACCTTGCTCTTGCCAGGCAGGTTCGGCCCCTCTGAGCTACATCCCCAGCCCAGGGTCTCACTGTGTGGCCCAGGCTGGCCTCAAACTCGCAGTGATCCTCCTGCCTCAGCCTCTCAAGTGCTGAGATCACAGGTGTGCGCCACCGTGCCTGGCCATTGCCTTTGTTTTCAAACCTCAATTCTCGATTGCTTTCAATTGGGTGCAGAAAAGGTCCAAAAGGCAGGGCACTTTCCAATTTGCCCAGTGCTGGTGGCCCCTCCTGCCTCGGCCTCTGCAGCCCACAGGAGCAGCCCCGGCGGGGGGCCAGTGAGCCGAGTGTGAGGGTGGCTCTCGGTGCTCAGACCTCCAGGCCTCTCAAGCAAGAGTCTGGGCCTCTAATGACAAGGGGAGGCCACAGAGGGGGTGGTGAGCACCCCAAACTCACAGGGCCGTGCTGTGCACCCGTAACCCTCGGTAGGAAACCAGGGCCCAGCCTGCTCTCCATCCTGGGCCCCGAACAGTAGTGGTGGCTGTGACACAGGGCACTGCCCCTCCCCTGGATGAGTCCCTTGGTTGCCCTGGCCACTGTTGACCGGGACAAAGCGGGACCCAGTGCCCCCCACAGGCACGTGCACTGGCACAGGGTCCAATGCATGCGAGCTGTGACACAGTCAGGACGGCACCTGCCTCAGAGGGGGCCCATGCGCCCCAGGGCTGGCATCATGTGCACCTTGCTCCCCACAGACTCCGGGAAGAGGAGGAACTGGGTTGGTAGGCAGCCCCCACAGGCCTGGTGGGCATTCTTCCTGCAGCATGAATTCCCCTGCCCACCTCCCACCCACCCGTGAGCGTCCCAGGGTCCCACTCTGGCCCTCGAGGATGAGTCCAGGGCTTGGAAGGGTTTTCCCTGCTTGGGCATCTGGGAAATGCTCCCAGGCGGCCTTCCCTAGAAACCTGGGCAGAGCCCACCCACCAGGCCTGGTGGCCGTGTGGAGGCTGACGCAAGCCCGAGTCCCAGCTCCATGCATCACGGTCACGTGTGGAGCTGGGTTCCACCAACTCCGAGGTCCTGCTGCCTCTTCCTGTGGTCTTGGTGTAGGCTCAGGTGAGCCATAGGGCCAGGATGCCCAGAGCCAGTGAAGCTGGTGTCTGATGGGCCATGGGTGGCACCTGCCCCGTTGGCCCCACGCAGGCACCAGCAACACTTCTCTGCCACTCTGACATTTGCCCTTTCCTAAGATGCAGCCTAAAGTCGCCCGGACAGGCGGCACCCATATCAGGGTGGACCTTGTCCCATGGCCCCACGAGTCTGCCTTGGGTGTCCGTGACCCGGGTGGGGGCTACGGGTACCATCGTTAGTAGTGCCAGGCATAGCCCAAGACAGCCCAGAAGAGCACCTCTACTTGTAGGCGCAGGGGAGCTTCCTGTGGCCAGGAGGCGACCCTCCCTGGTGACTGCCGTGCTGCCCGGCTGCAGAGTGGCCCAGCCCCTCCTGAGGCCTCTGAGCAGCCCGTGCCCCTGGTGGCCCTTTCTTCCATCCGCCCATGTCCCCTGCCTGCCTCTGACCCTGAGCCTCCGCTCAGGCCTTTGCAGCCAACGTTCAACCCCAACTCACTAAGGCTCTGCTCAGAGTTGGGCGTGGGCCAGTCCTGGCAAGTGTGCACACTCGTCCACTCACAGCACACATGTCCATAAGTGTGCACATGCCCCCAGTCACATGTGCACACACACCAGCACATACCGCACACACGCCAGTCATCACAGACAACACGCACACATATGCATATGGAACCCCCAAATGCACATACATGCACATGGAAACACATGATAATCACACCGACAAAGTGAACACACAAACATGTGCGCAAATACATGCATGCCCCCAGTCACGCATATTTACACACATGCACACACATCCGCAAGACGCACACGCACAGCTGCAATAGGCTGGAATGGACACTCGTGCACACACATGTGCACTCATTCACACAGCTGCACACTCCTGCACATGTGTCCATGTGCATCCACACACATGTGCACGTGCACACACATTCACACAGAGTCATCATTCAGCTCGTTTGGGCAAGAGCTTGGAGCAGGTGTTTTCTCTCCAGGCCGGGTGGGGCGCAGGGTTCCCTGCAGCGGGGACACAGCTCAGGCGAAGCTGCTGTGTGGACAGCTGCGGGGGGCGGGGGCGGGGCTGGGATGGGCCCAGAGTCCCTGCTCCCCCGGGGATTGCAGCTCCGGGCTGATTGTTTGGCTTGGCACTGTGGTCAGGATGCTGCCTCGTAAACTTAATAATAGCTGGCCCCCTTTTAATTTGTTTGACCTTGACGACAATAATTTATTATATGCGTTGGAGCTCTGTCATCTTTTTTTCCTAATTCATAAACAAAGCCCTGGGCCTGGCTCCCTTCTCCACTCCCAGGCCGGGCCTCTGGAGCCCTCCATGGCTGCCTGAGATGCAGGGAGGAGCCGTGGCACTCAGCCTTCCCTGCAGTGGGGAGATCGGGTCCCTCGACCCTGTACAGCCCTGCGCAGCCACCCCTGGGCCCAGGGTGAGGGCCGGAAGCTGGCAGGGCAGGGTAGCCAGGGTGGGCGCAGGCCCCACGGGACAGGGTGGCGACAGGGTCTCTGAGGCCCCAGGGCCCGGGCAGGCCCCCTGCCTACCTGCTGCTCCCTGTCTTGCAGAGGGGCCCACGTTCCGCTGTGAGGAGTGTGATGAGCTCTTCCAGTGCAAGCTAGACCTGCGGCGCCACAAGAAGTATGCATGCAGCTCCGCAGGGGCCGCGCTGTTCGAGGGCCTGGGGGACGAGCTCAAGCCTGAGGGCCTGGGCGGCGGGCAGGCTCACGAATGCAAGGACTGCGAGCGAATGTTCCCCAACAAATACAGGTGCGCCCCGGCGTACAGGTGGTGTCAGAGCCGCAGGTGTCCCCTGGTCGGACATCAAGGGCCCTGCCCCCAGGAAGACCTGCGTATCCCCACAGTCAGGACGCCAAGGGCCACGGCACACACACGACTCCATCCCAGTCAGGGAGCCCGGGAAGGGGTCGCCCAGGGTGCCCTTGTCCCCAGACCTGGCCTCTGCTCCCCTTGGGGCCCCTGGGCTCTATGGGGGAAAACCAGGGGCCTGGTCCTGTGTCCCAGGGAGCCAGGAACTTTCCCCCCGGCTCCTCCTGCCACACCAGTTTCCTGCAGGACAGCCTTGCAGAGTCAGAGCAAAGCCCCACAGGCCACTAACCACTGTGAGGCCGGGGATTTACCGTCCATCCCGGCCCCAGCTCCCCGGGGACAGCAGGCCCGTACCCCGAACAGATGACAGAGACTAAAGCGTGTGCGCAAATTCCCACCGAGGCCCGGCGCGGTGAGCACCGCTAAAGAGGGTCCCTGTTTTCTTTACATAAACACATAAATCACAATTAACAACAGGGAAAAGATACAATCTCCCGATGCAGGAGAAGCAAGCGTTTCTGATCTAAATGGATGGCTGGGCCCCGTAATTAACGGGCCGTGATATATTACTGCTTCGCTCATGAAGATTAACAGTCATCCCGGGGACGGGGCGGGGGGGTCCCCTGAGAGGAGGGGATTAGAAGCTGCTTGTTCAGCCAAGAGAGCCCCCCTGCAGCTGCGCTGCCCCACGCATACAGCCCCACTGGTCTCCATGTGCCTGGCTCACTCGGAGGGGAGGTCCTGGGGTTCCTGGCCTTGCCCCTCTCTGGAGCTCATGCAGTGTTGGAGCTCCTGGACCCCCTTGTTTCTAGGCCACACCTGGCCTCAAAGTTGGGGTCACCCAGAGGGGTGGGCAGGCCGTGGAGGGCTGCAGTCGCCCCAAAGGATCACCCAGAACTAGCTTGATGGGGTTGGGGCCTCCAGTCCTGGGCAGAGGGCCAGCAGAGAGCCCCCAAGTGACCCCTGTCCCCGCGCACAGCCTGGAGCAGCACATGATTGTCCACACGGAGGAGCGGGAATACAAGTGTGACCAGTGTCCCAAGGCCTTCAACTGGAAATCCAACCTCATCCGCCACCAGATGTCCCACGACAGCGGCAAGCGCTTCGAATGTGAAAACTGCGTGAAGGTACCGGGCGATGCGCCTGGCCCTGAGGTCACCAGCGTCCCTCCCTGGGGCTGTGGAGGACGGGCAGGCTCGGATGTGCCGCACACCTCAGAAGGGACAGGGCCAACCCCAGAACCCCAGTCCTCTCCGGGGCAGCTCTGTCCTCTTGCAGGTGTAGGCAGGAAAGGCCGGACGAGCCTCCTGGACCCATGCCCTCATGGGTCTTCAGCTAAACTGGCCTCTGCTGTCTGTGCAGCCTCATGGGCAGTTTTCTCAGGAGTCACTGTTGAGGAAGCTGAGGCTGGGAGTGCGGCCACCTGCCAAGGCCCTCAGTGGGTCAGTGCTGCAGTGGACACCCGGGCCAGCCAGCTCAGCCGAGAAGGGCAGAGGGGGAGGGAAGCGGGGCCCAGGCTTGTGCTCCGGGCCCGACGAGGGTGTCCAGGCAGGGCACAGGCTGACGGCGTCTGCCCCCAGGTGTTCACGGACCCCAGCAACCTGCAGCGGCACATCCGCTCGCAGCACGTCGGCGCCCGGGCCCACGCCTGCCCAGATTGCGGGAAGACCTTTGCCACGTCCTCCGGCCTGAAGCAGCACAAGCACATCCACAGCACGGTCAAGCCTTTCATATGTGAGTTGCCCCAGCCTGCGCCCACCTGCACCCTGTGCTGCCCCTGCCCCTCTCGAGTCAGCTGAGCTGTGACGACGCCAGGCCCCTCCCCATTCAGAGGGCTCAGAGCCCCTTGTGGCCGCCCTGATCTCTGTCCCGCGACCCGGGCCCTGCAGCCCTGCGGGTGCCCTCTGAGGGACAGCGTGGCCTCCGTGTCCCTCTCACTCTGCCCTTGCCCTCCCAGGACTCTTCCCTTGCCTTTCCTGTGCTGGAGGTAGGTAATGGGTGGTGGCAAGGGCTGTTCTTGTGACCCAGAGGCCCAAGTCCCCTGCCTGTCCACTCTGTTCACCCACCGTGGCTGAGCTCCATGAGCAGTGTCCTCTAGGAAGCCTGCGTCCACTGTGTCTGCCGGGCACTGCTGGACGTGGCCCAGGCCAGCAGAGATAAAGTGGTCCCTGTCCCCATGGTGCTCACACTCTAGCGAGAGGAGACAGGCAAGCACTGAACAGGGCAACAGCACGTCAGCCTGGGGAACAGGGGTGCAGGGTTAGGGCCTCGCCGAGAGCCGGCCTGGTGCCGAGAGGGGTGGGTGCTGCCCTGCATGTGTGAGGAGAGACCTGGCAGGGTGAGCCTGGGCACCTGCAGAGCAGACTCGGAATGGGGGTCAGAGGTCACCAGGGGCAGGTCGGGGGGCCCTGTGGGCAGCACAGGAACGGTGGCTCTGGTTCCCAGTGAGTTCAGAGGGCGTGAGCATCGTGCTGAGTCACCAAGCCCTGCCTCCTGCTGAGCCATCCTGTGGTCACACTGCTGGGGTTCTTTAGCTCAGCTCAGGTGGAAATCTGAAAGGGCAAAGTGCCGCCTTTGTGCTGTGCCCAGCTCCCAGCCCTTGGCGTCCCAGCTCAGCCTTGGCCTCTCGCCCAGTGAGGCAGATGGCACAGAGCGAGCAGCACTGTGCGAACAGGCTTTGCTGGCAGCCAGTGCCTGGGGAGGGTTCCCGGGAGTGGAACAAAGCTTACGTAGACAAGAACTGGACTGGCACGCGTGGGTGAGCATCACACGGGGCCCTGGCACACGCCTTCTCAGGGCTGTGCTCTCAGCACCAGGGTTTGCCCTTGGCACAGTCATCCGCATGGTCACACTGGTTCATCTGCTGTGTGCTGTGCGTCCGCCACAGGCAGGCAGGCTGTGCTGCAGGGCTCACAGAAGCCTGGGGGAGGAGTCGCAGCTCCTGCGCCTGTCGCTGGTGGAAATAGTTTGCTGAAAGCAGCGTGCAATCAGTGGGACCCCTCGGAGAGGAAACCAAGGCCCTCCCAGCTCTGTCGCAATTATACACACTCATCACGCAGTCATTACACACATGTCACACAGAGCTGCCACACGTGTGCACTGTGCCAAGTCATCGCACACACCATGGGGATTCATGTCACCACACCTGCCCTCTGCTGTGTCACCACACCTGCCCTCTGCTGTGTCACCACACCTGCACTGTGCTGAGTCATCACACCTGCCCTCTGCTGCGTCACCACACCTGCACTGTGCTGAGTCACCATACCTGCCCTCTGCTGAGTCATCACACACATGCTGAGTCACCACACCTGCACTGTGCTGAGTCACCACACCTGCCCTCTGCTGACTCACCACACGCATGCTGAGTTGTTCCCAAACTGCTGAGTCAGCATTCCCCGTGCTGTATCACACTCAGCTTTACAAAACCCTACAGATCAGGGCTCTACTCTCCAGCAGGCAGAGAAGGAAACCAAGGCTGCTGAACATTTAAGGACCAGGCACTCAGGCCACACTGCAGGGTCCAGATTACGGTTCAAGGGGCCTGGCTGTGACCCTGGGCCAGGCGCCCCAAGCCTCTTGGGCTCCCTCACATCCATGGGGACAGAGTGACTGGGAGCTGGGGACTTGGGGTCAGGGAGTTCTTGTTGGTATGGGGGCCACTTGGCCACCATCCGCCTGCCCCAGAGAGGCAGTGCTGGCTAGCTGGCCATGCCTTCGTCAGCTACCAGGCTGTGCCCCCTTCCATCTGCCGCCCCTAGACCAAGCTTCCAGGCATCTAGCTGGAGACAGCTGAGTTCCAGTCTTGCCCGGGTGCTCAAGTCCCTAGCCGAGGAACCCATCTGCCCACTGACCAGTCCACAAATGCTGCTTTGCCACCATGGACCATCTCCCTCACTGCATCGGCCATGGTGTGACCAACCCCTCATGCCATCCAGAGAAGCATCAGCTGTCTCTGGGAGGCCCTAGAGGTCGGGCTGGGTCAGGGGCCGTAAGCAGGCAGTAAGCAGGAGTAGGAAGGGCATGCATGTTTGTGTGTAAATAAGTAGCTTGGTGTTCTAATGCAAGCTAAGGCTTGGAAAACTGGGGGCTCAGATGTCACTGCCTCTCTGCACTTGCAAATAAGACTTTTCAAGTTCCCTTGGATCATGTCAATGACGTAAGTTCCAGGAACCGCAGCACCTGGATGGGCTGAGCCCACCACCTCTGCTGTGCTGCACGAGCTCCCGCATGATAGACAGAAGCCAGGGACACCTGGCCAGCTCGGCCAGGGTCAGAGTCCTCGGCACCCTGTGCCTTTGACCAAAGGGATTGAGCTAAAAGGAAACCCGAGACGTGGCCCGATGGGGTTTGTGAGCATGTCGTTCAGTGCTGGTGGCACGTGTCAGAGATGAAGTGAGATGTGCAGCTGTGTGCGTCCTGTGTGCCACGGTGCAGCATCCTTTGGGCATGCAAAGGGCCGTAGGCAGCTGGGGAGGAAACTGCAGGCCAGAGAGGGAGCCCAGGATGGCGCCCTCCCAAGGAGGAGAGCTCTGAGCGCTCAGCTCCTGGCCGGGCACTGCACTCAGACCCCACGTCCACCTGCTGCTCACACCTGGGTGCACATCCAAAGCCTCCAGATCCCCACCCCGCTGACCCCAGTCCTAGATGGCGCCCCTCCTCCTGGGGAGCCCGGGTGTGCGCTGGGGGTATATGTGCATGCACGTGTGTGTGTGTGTGTGCGTGTGTGTGCACACAGGAGAGAAGGAGAGAGAGAAGAGGGACGGAAGCAGGTGGCTTTCTCCTCGTGGGGACTTTCAGAAAGGGCCCTAGGCGAACAGGTACGTGTTTCTGCGCGAGGGTGTGTAGTGTGAGGTGTGAGCGAGTGTGCATGTGTCCAGACACAGGCCCTGTGAGGAGAAGTCACAGCCCAGCCAGACTGGCACCGGCCAGGGCCCCTCCCTGCCCTGGAGGTCCATCGGGCAGGCCCCCAGGTCCAGGTCGCTGTCACTGCCAGGCCCTTCTCTGTCCCTGCACAGCCACTCTCTGGCCAGCACTGAGACAGCGGTCATGTGTCCCTGCCAGCCAGGACCAGTCCCCTCTGGGCCCTCGGGGTCCGCAGGCCTCCCTGCAGCCCTACCCACTGCGGGCCCCATTGTGGAAGCAGTGAGGGGAACCGAGTGTCCCCTGTCCAGGCCCAGAACTGGCCCACGGGCCCTCCCCTGCTCCCTGGGGGGCTCAGAGCCACTTCCCAAGCTCAGGGTGACAGCAACAGTGACCAGGCACCGCTGGAACCCTGAGGGACCTGGGCACTGCCAGGTGTCACTTGTGTGCATGCCTGGCTGGAGCGAGGACCTGCCTTTCTCTTCTGTGGGCCAGGCAGGGTGTGAGGGGTACTTATAGACCCTTCCCCCAGCAGGGCCTCTCCCCACAGTCTCCAAAAAGGGCAGATGTGAGTAAATGCGGCAAAGCTTGGCTCCCTTCAGCCAGAAAACAGCCCAACAAGCTGAGGGCCAGGGAGGCAGCGGAGGTTACAGAAATAGACTCAGTGATGAGAGGGCACGGTCACCCCAGAGCACAGGTGCCCAGCTAGGGTCCGGGAGATCGGGCAGCCGAGGACTGAGGAGAACAAGAGGCAGGCAGACATCCTGCTCCCACTGGGGTCCCACCGAGGAGCAAATGCCCACCAAGAGGGCACGGGGCATCCCTGTGCCAGAGCACAAGCACCCACCCTTCTCAGAAAACAGGACAGCGGGCGCTTTGCCGAGGAGGCCGTGTGGGCCCCGGGCCTGGGCCGCTGGGCTGAGCCAGGCCCTGGCCAGCACTGCTGGAAACACACGTGCACCTCCATACACGTACACATGGGCACACGGGTGTGTGTGCTGTGTGTACGTGAACCATGCAGTGCACATGCATCATGCACATGCGTGCACGGCAGTGGGCATGCACCCTGCATACACACACATGTGTCGTATGTGCGCACATGCTTGCACCCACACAGGACAGGCACACAGCTCACAGCTGGCTTCCGCACCCTGGGTCCCGCCTACCAGGCGCAGGGTCCCGGGTCATTTCATACCTGTTTGTCTTTGCTTTCTGCTGATGTTTTAGGTGAGGTCTGCCACAAGTCCTACACGCAGTTCTCCAACCTGTGCCGGCACAAGCGGATGCACGCTGACTGCCGCACGCAGATCAAGTGCAAGGACTGCGGGCAGATGTTCAGCACTACCTCGTCCCTCAACAAGCACCGGCGCTTCTGCGAGGGCAAGAACCATTACACGCCAGGCGGCCTGTTCACCCCGGGCCTGCCCCTGACCCCCAGCCCCATGATGGACAAGGCCAAGCCCTCGCCCAGCCTCAACCACGCCGGCCTGGCCTTCAGCGAGTACTTCCCCTCCCGGCCGCAGCCTGGCGGCCTGCCCTTCTCCGCCGCCCCGCCAGCCTTCCCTGCGCTCACTCCCGGCTTCCCAGGCATCTTCCCTCCGTCCCTGTACCCCCGGCCGCCTCTGCTGCCTCCCACGCCGCTGCTCAAGAGCCCCCTGAACCACACCCAGGACGCTAAGCTGCCCAGCCCCCTGGGCAACCCGGCCCTGCCCCTCCTGTCCGCGGTCAGCAACAGCAGCCAGGGTGGCACGGCAGGCACTGGGCCGGAGGAGAAGTTCGAGAGCCACCTGGAGGACGTGTTCACGGACAAGGCCAAGGCCCGGAGCCCCGACATGTCCGACGGCAGCGACTTCGAGGACATCAACACCACCACAGGCACCGACCTGGACACCACCACGGGCACGGGCTCAGACCTGGACAGTGACGTGGACAGCGACCGCGACAGGGCCAAGGACGACGGAGGCAAGCCCGAGCGTGGGGGCGGCTCCGCAGCCCCAGGGGCCGCCAGCATGGCAGAGGCGCCCGTCTTCTACGCGCAGCACTCCTTCTTCCCGCCGCCTGAGGAGCAGCTGCTGGCCGCCTCGGGCGCCCCCGGCGACTCCATCAAAGCCATCGCGTCCATTGCTGAGAAGTACTTCGGGCCCGGCTTCGTGGGCATGCAGGAGAAAAAGCTGGGCTCGCTGCCCTACCACTCCGTCTTCCCCTTCCAGGTCCTGCCCAACTTCCCGCACTCCCTCTACTCCTTCACGGACCGCGCCCTCGCGCACAACCTGCTGGTCAAGGCCGAGCCCAAGTCGCCCCGGGACGCCCTCAAGGTGGGCGGCCCCAGTGCCGAGTGCCCCTTCGACCTCACCACCAAGCCGAAAGAGACGAAGCCCACCCTGCCCACGCCCAAGGCGCCCTCAGCCCCCGTGTCTGGCGAGGAGCAGCCGCTGGACCTGAGTATCGGCAGCCGGGCCCGCGCCAGTCAGAATGGGGGCGGCCGGGAGCCCCGCAAGAACCACGTGTACGGCGAGCGGAAGCCGGGGCCTGGCGAGGGGCTGCCCAAGGTGTGCCTGGCTCAGCTGCCGCAGCAGCCGTCTCTGCACTACGCCAAGCCCTCGCCCTTCTTCATGGACCCCATCTACAGGTATTAACACGCCCCACCCTCACCCGCTCTCGCCAGGGCCCTGCGGGAGCTGGGCGGGATCTGCACCCCACAACACCTCCCTCTCCCCTGTCTCTGCCGGCTCTGGGGTCTGCACCCTTGGGATGGGCAGCAGCCTGGTTTGGAGGCTGGGGTGGTGTCCAGATGCATTCGGAGTCCTTGCTCTGTGGCGGACTCAGGCATCCTTGCCTGGCCTGACGCCCCATGGAGTGCCACACCAGACCCCCAGCCAGAGCCCCTCCAGGGCCCAGCGGTTCCCTCTGGTCGTGCGGTCCCCTGCCCGCCCCGAGTGCCTCCTCCACCTCCTGGTGTCCCGCCTCCCCAAGGCCACCGCAGTCACCCCCAACCCACCCTGGAGCCACACCAGGGACCTTTGGTGGACAGGGTGTCAGAGAGGGGCCGCTGGTCCCTGGGTGGAGGAGGGAGAGGAAGGAAGGGAGTCTGGAGGGCCGGACAAGTCCCACCCGTGTCCGGGCAGACAGGTGGGAGGGCAAGGCGGGCCTGTGGGAGGACGCCAAGCCGGGACCCTGAGCGGAAGGCCGCGCGCCAACAGCCTGCACCATTGTGAGTGAGGGCACTGGGTGTGCAGGAAGCAGGCGCAGCCTGATGGGCCGTGTGGCTGCTGTCCCTTTGGGCTGGCACCGTGCGGTGACAGGAGGTGGCCCTCAACTCCGAGAGGCGTCGGGGAGGCTGTGTGGCTGCTCTGTTGGGATGCTGAGGATGAAGATGAGAGAGGCCAGCAGAGAGCTGCCACCGAGGCAACCTCTCTCTGCCCACAGCACCCCCAAGCCGGGCTCCAACGCCATCCGGGCCTGGGCAGCGGGTCTGCAGCCGCTCCTGCCACTGCTCTCGTGAGCAGGGAGCTAGTGGCCCAGGGAACCCTCGCCCCTGCAGTGAGAGTCGCAGAGGCTTGAGAGGCCCCATCCCCCCGGGACGCCGCTCTCCCCCAAGTGTCCTGGGAGTCCCTTAGGGTGCAGCCTCGGCACCAGCTGACAATCACACTCACTTCAGGGCCAAGGACACGGGAAACAAGGTGCCCAGAGCCTGACTTGGACCAGGTCAGGAGGCACTGCGATGTCAGAAACACATAAAATAAGATCAAATGAGGTGAACCCAGGGTCCCGGACCTCCACAGCCAGGGGACAGCACCGCGGGAGGAGGCCACTGCCTGCTGACCCCCACAGGACCCAGCAGGTGACTGGAGCCCGGCAGTGGACCCTCTGCCCAGACTCCAGGGCTGCAGCCAGGGGGCATGTGGGCCTCTCGTTCTGCTCCGCCCCGGACCCCAGATGCCCACCTTCCCACGGCTAGGGTCAGGAGCCTTCCCGGAAGCTGGGGACAGGAAGAGGGCACCATGGGAAGCAGCCGTAGGGTTAACAGGCTTCCTTCACACACATACATTCATACTCATACACTCGCGCTCATGCACACACTCATGCACACACACATGCATATACTACCATAACTCACACTCCCAAATGCTCACACTCGCACATTCACATGCACTCGCACTATTACTCTCGCATGAACTCACACACTTCCACTCATTCTTACACACTCATACACTCACGTGTGCACACTCATTCGCACACACTCAGACACGCTGCCGCCCTTGCATCCTTATTCCCCCTTCGCCGTGTGTGCACTCACATGTACATACAGACTCTCACGCTCACTCATGTGCATACACTCACATGCACTCTGACTCACTGTTGCACCCCAGGCCCCGACAAGCACCCCTGGGAGGCAGCGCCTGAGCCTGCATCCCTGGGCTGGGCCTGGACAGTCCCCACAGGCGGGTGGCCCAGAGTCTCCCACTCGAGCCCGAGGGTCAAACAGCTGCAGCTCACACCCAGGTGCCCTCCTCACCTGTGGCAAAGCCCGCCCCCCCCCATGGGCAGAGCCCCTGTGAGATCACCCGCTAGGGCACGGAGGCAGATCCCTCACCCCCAGCGGGTGCCCATGCAGCTGGCACGTGCACCCAAGCCTGGTGCCTCATGCCTGTCCCACCTTGGCAAGGACCTCGGCCTCCCTGCCTGGCCGAGGCTCCCTAGGGCAGCCCGGGCTGGCCGTGCTGTCTTCCTTGTCCCTCCTGCGGCCACCTGTCTGCTTGTTCCTGCTCCAGGCCAGAGAGCAAAGACTGCAGGGGGCAGAGTTGGAGGAGGGAGAGGACGGGGATGAGCCTGTCCCAGCCCTGATCCAGGACGCGCCTGACCATGTCAGGAGGCTCGCAGCACAATGCAGCCCTGGGGGACTCAGAGAGGGGAGGACAGGGAAGTCAGGGTGACGCTGAGCCTCCAGGGACCCTGCTGTGCTCAGGGAGCCCAGGACCCCGGGGGCAGCCCCACCACACAGGGCTGACAGCTGGGACCCCAGAGAAGATTCGGGGCTCCCACTCTGAGCATGCCTGGCCCCTGACACGCAGGGGAGCTGGCAGCTGAGTGTTTGGAGGACACCAGGAACCTGAGGGTGACGGCTGGAAGTGAGGCCTAGGTGGGAGAGAGTTGGGAGCAGGGGGTCTGGGGCTCCAGGCAGGTGACAGGGGGGTCAGGTGAGAGGCGGCAGGGCAGCCATGTGACCACGTGGGCACAGACATGCACCCATGGGCAGCCGGCGGCTCCGTGGGGTCCGTAACCCTCTGTGTTGCCGTCCAGCAGGGTAGAAAAGCGGAAGGTGACGGACCCCGTGGGTGTCCTGAAGGAGAAGTACCTGCGGCCGCCCTCGCTGCTCTTCCACCCCCAGGTAAAACCCATGGTGGGCAGCGGGACGGGGTGCACCTGGGACCCTACGGTGGCCACAGGGGCCAAGTCCCCTGGGCCCGGTTACATGACCCACGCCGCCGGTCCTTCAGAGGCAGAGGGGATCCCCACAGTCACTGCAGGGCTGGGAGGAGGAGGAGGGGTCCTCACGGGCCAGCCCCACCTTTGGGTGGGCCCAGAGCCCCGGCGTGGGACAGCCAGGGGGATGAACTCGGTGGCAGACGACAGAGCTGAGCCAGGGCCGAGTTTGGACAGAAAGGAGCAGACTCCCGCAGCAGCTGGGATGCAGGGGGCTGAGCCGGCCTTGCTGGGACGGGCACCCGAGCCTGGCCACTGTGCATGGACCAGCAGTGGCAGGAGGGGACACCCTCCCAGGGGCAGAGGGGACTCCTCAGGACTCTGGGAATGGGAGGCCGAGGGCTGCACACCAGGCACACACCCCACAGCCTGCCCAGACCACGTCCTCCAGGGCGGACAGTGCCGTCTGTGGGCCACCTGTCCTCACTGCATAGGGCCTGGCCCCACCTCTGAGCTGCAAGTCACTGTCCCTGGGCCCCCACCCCACCAGAGGGTCCCGGGGCCGTTCAGGCCACCCTCACAGTCCTGCACCCAGCAGGACATTGTTCTCTGGCTCCTCGGCCTTTCCCACCATGGACAAACCCCCGTTTGTGAAACCTGGGCCCTGGCTGAGTTCACAGCTAAACTTAGCGCCTCCCATTGTTTCTCGGGGCCGTGCAGTTTGGTTAATAGCTTCCCCTGATTTTCCTTGGGACAGGCTGGCGAGAGCCGACAAGCCAGCCAGGCGCATCCTGTGTTTGTGTCTGCTGGGAGCAGCCGGGAATATCTGATCGGGCTGAGCAGTGCAGGCGGGGCCACCCAGTCCCGAGGAAGAGGCCCGAGGGGCCGGCTGCCCATTGTCCGTCGAGCCCGTGCCCCCCTTGGCCCACCACCCTCTGCTGCCCTGTGCCCGGGGCCAGCAGGAAGGGGTGACTAATAAGTCACCGCACTCATGGGCTGAGCCCCGGAGAGCTCTGAGCTGAGGTTGCCCGGTGCAGTGCAGGGGCTCACAGAGTGGCCGGGTGGCACCCATGAGGGTGAGGTGTCCTCAGGAGGGCCAGGTGAAGCTGGGGTCAGAGCTGTCCAGGGATCCCGGGCAGGGCCCTGGTCAGGGTGGAGGGACACTTCCACCCGCCACCTTGCTGTTTCATAGTAACCAGCGGGCTGTCCACAGATACCTAAAAAACCGCTGCTGGAGTGTGACGCCCCAGGGGCACTGGTCCAGAGTCCTCCATCCCCTGCCAGCTGTGCCCTGAGTGGGGGCCTGATAGACAGGGGCTCCAGCACTCAGACCAGGGGCCGTGGGGCCGAGGACTGGGATGGCTGCAGAAACCCCCAGCTGTGCGCTGTGCTAGCTCCGTCCACCCGGGAGCAGCCGGGTCAGGGTGCTGCCTTCCACGAGGCACGGCGCTCAGCTCTGCCCATGAGCAGGGGCCATGCTCAAGGGCCTCTGCTTCCTCCCCTCACCCTCCACACCCCTTCAGGACTGGCTGCCCCCATGTCCTCCACTCCGCCTGGAGGGTACCGCCTTCGCCCCCCCCCACCAGCCCTCCATCCACGTCTCCCGGGCAGAACCGGCTCCCGCAGGTGCTGGCCTAGTACAGGTGTGCAAAGCGCTGCTGGAGCCAGACCCGCCCTGCCAGGGTCACTGCATTTCCTCCTGAGCTCCTGCGTCACCCCCGGGGGGGTGCCTTCCCTTGGGGCCCGGACCAGCCTCCCCCTCCCGCAGCACCCACAGCAGAGCTGCAGGAGCCATCACAGAGACCTGAGTGGCCCCACTGTCTCCTCTCTGCCCCTGACACCAAGGCTGAAGCCTCAGCGGGCCACCCAGTCAGGGGCTTTGATCAGAACTCTGTCCATCAGGTGGAAAAGACAGTTCCTCTCCTACCTCCTCCTCAAGCAAGCCCATGGCACCTCCAGGGAGCAGAGGCAGGTCCCTCTGCGTGTATCCATTGTCCTGTGTGGTGTGACCCTTGGCATTATTGTTCGGAATGTGCCTTGGGGGATCCAGTCTTCAAGGGCTGCTATTCACCTGCAATTATGTCATGCTGCCTCTAGGTGGCGGTGGCTCCCTGGCCCCCATCTGTTTTAAATTGAGACTCCTACAGCGAGCTTTGTTTCTCAAGACTTAAAAAAAAAAAAAAATAGTAATGCTATGTGTAACCCAAACTAGATGAGAAATGCTGGCCAGGGTCAGCCAGCTGCATTGCTGGCCTGGATCAGAAAAAGGGTTGCCTGGCCTGGTCCTTTCCCACCCAAACCTGGCTGGCTGTGAACGACCAGCTCCAGCAGCAGCCAGGGTGCCAAAGATCAAAGTGGCCGGCCCCAGGGGACCCTGGACCCACGCGCACCTGCCGATGTGCTCAGCCTTAAGGCACTTAGGTGCTCAGGAGGGGCCCATGCCCTGCGGCCGAGCAGCAGCTGAGCCCCAAGTTCCCTGACCTCTGCCCTCTCTCCCGCCCACAGATGTCAGCCATCGAGACCATGACAGAGAAGCTGGAAAGCTTTGCGGCCATGAAAACGGACTCGGGCGGCTCCCTGCAGCCCCTACCCCACCACCCCTTCAGCTTCCGGTCCCCACCCTCAACGCTCTCGGACCCCATCCTCAGGAAGGGCAAGGAGCGGTACACATGCAGGTGAGGCCCTCAGGCAGGCAGGGAGGTGCCAAGGTGCACGCTCGTGGCCGTGAGGCACACTGAGGTCTTGCTGTACCAAGTGACATAAGGTGGAGCTCCCTGCCACCGTAGAGCTGGGTCCCCATGAGCCCGTGGTGCAACCTCTGCCTTCCTGGCTGAATCCAGGAGCTCAGAGCTGACAGGAGGTCCGTGTGTGCCTGCAGCTCTTGCAGACTGCTAGCCGTGGTGCTGGGCACCCACTCCTGGCTGTCTCACACTCCAAGCCAGCCTGCACCTGGACTGCCCACGGGGCACTGGGGCCAGGATGCTGCCGGAGGTGGGGTTGGTCCATCAGCTCCACAGCCCGGCCAGCTTCTCTGTAAGACCGGAGCTGGGTTCCAGGGCCAAAGAGGAGGCTGTGAATCAGGATTCGGGTGGCACCTGCACCCGGGTGTGAGCCCTGGGGCACCAGATGATGGAGAGAGTGTCAGGAAAGCAGGACGTAGGTCACCCTGACACCTCCCTCCCCCTCCTCCCTCCACCCAGGTACTGTGGCAAGATCTTCCCCAGATCGGCCAACCTCACCAGACACCTGAGGACGCACACCGGGGAGCAGCCATACAGGTAGGAGCACCTTGGGGTGGGGGCGCCCGGCTCCTGGGGAGGCCGTGACTCTGTGCACCCCCTCTTTGAGCAGATGTGGCTGCGGCCAGGCTGCTCTCGCCGGGACCCCGGTCTGGCGGCTCCCTGGGCTCCTTGCAGCCCCTCTGCTTCCCACTCCCAAGGATGTTGGGATGAGGCAGGAGGTGCCCAGGAAGCTGCTGGAGGGACCGCCCATGCTCACGGAAGGATGTGGGGAGCAGCTCTTCAGCTGCAGTGGGTGCCACCCAGGGCAGGGCTCAGCATCAGAGCGTCCGGCCCCTCTCCGTTCCTCTCCCGATGGCCACAGCTGCCCTCCTGGGTGGTGGCCAGAGGACTCTTTGGGCAAGGGCGGGTCCCCGTCCCCTGCAGGGGTGCAGGCGATGCGTGAAGGATCCATGGCAGCCCCAGCCAGGAAGCCACAGGTCTGCCCCCACCTCTCTCCGGTCTCCTGGGATGGGGAAGCGGCTGCCCTGGGGAGGCAGTCTTAGCACTCAGGGTTCGGAGCAGCTCCCCGGCGGGTCTTGCCATCCCCTTTCCAATGAGGAGGCGCCAAGGCACGGAGATGCCCATGCCTTGGAACCTGTTGCCACCTCAGCCTCCTGCCTTCTCTGTCTGTCCCTCTTTGACTCTGAGGCTTTGTCGGGTGGCAGCCCTACCCACCTTGTCACCACATCCCGGGCGATTGTCGCTCTGAGACACATGGGAAATGCCGTTTGTCTGCCAGGGCTGGCTTAGTAACAGGCAGGCGTGTCCTCCCAGCAAGGCTGGGGAAGAAACTGATGGTTTTTGATTCCGGTACTGTGCCCGCCCGGAGCTTGGGGTCACCAGGAAGTGACCGAAGGACGACATGGGCCCTGGGACTTGGTCTGTGCGCCATGCCTGGGGAGGGGCACAGGGCACCACACACTTCATTGTCCCTGAGCTCTGCTCCAGCATCCCTGGAGGCCACAGCCCTGCTGGGGTCACTGACAGCTTCCCCAGCCACGCGGCCTGCACCCGTCCATGCCCTCGGCCCCTCCAGAAACAGTGACGACTTAACAAAGGCTAGCAACAGAAAGATTTATTTGGTCCAGTCGCCTCCCGGAAAGCGAGCCGTGTGTGTTTTCTGTAATGAGAGCTGACTGTTGGACAGTTCGGCATGCTAAAAGCCCCCAGAGGGTCCAGGCAGAGTTTATAGAAGAATTTAATTATCATTGATTTCTTTTGTGCTCTTCAATCTGAGAGTTTCGACTTTGGTAACAATAATTGCTTTGCAAGTTTGTGTTGCAAATCCTGACTTTATCTGGCTCCAGGCAGGCGGAGCAGAGGGGCTTGATGCTGTGTGACTCCCGGGCTTGCTTGGAACCTCGGAAGGGTTTTAGGCTGGGAGAGGAAGATACACAGCCCATCCTGGAAGCCTCGTGCTGGGCAGTCTCAGAGAGGGGCGCGACCTCTCCCCACCTGCCGGGGTGTGGGCCTCGCCTCAGAGGCAGCGCCCACATGCACACCCACTGCGAGGGCACGTGTGCACCAGGGGCCCGGGTGTGTGTGTGTGTGCGCTCGCACCAAGTGTGAGCGAGTGTTCCAAGTGTGTGCACATGTGCTCAGGAGAGCCCAGGCCCTTCATCAGCAGGCTTTTCTCGGGTTTTCTCCAGCAACGGAATAAATGAACCAGATGTCTCTCCCTCTTAAGTCCGTGCCCAGCTTAGGAAGATTTAGAGTGTGTCCCAGGGGCCTACGGGTGACTCTGCTCTCCCGCCCCTCGGCCCAGCAGGCGAGCAGTGTTCTGCGCTCGGCTTCTCTGCCCCTGAGCTCTTTGGGTGAAGTTGGAGGACAAGGTGGAGCAAATGCCGCCCTGGTGTCAAACTCTAGCACGAAGACTGCGCAGGACCCGGTTGGCGGGTTGAGATTGAACTGAGAACCAGGGGCTGCGTCCTCGTGTCTCCTGGCTGCTGGTGGCCCCTGGCCACACCTAGATGGCAACCTGGAGGCTGGGCTGGGACCCCTCCCTGCCAGGTTCCCCTCTGAGGCGCTCGCGCCTGTGAGCGCTGTGTCCCCCTTTCCTCCCAACCCCGCGGCACCTGAGCTCGGAGAGGGGAGTTGTAAGCCTGTCAGGGACCCCTGATGGCCTTTACCCATCTTCTTTCTTGCTTATTTTTATTTTTAGGGCTGGATCCAAAGTCTCCTCTTTCTCTTCCCTTCCTTTGACAATGACCGTGATGGCTGGTGGGCTGCTGGGGCCCGGGGGCTGGTTCCACCCTCCCGCCTGTGTCCTTGTCGAGGTCCCTGAAAGCCCTCGTGGGTGCCATGGCCAAGCCCATCTGTTCCCTGCTCCCCGGGCTGCTCGCTGCTGATCCTCTATACAGCTCGGCTGTAAATTTCCCTGTGCACCTGGCAGGTTATTTACAGCTCAGCTCCCAGCTGCTGGGCAAACTCTGTTCCCTCGAAGCCCTGGGATCGCTGCCCCCCTAAATTTCACGTGGACATCTCTGCCTGGGCCATTTATTTAGATTAAAACCAGGAGAGGCCACTTCAAGACCCTGCAGCCACACAGAACACAACCCCCCTGGCCCGGCGCCCTCCAGGCGGACACTGTGCCCTTCTCCAACCCCAGGCCTCCTCGGTCCCACCCACATGCCCAAGGCCTCCCGCCCACCCCAGAAAGAGCAGGGATGCAGCACACAGGCGCTGCCCAGGCCTGGTGAGGCGCAGAGGGGCTGGGGTGGAGAGGAGGAGCCAGAGGCAGGTCACAGGTCATAGGCCACAGGTCACAGGCCACAGCAAGCCAGAGTGAGGCCAGCCTCAGGCAAGGCTGGTGGGGGGGCAGAAACCAAAACCGAAGAAGGCAGCCCCAGGGAGAGCCATGGGTCTGGGAGAGGGGCTGCTCCAGTCCTCGAGGGGCTGCCATCAAACTCCCTGGGCTACAATCAGGCAGCTCAGAGTTCAGCAACTTATAGGCTCCCGGGCCAGCGGTGATGTCGCGGGGGGGGGGGGGAGCGCCCTGCCCCAGGCCTCTGAGGTCGTGTTGGGCCCACAAAGGCCACTCCTCATGTCCACGGGCAAGTCCCTGTCCACATGAGGGCAGGCCAGTGGCCAGTATGTGGCCCTGGGCCGGGCCACCAGCATCAATTCGGGGTGAGGGGGGCTTGGAAGCCCTGGCCCTCCTACCGGAATGCAAGGCACTGTGTTGAGACCACCCTGAGGTGGGCATGAGCCCCCACCCTTCCCCCAGGGTGCCCAGGCCCCACTCCAGAGTCTGCAGCACAGAGTAGGCTTCACATTGCACCGCACGTGTGGCAGAGCCCGCTTCTTTTCCAAACCCGAAAATACACCATCGCAGAAACAGAATTTCCAAGTGCTCTTGCACCCTAGACTCAGATAAGCATCTCTGGAGGGGCTAAAGGCCAGGTGCACATGAGTGTGCTCACAGGCACAGGCATGCACACACGCTGCACGCGTACACACGTGTGCAACAAGAATCAGGGCCGGGATCTCCTCTGCCAGCGTCCGGCCAAGGGCACGCAGCCGGGATGGGCTCTCAGTCTGCAGCCGCCCCTTCCCAGACCCCAGCTGGCTCCGAGTGCCCAGGGAGCCCAAGCTCCCTCCCTAGCCACTGGCCCCTCACTCCTTGTTTTGGGCTTTTCTCCTGTTCCACACGTGCACCCCTGTGATGCAGGGAGGACGAACTCAGGTTCCCAGCCCTGCCCACAGTGTGCCTAGCACCAGGGCCCGGGCCCAGGCACCCCTCGCATGGAAGGGCCAGTGTGTGTTTGGGACCTCGATCTGTGGGCAGGGCAGCGTTGGCTCCGATCCACCTGGAGGGACATCTTTTTCTGGTTTTCCAACTGCACAGTGCAGGCTGGGGAGGCCCTGCCACCTGGAGGGGGCATAGGATAAACTGAGCACACAGGAGCCAGCAGCGCCTGAAAGGGTCTTCATGTCCAAGTGCCATCTGCAGCTGGGTGGGCAGCAAGGCCAGGAGCCCACCCCACCCTCAGAGCACCTAGAAGCCTTAAGAGATGGCCAGGCAGAGGCCCGAGCTGGACAGGCCCTGACCACAGGCCCAGCCACACAGGACACCCGGGCCAGGCCACATCCTCTCCCTTCCACCTGGGGACCCGAGAGCAGCTCTAGGTGTCTTCTCGTGGTGCGAGGTCGCCCTCTTGCGGCTGCCCAGAGCGTGTGGACCTGCAGGCCTGGGCAGGGGGCTGGAGACAATGCTGGGGTCCCCACCGCCACATGCCTAGGGGACGGCAGCTCCGGGAAAGGCCTGGGCCTTCAGGACCCCTTCCACTCCCGGCACCTGTCTTCCAGGTGCAAGTACTGCGACCGCTCCTTCAGCATCTCCTCCAACCTGCAGCGGCACGTGCGCAACATCCACAACAAGGAGAAGCCCTTCAAGTGCCACCTGTGCAACCGCTGCTTCGGCCAGCAGACCAACCTGGACCGGCACCTGAAGAAGCACGAGCACGAGGCCGCGCCAGGTGGGGCCGGGGTGAGGGGCGCAGGCGGCCCTGGGAGGCCCGGAGCTGCGCAGGGGGCTGCTGTGTGCCCTGCGGTGGGGTGGGGCCGGCGAGACCACCCTGACACGGCCGTCCGTCCCTCCATCCACAGCGGGCCAGCACCCCGGGGTCCCCACCAACCACCTGGGCACCAGCGCCTCCTCCCCCACCTCCGAGTCGGACAACCACGCACTTTTAGATGAGAAAGAAGACTCCTATTTCTCTGAGATCAGAAACTTCATTGCCAACAGTGAGATGAGCCAGGCGTCAACGCGGACAGACAAACGGTAAGAGACGCGTGGGCTCAGGCAGAGGAGGGGCTCCCGCCTGTCTCAGGCTTCTCTGCCACAGGGGGGAGGAGCGTGAGCAGCTGCGTGCCCAGGGAAACCATGAGACAGGGCGCACGTAGTGAGAGGCTCACGTGGCCAGCGGTGCGAGGTGCGAGGCACAAGCTCACCGCAGGCCCGGCTGCACCCTCCGGCCGGCACGCGTCTGCCCAGTGGGGGGTGCTGCTACTGACCACAGGTGCGCACACGGACACCCACTCGGTGTACAACAGGGCCACGTCCCGACAGGCCTGTCTGGGGTTGAAAATACTGTCAGCCACACGTGCATTCAGCACTGCTCGGCCCGCAGCCCACCCTAGCCAGCCTGCCTTGCAGGTGCATGGAGCCTGTCACTGGGCAAAGCCACCTGGCACACAGCCTGTGTGTGATGGCTCAGGAGGTCGCCTTAGTTTATCACACACCTGCATGGGAGATTCTGGCAGTGCAGTGCGTGATGGGGTGCTGGTCCCCTCCTGACCGCCCAGCGTCACAAGTGAGTGCTACACAGCACAGCCCGCCAGAGAAAAGTCTGATCTGAGGTGTAGTCTGCGAAGTGCGTGTCGCTTTCACACCACCCAAAAGGGCAAAACTCTGAGTGGAGTCTAAGTCAGAGGCCATCTGTACACAGCACCCAATCCACACATCACACATGCTGCCACCCACATACTCACCTGTGCATGAAGGTGGCACCCTGCACACTGCACATGTACACACAATGCAGGATCTGGCTTCTGACCTCCCTGCACCCTGGGCTCAGCATCAGGAAGGTGCTGGGGACCCCAGGAAGGGAGCTGTTCTTGGGCCAAAGCTGATGCCCGAGCAGCTGTGAGGAGCAGAGGTGCTGCAGACCCTGAGAGGCCCCAGGAGGGGCCCCTGGCTCTGCGGCAGGGAGCCCAAGGCCACAGCCACAGGGTCCCTTGCTCCTATCCAGGCCAGCCCGGAGCCTGCGACCAGGCCCCTTACCACACTGGCCACGGCACCAGGGTGCAGCCCCACACACACCTCCAGAGAGCCAGAACGGCCCCTACCGACCCCGTGCCAGGCCCATCTGCTCCTCCAGGCAGGGCAATGTCTTCCTTGTCGCTGGTGCCCCAGGGCAGGGTTGGAGGGTGGGAAACTCATCAAAAGGTCTGTGGCAGAAACACTTGGCCCACTCTGCCACCAAACGCTCATGCGATGTCCCTGGGAAGATGGCCTCACATGTACGGTCCTCTGCCCTTGTGCAGAGCCCAGAGTAGAGCCCACCCAGGCCCTGGCGACCCCATGGAACTTAGCATGCCATTGGAGAGCCGTCCACTGCCGAGCAGCTGCATGGCAGAGGCCCAGCTCCCAGCCTTCCCTGAGCCCTCCCTGAGAAAGGCAACCCCCAAACTTTGGCTTCCCCAACCCCAGGTGAGGCCAGACTGGAACATGTGAGGGTTCTGCCTGTGCCCTTGCCCCATGTGCTAGGACCAGAGTACATAAGCTGCTGAGAGGTCTGAGGACACTCCCTGTGACCACCAGGATGGGTGACCACTCAGGAAGGAAGAGGGGAGCGAGGCCTCACTCACTGCCTGTGGCTGAGGACAGGACCTGCCCTCCTGAGCCTTGTCTTTATCCTGGAGCATTTCAACAGGGCTGTCCCCACAGCCCCCTCCTGTCATAGCCCTGGGGACCACAGAACGAGGGTGGCTAAGCCTCCAGACAGTCTGTCCTCCTGAGGCAAGGTCACCAGGGCCCAGCTGCCCTTGTCGTGAGAGCCAAGGGCCTCTCAGAAGGTGCCCTTATTACTGTCGCAAGGCAGCGCGTGTTGCCTTTCCTCAGCCGGCCTGGCGAGGGCGCTGGCAGTCCGGTTGGGGCAGGACTGGAATCATCTGGCCATTCTTCAGAACCAGTCCCTTCCCTTGGCAGTCAGGGAATCCAAGGTCTGCGGTTTCCTGGCCCCACAGTCTCCCCCATAAGCCCTCGGGTCGCACTGTGTCCCCAAGTTCCCCTGTTGAACCCTCATCCCCACCACCTGGTGTGGCTTGTGGGGACTGGGTTCCTCTGGATGGGGGCTGGTGTCCCTGTGAAAGGTGCTGGAGACACATGAGAGCTCAGCATGCCACGTCTGCCAGCCACAGGTGCCAAGGACTGCCAGGGATCCCCGGAGCTGGGCGGGGCCAGCAGGAATGGGCCCCTGGTCCTGACCTCGGCTCCACCTCCTTAGCTCTGGGAGCCATGGCCCCTGTGCCTCGAGCAGTGCTAGCAGTGGCTCCATCACAAGCTGAAGGTGCCAGCTCTTCCCCCGGCCAGGGCCTGGGCTGTCCCTGCAGACGCCACACCCCGTGCCCAAGGAAAAGAGCGAGCTCCCCACTGCCCACTCCCCGGGGGCAGGGATGGCAAACAAACCCACCCTGACCGACCCCTCCTGTCCTCTGAGGGGACCCTGAGGGCAACCTGGCAGAGCAGAGCTCCCGCCCATCCCCGAGGGCAGGGCAGGGCAGCTCCTGTGCACCTGGAGGGCCCCAGCTCAGGCTGTCATTGCTGCAGAGACGCTGTCCTTGGTGCCGAGAGGCAATCTGCCAAACCACAGCTGCCACCCGGGGGCAGGACTAGGGGTGGAGCTCTGGCCCCAGCCATCTGGGAGTCCCTGCGGTCTGCCGCACCCTCCGCTAGGTGGCTGGGTCTGGGCTGCGGGAGGGCTCAGCCCAGGGGGAGCAGACATCCCGACCCCAGCCTCACCCTCCAGAACCTGGTCCCTGACGTTCCTCGAGATCCTGCCCCAAGTCTCATGGTGGGAGAGGGCAGGGGACAGGCACAAATGGCCAAGGCCAGGCCTTGGGCAAGTCGGAGCCTGAAAGCCTCTCTACCCCAGCCTCTCCTGAGGCCACCCCTTGGGCAGTGCCCAACCCTGGCACCAGCACAGGACCATTTCCCATCCAGCCCGGCCCTGGCTTCCTCCCTGACACCCACACTTGGCATGAACCCCTGAACGGCCTGGTGTCCGCTGCTCAGGAGCCCTGCCTGTCCTCACCCGCCGGGCGATTCCCTTCCTCCTGAGCATCCCCACCTCCTCCTGTGCAGAGCAAAGGAGAGGACCCAGAGCTCCCAGCAGAAGTGGTGGGCACGAGTACCACCTCTCCGGGGAGGGCAGGGAGGGCCGAGGTGCGGAGCACAGTGGGGACCAGCTGAACGCACCGAGCCGCTGGCTTTGGGGGAATGAACACAGCCACCTTCCCCCACGGTTCCAGGCCGGAGATCCAGGAGCTGGATGTCGACCCCCAGTGTCCAGGCCTGGCCAGCGAGAAGCCGGAGGACGTGGAGGAGGAGGAGGAGGAGGACCTTGAGGAGGATGAGGAGGACAGCCTGGCGGGGAAGTCCCAGGATGAGGCCGTGTGCCCCACACCTGAGCCCCAGGGCGTCTATGAGGACGAGGAGGATGAGGAGCCACCCACTGCCCTGGCCGTGGGCTTCGACCACACCCGAAGGTGGGGGACCAGCTGGGGGGACCTGAGCATCACAGAGCCACCTCGCCCGCCCTTCAGCCCCCTCTGTCCCAGGCTCCCTGCCTGCTCAGCCCATGTGGATGTGGCCAGGGCTGGGTCCTGATGACAGCAGAAGTCAGGGCCCCCACACGCCAGGCCCCTTTGAGAGGCTGGAGGGACGCAGGAGGGAGACTCGTCCACTGCTCTGGATGCGGGCTCCAGCCCTTGCCGGGACTCTGGGTGCAGGCCAGAGCCCCCACCCGTGTCCCGAGCCCCCACCCGGGGCCCAGCTGCTCCCTGCCCCCTTAAGCACCCTTGGCACTGCCAGCTCCCTGTGTTCCCCTGCCTGAGGCCCTGGAGGTGCTGCTTCCTCCCAAGCCCCCGTCCTGGAAAGGAAGCCTGGCCCCTCCAAAGTGGCCCAGCTTCAGAGAATTAGGCCCCCTCCCAGCCTGCCCCTGAGGCCAGGGCCCTGCCTGCCGCTGGTGAGGCGCGTGCACACGCTCAGCCCTTCTGTGTCGCTCTCCACATCCATGTGGCTTCTTCCCCCAGGTGTCTGTGTGTCCATGTATCTGTCTCCTTGTGCATGTGGCTCGTGGAGACCGAGGCATGCATGCAGGCACAGAGCCAGCCATGCACCCGGGCAAGGTGGCCCAAGCAGTAACCCCAGGCCCCTCTCCCCGGTCCTTGGTGCAGGTGTGTTGAGGAGCGAGAAGGCGGCCTGTTAGCCTTGGAGCAGACGCCGACCTTTGGGAAGGGGCTGGACCTCCGCAGAGCAGCTGAGGAAGCATTTGAAGTTAAAGATGTGCTTAATTCCACCTTAGATTCTGAGGCTTTAAAACAGACCCTGTACAGGCAGGCTAAGAACCAGGTAGGTACCGCAGAGCCCGCCCCCACTCCGCCGGGCTCAGGTGGCAGTGGCTGCCACGCCAGGGGACACTCAGGACCACCACACCCCACGCCCCTGCAGCAGCTAGCGAGGTGCCCAAGGACCATGGCCCTCCTGCAAGCCAGGGCAGAGCAGGGGAGGCTGAGGGCACAGACGAGAGCTAGTGCCAGACACTAAATGTGGGCTGCTCTCCTCTCATCCCTGCCCCAGGGGGAGACGTCCACGCACAGGTTCCAGCCTTCCCAGCTTCCTGGGTCTTCGAACTCTGATCCCAGCCAGAAAGGGCCTGGCAGCCCTGGCTTCTGCCAGGAAGCTGACCCACCAAGTGGTCGCTGCCTCGAGGCAGGACCAGGCACAGGGTCCACGAGGCCCGGCAGTGTGGAGGCCCTGGGCTCGTCCACGAGCCGCAGCCCTCCACCTCCCGTGTCTCAGCAAGAGCTGTCTGCGTGTCTGTCTGCGTCTTTTACTAATTCTGTCCAGAGTGTCCGCCTGCGGGACCAGCGCGGGGCTCCCCAGCGCCCCACCCTAACCCACACGCCATGCTCAGAGGCTCCCTGGGTCCCGTCACCTTCTGCTCTGGGTCCCAGGCGTCTAAGGCTGAGACACCATCCTGTCCCAGAAGCAGCTCTGTGGTATCACAGGGTCATCGAAACAGGTGTCTGTCCCTGGGCCTGCCCAGCAGGCAGCAGGACTCCTGTTGGCACCAGGCCCTGGTGGTGACTGCCCCAGCTTCCAGGGCCAAACCCCACCATCAAGCTTTCGCTGGTCACCAGGCAAGGACACGAGGTGGAAGGTGACCACCAGTCAGCAGCACTGCCAGGGAGGAAGGAAGCCCGTGTGCCCGGAGGCCCCAGCCAGGGCCACGGGTCCTGGTGCCACTCTCGGCATGGCCTCCCTCATGGCTCTCACACCCATGCAGCCCCACCTTCTTCTTCCAGGTCATGGGCGGTGTGGGCCTCTCTGGGTCCCGCCCCCCTCCCTGTCCAGACCAGGAGGCCAAGCGGGCCAGGGGGCAGCGGGCAGGGGCCCTGCCATGTTGGACCCGCTCACCTGCGCTGTGTGTGTCGCTCTCCCCCAGGCGTATGCAATGATGCTGTCCCTCTCCGAGGACGCGCCCCTCCACGCCCCTGCCCAGAGCTCGCTGGGCGCTTGGCTGAACATAACAGGAGCCTCGTCAGAGTCTGGAGCCTTCAACCCCATCAACCACCTCTGAGGGGCCGGGCCCCACAGTCCAGAGCCAGAGCGTCTGCTGCAGGGCGGAGGGAGGCCAGGGAGAAGCCTGACCACCGGCCGCGACACTCCACCCTCCACGACCCAGCACTGACTTCCCGGACGAGAACTCAAACTCCAGCAGTCCCCAAGCAGCGGCCGGCAGAGCTTCCCTGTCTGCAAGGGCCGGCCCCAAGGACACCGTTCCATCAGACCCCATCACAGGAACTGCCTGGAGGACGCGTGCTGGGAGTGTGGAGTCTCATCCGCAGCGGCCAGTTCCAGGCGCCGGCCTGGCTGGAGGAGGGACAGAGGATGCGGATGTGTGCTGGCGATGGGGATCTCTCTTGCCAACAATTTTCATAATGAAAGTGACAAGAATAACCCTTTTGGTAATCGTATTGACTACAGAGTCTATTTAAGCATGTGGGTTTTAAAAATAGACGGTATTTTTTAAAAATCAAAAAAATGACTTGCAAATTGTTTTTTAAAAGTAATTTTGCATTGCTTTGAAATTTCAGCTTATTTGCAAACCCAAACCTGCCTGGGCGACCACACCAGGCTCGGGTGTGTCCTTTATACTGTAGATAACGGAGAATTTTCTATTTCTGATCCTATTTGTACAAGCCAAGGTGATTGGGTGCCCTGGAACCGGAAGGAGGGCTGTGGAGCCACTCTGGAAGTGCGCAGACTCTGCCAGGGACCCTTAGGCGCCCCCGTGTGGCCTGCGGAGGGATCCACAGGCCCCACTCAAGGCCCCCCAGCTCTATGGAGACTTTAGGGGGGCTCGGGTCCTCTGTGCAGAAGTGTGGCCAAGGGCCTGGTGGTCCTTCCAGCCCGTCTACACCCCGGCCGTCCCCAGGCTGGGCCTGGCCGCCGTCTCCTCTCCAGCCCCGACCCGCACCAGAGCCCTGGCGGCTGGGAGTCCCCCCCGCGGCCGCCAGCAGGACCCGAAGATGCCCCGCTCCAAGACGCCAAGCGCTACTGTGCCTAAAACTCCGGGTCAACCGCGGCCGCCGTCTCTGCTCTTTGCGCAGGTTCTTGGCAGGCCAAAGTCGAGGACGGAAGGGTCCAGGGGACCTGGCGCAAAGGGCGGAGAGGACACAGCCCTAGGGACCTCAGTTCTCCCTCCGGAAGTGTCTGCTTCTCCCTGCAGATGGGCTTTAAATTATTCCCATAGGGGCCAATTTCAAATAATAATTTCTTTTCCCTGATGGAATTTACCTTAATCTGTATATAACTTGTAATTTTTTCTAATTCATTTCTTTTCTTATTTTATTTCTTCCTTAACAGTATTTTTGGCATTAGACATTCTTATTGTGAAGAAATAATGTTAATATAAGTATCTAGTGAAGGACCAAAACCGTGTAATAAGGTGTGTTGTGTGGTCAATAACCAGGGAGTGGGGCGGTTTTTAATGTGCCAAATACCCCGCGTGTCCCCACGAGTCCTGCTGTCACCGCTGCCCACTTATCAGACAATCATATTTTTTTGTTAAATTTGAGTTTCAGTCGCAGTTGCATTTAAGACAAGTGTTCTATTTATTTTATTGTTTGGAAAAGAAAAGTAATGAGTGTCCCAACAAGAGGAGAAGAAAAAGATGGCCCAAGTTGCCCTTAAACAAAGAAGAGCAGAAATGCAAACTATTGTGATGCAAGCCACGTTTGTGTGGATTTGTGTCAGGCCGGGGACATCTGTCAGTGTGCGTCCAAGGGGGCAGCAGGGCTTGTCCAAGAGGACTTGTCCCATGCATGTCCCAGGCACTCTGGGCCACCAACATCGCCTGCATCGGTGCCGGGCTCTGCAGGCTTGGCCTGGGGGCTGGAGACAGGGAAGTCTCTGTGGGCCACGCAGACCCACAGCTCATGGGAAAGGGGTCTCCTTTTGCTAAAGCCAAGCAACATGGCAAGACGGAGAGCCACCACCTGCATGGACTGGAGAGGCCCACGGAGGAGCCACTGCCACGCTCCGTCAGGATTTTCCAGCAGAAGCTCAGGCCTTGGCATAAGCGTCCGTGGCATCCAGGCCGGCCGGGTACCGGAAAGGAATTTCCAATTTCCTCTTAATCTAGATGGGATCCCTGTAAAACTGCAGCCTCACACACAAACACCCCATTTCTGTAAACCCAAATTATATGATTTCTTCTGCGAAAGAATACGGTGTGTGCTTTTTTTTGCGATGTGACTCTCCAAAGTGGGAAGTGTGGATGGATGGAGACCTCGGTGCATCTTGAGGGGCTTCCCTCTGACTGCTCTATGGAGCCCCCTGTCCAGTTCTGTCGTTCCGGGCTGATCTCCCCCAGCACTGTCTTCTCTACCATCCTCCTCTTCCCCCTTTCCCAGGAGCCCTGGTTGGACCTATACGTCCTATATTTTTGTCCCCCCCTGGAAATGGTGATAGCAACCCCAGCTCCTCCTGAACACTCAGCCCCTCAGGCCCCAGCACTTAGCATTTGGGAGGCTCTGACCTTGCATCCCTGACAGAGAAAGCACTTATCTCCTGCAGTGGGACATCCCTGAAACGTGGCCTCAACGCTGGCCCCAGACCCAGCTCCAGCCCCTGCTCTTCTCTGCCCTGGCAGCAGCACCGGCCCAGATGCGCCCAGCTCGCTCAGGCCCCGAGTCCTCAGAACCTGGAGACCAGCTAGGGGCAGGAGCCAGGCCTGGGGTGAGCAGTCCGAGAGCCTGCCCCCCGGGCAGCAGGCGGTCACATCACTGGTAGCATGGACAGAGGTGGGACCGGACAGCTGGGCTGCTGACCGCTACCTGAGATGATGGTCAGGGTCAAGGCTCCAAGCCAGGGATGCCATGGGGCCGGGCTGCCCCGACTGCTGCCCTGACCTAACTCCTTTGGACAGCGGGCACTCAGCCCCAGACGGAAATTCAGGCTCCTGGCACCTCCCCTCCACCACCCTCCAGCCCCAGCCCCTGGCACCCTGTAGCCGCTGTCATCCCTGGACCATGGAGTAGGACATGTGGCACCCCGCAGGTGCCTGTGCACACCCTGGGGGTGTGTAGCAGTGGACAGGCAGGCAGGCAGGGCCTCCTTCCCAAGGCCCAGAATGCAGCTGGTTCGTCAGGCACTGGTGGACCCAAGCCGTGGGCCCAGGTCCAGCCTTGCCAACTCAGGGCCATGCGTGGCTTCCTCTGCCTGAGGCCTCTCAGGAGTGATCGCAAAGCACTCGCTAAGTACATATCACGTGTTCTGATGCGAAGCCACGAAGCACTGGATTGCGGCCCCATCCCCTGTCCCCTGCCCAAGCGACTGAAATCTACTGAGCTGTATTCACTGTGCTATTCAGGGTGGGGAGAGAAGGAGTCGCCCCGCACTGCTGCCGGGTGGGGCACAGGGAGCCAGGCTCAGCACGGGCACCCTCGCTGGGATGCTGGGGCACAGCTCGGGGCCTCGGAGCCTCGGAGCCAGCCGGGTATCAGGAGCCATGAACTCTGTAGCATCGAGTGATACTGTGATGAAGACATTCTTGCATTATTCTGAGAAGAGTTCCTTTTTCCATTCCATTTCTTGTTTGTTTGTTTTATCCTTTTCTGTCACTGATCCAAATGACCACTTTTGGAAAAAAAAAATACAATAAACAAAGGCAGCTTGAGTTTCCACGAGTACAGTTCAGCTGAGAGCAGAGGCAGCTCCACAAGCCCCGCACGCCTCTCACGCACCCTTGCAGTTCCTCTTCAGAGCGCGGGCGGCGGGGCGCAGCACCAGCACACGTGTGATCGAGAGAGCGTGTGTGTGCGCTCGGTAACGGGAAGTACGTGTGCACCTAGGTGAACGTGTGCGCAGGACCCACCTGCCCGTCCATTGCCATTGCATTCAAATTTGGTTCAGTTTTTGTTTCGTTCCGTTTTGTTTTAGAACTGTATAGTGTTGAAAAAGAAATCAAATGTAAATGTCTGGTTTTCACATGCTGTTTAAAAAACAAAACAACAAAAAAACCCCATTGAGCAGGAGGCCGGTGCCGGCCCCGCCCGTTACTGTAAATCGCTTCTGCTGTGTTTATGACTGAACTGTGCATGGCTCGTGTTTTGCGGTCATTATGGTGTCTGTTTGTGAAATTTTTATGACAAGGAAAATTCCGTAGATGCACTTACTGAGTATGCGATTAGGGTCAACGGCAAGACTAGAGTCCCGAACGGAAGCCGCACCGGGGCCATTCCTAACCGATATGGAAATCGCTGTGGGAGAAGGAGAGAGATGAGTAGAAATTAATCAAAAGAGCGATTCTGCAAAATTCATTTTGATGCTTGTGATAAAGACAGATGTACTTGTGTAGAGAAATCCCTTTAAGATAAAGCCTAGGAGATGCTGATTTTGAGGTTAATGCTGTAGAATAGGACTGTATACCAAATGTAATCTTTCCGATGCTACAATGAATTTATACATGAGATTGATATGCAATAAATCTGTGTGCTTTTCTAAGCCTCGGGCCTGCGAGCTTCATTAAGAGAGGGGCCCGAGGCCACCGGGTGGGACAGCAGGGGCCAGGCCAGGCCCAGCGCCCAGCCTTGAGTGAGGAGTTGGAGGCACTGGAAGCCTCCTTTCCAGCTCGGCTGGGCAGGGCTCCTCCAACTTCCAAGGAAAACCAGCTGACGGAGGGCACAGCTGCCCTGGCCAGGGTGGTGGCCTCCGAGTGTGTTCGGCCCAGGCTGCCAGCCTCCAGGGGTGCCAACCCCAGAGCCCATCCCATGGGCCCCACCCAAGGCCTCTTGGCAATGTGGCATTCCCCGGTGGAGGTGGTAGCAGACCCATCCTCCCGGTTCCACCCTAAACCCATCCCCAGACCTTCCCAAGGGCTGGCCCTCCCTGCCAGCCTCCCCTGGAGACAGTACCCAGCTGCACCCCTCATGCCCTAAATGAGGGCCTAGAGCCATGCTGCCAGGCAGACAGGGGGTTGAGTAAAGGCCCTGGGGCCATAGGGAGCAGAGTAGCCTCCTTCAGAGGCCTCTCTGGCTATCCCCCCTGGGGCACCCCCAGACTCCTTCCTCCCGGCCCTCGCCCCAACCTCATTCTGCTCTGACTAAGAGGTCCCCTGCGGCCAGTCTGGAAGCCACCAATTCTTCCTGTGGCTTCTCCTCTCCTCCCAGACTGTGCAGGGCGTCTCACCTGCCTGTCCCAAGACCCAGCAAGGGGCCCAGCTGAGAAGCTGAACGCTGGCCACAGGACCGAGCTGTCCCTTCCTGGGGTTTAAGGACCTGCAGGCAGCGATTTCACGCATAGGGAAACCTCTCTCCTCCTCCTGGTGGCTCAGGCAGGTCTGGGCCCCTGGACAGGACAGCAGGAGTCCCCATCCCTGTGCTCGGTCTCCAGCACGGCACTGCCCACTGTGGACAGAGCACCCCGGGAGGCCCGGGGGTTGCTTGCAGGAATGGGGGGCTGAGGCATGAGCGGTTTGTGGGGCACTGTCCCTCAGTGCGGATCGTGGAGCGCCAAGGCCTTCAAAGGCCACCGAGGGCCAGGACATGCTCTGATGAACCACTGGGAGTGGGGCTGGGGTCCCCTAAACAGCAGCTCGGGCAGCTGCCAAGAAGCGAAGAAATGAAAGTCGGTCTTGGCCCGAGATCCCCAGGCCCAAATCTGGTGCTCTCCGCCTTTCTGTTTTCCCAGCGCCGTCAAGCCGAGTGCATTCCCCAGTGCAGGCCTGGGTGGGGACGCGTTTCAATATTTCAGGGCTGTTTTCCTTCCTGATGTGATTGACGAGGTGTTGCTGAGGTCTTAAGCCCCGATGGTCAGATGTGGGATTCGCCTGGAGCTTGGGCCCTCAGATGGCTTGAAAGGCCCCTCTCTGGGAGCCACGTTTCCGTTGGCAGAGGACAAACGGTGTGAACCACAAACCTGATGGATGGCCGTGCTCCCAAAAGTCACTCGTGCTGATCGAATGACAGGCGGACACCCCGTAAAGGCCCTGCCCAGGGCTCGCCACGCCAGGGCTCCAGTTGAGTGAAAACCGCCCCACTTTGTTCGGCCTGGCAGCCTCCCTGCTCATTAGCCCTGGAGGGGACAGGAAAAATCCGGGGACCAGTGCGAGGCCGATAATGGCCCCATTGTGGGCAGAGGAAAGGAGACTGCGGCCTTGGGATATTGCTGACAAGCACACTTTGTCCTGCTGCCGGTTCCTTACATAAAGACCGAGGAAAAAGGACCCATTTTGCAAACAGGGGGGGAGAAAAACCTACAGGAGGAAAAAAAGAAAATGTGTCAATGAGGAATCTGTTTTCTGGGAAGAGAAGTGCTTTTTCATTCCCCTTTAGGCCTGTTTTGGGCCAAGTGTGAGCGCACTGGGCATTTGCTGGGAAGCCTGAGAGAACCGTCAACCTTATTTCTCACACAGCAAAAGTTCCCAAACTCGAGATGTGTACTATTTAGGGTACAGCAGCCAGTGCCAAGGTGGATTCCCTGTGGCCACAGGGACCCAGAACAGGGCGTCCCACAGTGTAGGTTGCTCGGGGGGTTCCTGCATCTCTGCTCCCCACGGCCTCTGAACGGCATCCTCCCCCGCACCCCAGCTGGATCTAATTCGGAAGGGGAAGAGAACAAGTCCAGGCCTGCAGCTCAGGGCCTTAGGGAAACTGAATTCCGCAGTTACAACAACTTTCCAGAGGCGACCTGGGGCCCCCACCCGAGCCCTGGGACCCAGGCTGCAGCCCCCAGATTCCTGGTCCCCCAGGACCCCAGGAAGGTCCAGCAAGCCAGTGAGACAGCACAGAGCAGGATCAGCTTTTACAATGCAGGCCACAGCCAACGCGCATTGACCCGGAGGCCGGCCTCAAGGTGCCCAGTGCGTAAGTCACGCAGTGTCTGTCCATTGACGGGAAGTGGACAAGGGCCACCAAGGAAGGGCAGGCAGTGGCCATGGTGCTGCCGGCACCCAGGATCTGGCAGAGATACTCAGGTGGCAGGTGGGGCTTGATGGGCGTCCAGGTGGCGGCTCACGAGAAGCTGCAGGCTGTGCCTGGGGAGGGACCGTCTCAGATTTCTCGGGCTGGCCCTGAGTTGGGAGCAGAGACACAAACCAGGGCAACCATCAGGCTTGTCTGAAGCCCTGTCCTCCCCATGCAGGGCCAAGCACTGCAGGACTCCTGCTTGGCTCCTGGCTGGCTGAGCAGGCTGTGGGTCAGAGTGCTTTTTATTTAGTGGATTTTGCTTTTTAGAGGCATTTTGGGATCAAACAAAACTGATCAGAAGTCACCACGATGTGCCACGTGCCTCCGGCCCCTCATCACAGCCTTGCCCGTCATGACCACTACCCACCGGAGTGGCATGTCTGCGCTGATGTCATCCTGCCCGGCGCTCGGACTTGCCCTTGTGAGCCCAGGGTTTCGACGTGTGTGTGTCTGTGTGTGTGTGCGCGCGCGTGTGACGCGTACACTGACGTCCCACAGAGGAGGGAAGTCCCGCTGCCCGGAAGCCCTGCCCCTCCTGCTTGTCCCCCTCCCAAACCCCGAACCCCGGAGCTGTGTGCTGTCCCCACTGTCTCTCCTTTTCTGGAACGTGGAGGACTGGAGTCCCAGGAGGAGCCTTTTCAGCCCGACTTTCTTTCACTCGCAACATGCGTGGGGGTCCCCCACTCCCACACCTTCCCGAGGCCCCGAAGCTCAGCCCTCCCCAGCTCTGCACGCCTCCCACTGTCCGGATGGGCCACACACACGTACCCACCATCCACCTGCTGCAGACCATCTCGGCTGCCTCCATGATTTGTCTGTTATAAATAAGCTGCTTGAACACCTGTTCTTCTGTGGACATAAGTTGTTCACTCGGAGTAAATCCCTGGATGGTGATGGCCAGACGGCAGGCTTCAGTTTGGAAAAAACCACCACACTGTTTCCCAGAGCTGCTCCACTGTGCCCTCTGCCAGCGGTGCCCAGGACCTGCGGTTGCCAATGTTCTCACTAGCACTTGGTGCTGCCGGGGTCTGCTTTCGGCCGCTCCACTTGGCCTGCAATGGAGTCTCGCTGTTGCTTTGGTCTGTGATTCCCTGGCTCCCTGTGTGAATTCAGCCCCTGGGTTCACATGAGAAACCCCCACCATGGGGCCAGGGATTTAGCTCAGTGGTTCCAGCACCTAAGTGCAAGGTCTGGAGTTCGATCCCCGGTACCAAAAAAAAAAAAAAAAAGAAAACCCTCACCGAAGGACGAGCCACTGGTGCACGTGACAGCTACACAACTACATCTTACCTGCGGGCTGTGTTCGAGGACCCACATTCAGCCCCTCTGGGGCCCTCAGGGGTCTGGGGGCAGGGGTCACCTGCAAAGGGGGATGGAGTGGCTTCCAGGGTGACAGAAATGTCCTGCATCGTGACTGTGGCTGCAGAGCTGCATGCCTGTTAAAAAGTCACTGAACTAGGGGCCACGGATTTAGCTCAGTGGTTTCGCTGCCTGCTGCTCAAGTGCAAGGACCCGAGTTCGATCCCTGGTACCAAAAAAAAAAAAGTCACCGAACTACCTTCAAAGGATGATTTATCACATGTGAAGGGGCCTCAATTAACCTGATTTTTCAAAAACTGTGCGCCACCCACCCTGTTTCAGGACAGGGGCCCTTGCAGACAGAGCCTCAGAGGTCTGGAGTGGCAGAAAGCACTCACATCCTGCTCCCCAAATCTGAGCCAACCCTGGGACCAGCCAGCCGGCTGGCCGCCCTGGGAGGGACCCTGCGGCCAGTGGAGCCGAGGCCGGAGCCAGCAACAGCCCCGCAAGCCTCAGGGGTCGGGGGGGGGAGGCTGGCACAGGGAGCAGAGGACCCGTGGCTTTGCCGTGGGGTGGCTCTGGGGGTCCCAGCTCATTCACCCCAGCCCTCGGGGTGCACCCACCCATTCACCTCTGGCTGCCTGAGCCCTGTCAGGACTCAGCGTGGGACTTGCGTGCACAGACTTTCTGCTTGAGGTCATCTGCAGAGTTTAAAGACACATGGGACATAACACCTGTACTCCCAGTGCTCTGGAGGCTGAGGCAGGAGGGCTGCAGATCTGAGGTCAGCCTGGACAACTTGGTGAGAGTCTGTCTCAAAATAAAATAAAAAGTGCCGGGGATGTAGCTCAGTGGTAGAGCACTTGCCTTGCATGTGTGAGAACCTGGGTTCTGTCCTAGTACAGAAAAAAAAAATACACAGAGCAACATTGCAGACCTTATGGCTGTACATGCTATAGCAACAGAACAGAAAGACAAATGAGATGGATAAATACCCATTTTGGTGTGGCAGTTTCCTCCGGAAAGGAAAGAGAGGGAGAAGAGACCAAGGGACTGGAAGGGGCTCAAGTTCACCTGCAGTGTTTCATGTTTGGGGTCCTCCAACCCACATCCAGGTCACCAGTAGAGAGGAGGGCATCTGTTGGGCTTTTCCTGCCTACAGCTCTGGCCAGGATGATGTGAAGCAGATGCGGTGGAGCGGACTGTTTCACCCGGCTCAGAGCCTGGCCTGCTGTCCACTCCCTCCAGGGCAAGCAAAGAATTTCTGTTTCCGAGATCTTTGCTACTAATACATGGGGTATAGGTCAAAGGCTTTTCCTCTACCTACAGTCTGGTGACTTTTGTCTTTATTCTGTGAATGTGCTGAGTTCTGCCCAGTGATTTTTAAATACTGCACTGAACTCACCCTTGGTTTGAAGTATCATCCACTATGCACAGAGCTGGGTGTGGTCTCTAAGGACTTCTGCTCCTAAGTCCACAAAGGATGCTGGCCTGCATGCAGCTTTCCTTCCTCGGGACACGCTCAGTGCTGGTGTCAGGGTAACACTGGGCCCAGAAAGTGAGCCAAGCAACCACCCTCTTCCTCGGGTTCTAAAAGACTAAGATGGGGACCGTTTCCTCCTCTCCATTGACTGAATTCAGTGCCGTGCCCTCAGGGTCTGGCACCTCCTTTGAGGAAGGTGTCGCTCGTTTGTTGGTTGTAATAATTCTATTTTTTTCTGTCTATCCTTGCACAAATTATGATGAACTCCTGTCCTTCGAGGAGTTGCCCGCTTCATTGAAGATGACCCTACGGCAACGTGCCCACCTTATTCCTGTCTGTGTGTCTCTTTTCTCTGATGTTGGCAACTGGAGTCTTTTCTCTTTCCTGAGCAACCTGAGATTAACGACCATATTGATTTTGTCAGATAATCATCATATTCTTTTATTGATTTTCTCTGTTGTGGATTTATTTCCTACTACACTGATTTCCGTTGACGTATTACTTTATTTCTTCTATGTCTTTGGCTTTAATTTGCACTAAAATTTCTAACATTTATACTTTCTTTTTTTGCTTTTGAGACAGGATCTTATTATATATTCCAGGCTAGCTGTGAACTCACTATGTAGCCCAGGCTGGCCTCAAACTCACGATGATCCTCCTGCCTCAACCTCCCAAGTGCTGGAATTACAGGTGTGCACCACCACACCGGGCACTAACATTTAAAGATGAAAGTGCAGAACTCTGATTTCTAATATGGCTTTTCTAACATAAGCATTTGAAGCCATACATTTCCCTTGATACACGGCTGCAGGCACATCCCACACATTTTGTTTTATCATCATAACTCAGTTCAAGGCATTTTGTAATACCTCCTGCAGTTTTTCCTCTGACCTTTAGGTTACTTTGCCTTATTTAATTTTCAAATATTCAGGAATTTCACAAATACTATAGTGCTATTGGTCTCCACATCTGTCCTGTTGCGGTCAGGGAACATGATCTGCGTGATTTTGATTGTTGTCATGTTCCAGGCTTCGCTTTCCAGCCTAACAAACTGTCATCTCAGTGAACTTCCCATCCACGCCTGAGAAGAACGTGAATTCTGCAATCGACAGGCACCGGGCTCGATGCATGTCAGTCAGGAGGAGCTGGGCAAGTCTTTAGCTGATTTTTCCACCTTCTTGTTCCATCATTTGCTGGGAGAGGTTTTCCCTTCCAGTCTGGTCTGGGTCATCTCTTTTTGCATGCATTTTGAAAGCCTGTAGTTACTGTGTGGGAACATGCAGGATTGTGGTCTTCTTGATCCACCAAGTCCTTTGTCACTATGACAAGTCCCCCTTTCCTTCAGCAATGTTCCTGTTCCAAAGTCCACATGTCTGACACTAATATGACCACGCCTTTCTCGTGATCTTCGACCTGCTTTGACCTCGGCTCTATCCTTGTCTTTCTGTTTGAATCTTTTTTAATAATAAGCATCAAATAATTCGGTTTTGCTTTTGTCTAGTCTGACAGTCTTTATCTTTTAATCAGTTATGTTTAACCCATTCACATTTAATATAATTACTGATATCGATGGATACAGGTCAATGTGTTGCTCTTGATTCTTGGATTAATATTAATATTTCCTCATTCTGTGTTGCCTTTTCTCTCGGCTTATTAGCTATGACTCTGTCTTAATTTTTAGTGTCTGTTCTAGTGTTTTCAGTATTTTTCCTTATTATTATTTATCTGTAAGTGACATTATGCCATAGTATGTAAAATGTATGAACTTTACAATGACATTTCCATTGTCTCTGCCTGTCTTTTGTGCTTTTATTATAATACATTCTCCTTTTACATTTTGCTTTAAATAATATCTTTTAAAGAAAAAATTAATGCACAGGGAAAACATCTCTCCTACACCCACATACTGTGATTTCTGGCGGGCTTCTCTTCCTTGTCTGACCTAAGTTTACACCCATCATTTTCTTTCAGCCTGAATATTTCCAACCTAGGCATTTCTTGTACTCTAGGTCTGTTGATGATGAAACTTCAACACTGGTCTTAAAGCATCTTTATTTCACCCTTTTTAAGAGATATTTCCACTAGCAGTGCACATCTTGGCTGGCAAGCCTGATCTCTTTAGTGAGCTAAAGATGAGCTGGTCCTCTTGGCTGGCAGAGATCTGGGATCGCCAGTGCCCCTCGCTGTCCCCTTGTGGTCTCCTCTCTGCCACTGTCTTCTGTCCTTTGGCTGACGAGCCTCAGAGCTGCAGGCCCTGGACAAGAACCTCGAGGCTCCCTGGGGACTTCCTGCCACCACCCCTGCCTGGCTCTACTCACTGCAGGCAGAGCCCACTCGGGGAGTCTGCAGGCCAGGGGCGCAGAGGGTGGTCGGGGACCAATCTGTGGAGACCGAGCAGGTTCTGGGGTTTGGCAGAAAAGGGCAGGTGGGACTGAGACCCACATCCTGCCGAGCCCCGGGTGAAACCCGGTTTCCCGATGGGTCAAGGTGCAGCCCAGCACATCCTAGGTGCAGTACCCACAATGGGCTCCTGGGGGCAGCAGCCACACGCCTTTCCCAGGAGCGGCGACCCTCACCCCCATCCCAGCCCTCCAGGTGGCTCAGCCCTGGGCAGCCTGGGTCAACTCTGAGCTCCACTTGCCTTCCCGCCAACCACGACCACTGGGCTGAGCCCTGCCCAGGTGGCACCTGCACATGGGCGCTCTGCCCTCCCAGGCTGGGGTGGGGCCAGGCAGGGACGAACACCAGACCAAGTGCTGGAGAGAGCGCCAAGCCCAGCTCCGGCCTCCCCAGCGTGGGCAGCGGCCTGTGCCCGCTGGCATGTGGTCTTCTAGACAGGCGCTCAGGCTGCCCTCTTGTCCCCTTGCCGTCCTGCGACGGCCACGGACCGGAGGGATCCAGAGCATATCAGGCACTGCGGAGTCAGTGTCACAGAGATGCAGGTGGGGCAACAGGGCAGGTGGCGCCGGATGCAGGGTGTGGTGAGCCGCGGACTGGAGCGGACAGCAGGGGTGCGATGGGCTCCACGCCCTCAGCTGGGCTGGGCCAGGGCATCTGCCTCGGCCCTCGGCCCAGCTCTCCAGGTGCCAGGCCGAGCAGGTCTGACCACGAGGCCCCTGTGCTTGGACCCTGCTGATGCTCAGGATGAAGACAGGGACCTCGCAGGGCCCCGCCACCCGGCCCCCACACGCAGCTCCCCCAGGCCTAGTACTCTCCTCCGGCCTGGCCTCCTCAGGCCCAGGGCCTCTGCACATGCTGGGGCCTTCAGACCCTCTCAAGCCCTCTGCCCGATTCCCCCCCACCCCCAGGCCCAGGCTCAGGGCCTTCAGGGGCAGCAGTGCAGACCTGCCAGCTGCCCTGACACCAGGGAGCAGTTCCCACCCACCCAGCCCGGCTCTACCGGAGGCCCTCCCTGCACAAGGGCCTTCACACCCAGCACGCCTCACTCATCTGTGACACGGACATGGTGCTGCCTCAGCCCCCTGGAAGGGGCTGCCCGACAGGCGTCCAGGCCCGAGAGAAGCCAGAGGCCGGATCTTCCCACAGCAAAGAGGCCCCGCAGGCCTGGGAGGAGGAGGCGTGGAGCAAGGAGAGTGACCACAGGAAGGAGGCCAGAGCAGAGCAGCAGGGCCAAGGTGCTGGACCTGGAGCCCCGGGCCCGGAGGGGCTTGGCCACCTGGGGGCCGGCCAGCCCAGGTGAGTAGGGTGACTGAAGCAAGCAGTGCCAGGTAAGGCACACAGCAGGTGCCGTGAGCATGCCCCGCCCCGCCCCTCACCCTGATGCCTAGGCTGGGCCTTCAGGCTGGATCACACCTGGCCCAGCAACAGCGTTGCGCCTCCTACCTGGGCCTACGGGCACCGTCGCCCCGCCCACTCGGGTCCGCCTGGCCCCGTCCCCGCCCCGCCCAGGAAGTGGAGGGCGCGCGGGGCGGGGCGGGAGTGGAGGTGGGCTGCTGGCGGGACACGCAGCTCCTCGGCGGCGCAGGTGAGCCCTGTGCACGAGTGAGCCGGCCGCGCAGGTGAGTCCAGTGCGGGACATGCCGCGGGGACACTCGGGGACGCGCGGCGACCCTGTCACTGCCCCCTCGCCCCTCCTGCGAGGCCCCCACTCCGGAGTCCGCGGAACTTCGCTCCCCGCCTGTGGCGGTCCGCGGGGGGCGGGGCCTTCGGGCCAGGGTTGGGCTTAGGGCGGGGAGGGGACCTGATCCGGTCACCTGGGCCTCAGCGTCCCAACCCCGTGTCCCCCACCACCGCCCCTCGGACTTGAGCCTCAGGCAGCGCCTTCCCCCCCTGCAGGGAGCTGCAGCCAGGGTTGCACACCGGAGCGCGAGGACTCTTGGGAAGGAGGTAGGGGGAGGGAGGGGCCTCGCAGGGGTTCACGTACAGCCTCCCGCACACCCCAGGTCAGCCCTGCCCCCTCTGAGGAGGGGCAAGAAGCTCCCCAAAGCCGTGCGGACCCTGCACACTGTCCTGCCTGCTCTGCCTCCGTTTCCTCATCTGTGAAACGGGAGCAGGGATTCCTTTTGAGTTCGGGTGAGGGCTTGTTCTTGGGCCTCCACACCCTACCTGAAGCCTGGGCAAGACCGAGACATCCCTGAGTCCTTGAGGTGCAGTCTGCACCAGCTAGGGTGAGGCTAGGGGTGCCCTGCTGCCCGGGCCACCTGTGGGGCCTGCTGGGTCCAGCAGGAGGGTCCCAGCGGGTCGCAGATCCTACCTGTCTGCCCTGCTGCCTGTGTCAGCTCCGGTTCAAGTGTGGCTGGGAGTAGCCTAGGGCAATTCCCTCCTCCTTGGGGCCTCTGGTCTTTATCTGTAACATGGGTGACAGGGTGGTCCCCTTGGGGGTGTGGGCTCAGCTGAGCACAGGCGGCAGACCACACAGTCCTGTGCTCACAATGCCCACGGTCCAGATAAGAAGCCCAGCGTCAGCTCACTGCATCCCGGCTCCACCTTGCGTGGGGAAACTGAGGCCCAGAGGAGACACGGCTGGTCAGGATCCCCACCGCTCTGCTCTCCAGTAGAGGCCAAGTCGGCTGCCCCAGGACAGCAGGCTGCTCCTGTCTGCTCCAGCTCGCTGCTTAGCTGGGGTTTTGGTTTCAGTTTCTGGGTCAGTCTTGGCTGCCCAAGTGTGTGGCCTGTGGTGGCTCCGTGCTCAGGTGACCATCCGCCATCTACCGTCTGCCCCCAGCATCTGAGGGTGAGGAACCCGGCACTCCCTGCTCCCGGCTTAGGGACAGCCACCAGGTCAGGACGGGCCTGGCTGCTCACCTGGCTCGCACTGACCAGCAGTGGGACCCCGGTGGGTCGCGTTCTGCTGCTGCTTCCTCACCTGGCAGAGAGGAGGGCCTATCCTTGCCCTGCAGAGCCGGAGACACCCGAAGGTGCTGGTGGGCAGGACAGCAGGAGTCCTGTCCTGTCTGGGTAGCAGCAGGGTGCTCCTTTGGGGGCTCCCTTTGCCAGCCGAGCCTTGATGGGGCCTGGGTTTGGGGGTGTCTAGACTTAGAGACAGGAGCCGGGCACAGTAAGTGGGTGCTGCAGGCTGGCCAGGCTGAGGCGGGCACACAGGGCTCCCCTCCAGTCAGGGAACGGCGACTCAGCTCCACTCGCCCGGTGGTGTTGTTCCGTTCATTCTCTGTCATGATGCCATCCTGCGTGGGCTCGACAGCACCCCTGGCTGGAGCCACAGGATGCCGGGCCGAGTGACACTGCGTCTCCAGCTACCCTGGGGTGACGGCCCTCAGCTGAGCCGCTGGCCACCTTGCATGGAGCTGGCTAGCATGCAACTTACAAAGCCGCGTTCTGCCCCCAAGTTATGTGTGACTTCAAGTCCCATTCGGGTCAGGTAGAATTACCTGCATACAAAAGCGTCATTGTGGGCCTAGCAAGGTTGGAAGGACAGTGCTGGAGCTCCGAGGCCCACCAGGGGACCGAGAAGCCGGGGTGGAAGGACAGAGCGGCCACCTCAGAGCTGCCCATGGCCCCACCAAGGGCTGTCGAGTCACAGATGCAGGGTAATGTGTGACCCAGTGACCAGGGCAGCTGGGACCAGGGGCCAGGAAACCAGAGTCCGTGGGGCACCGGAAGCCATGTGTGGGGAAGGAAGGATGAGGGCTGGAGGGCCCGAGCAGAACAGCGAAGCCCACCGGATCCCGGGCCCCAGGAGCCACGTCAGGTCCACTGGGGTCCCTCCCCGTGGTGCCTCCCACCCGCGCCCCACCGAGGGGTGTTAGCGGCAAAGAGGACGCGAATGCCGTGAGCTCCAGGGCCCTACGTGGGGAGCCTTTCCAGGCTGCCCCAAGCGGGAGCCACCCCAGAGCAGCACAGAGCTGGTGGCCTCTGTAGGGCGGCCGTGGAGGGTTCCCCTTGTGAGCAGAGGTTAGCTCCCTGCTCGGACTGCAGCCTCTGGGGGAAAACACAGAGTCAGGGTGAGACCAGGGCAGAGCCCTTGCCAACGCCAGGCATTCAACCATCGGCTCAGAATGTGAGCGCCACTGTTGGTGGGGACATGGACAGGAAGTGTCCCCACCGCTCCGTGGCTCTCAGACTTGTAGAGAGACAGAGGACCTGGCAGACAGACAGACAGACAGCCCGAAGTTCTTGCCTCCATGTGTGTCTCTGCAGGAGCTTCCTGCTCAGGGAGTCCAGGTGTCCAGGATCTGTCTAAGGGCAGATCCGCTCTGCAGCCTGGGTGGCCCTGGGGACATCCGGGCCCTCTCTGAGATACAATCACACAGAGTGTGGCCCGCTATGCCTGGAGGGCAACCACAGGGAGAGTGCTTGCTCTCAGTCCTGCCCCTCCCGTATCCCAGCAACAAGCCCAGCATCCCCTCTGCAGAGCCAGCGCTGCAGATGCACATGTGGGACGGGCTGGTCAAGCCTGCAGGACAGAAGCCTGTCCCTTGAGTGTGTGTTGGGACCCAGGGCCACCCACCAGCAGCACGCCTCCTGCCTAAACAAGCAGGCCCCATGGGACCCGGGCAGAGGAGGAATGCGTGTGAAGGAGCCAACTCCATCGGCCAGCCAGCAGGGGAAACTCGTTTACAGGAAAATAACACCCTTGTCTTCTAAGTTGAAGGAAGATGTTGCATCCACAAAACAAGAACAGGGTGCTGTGAACAAAGAGTAACAGGAGGGCATGAGAGAGCTCTTGGTAGGACATGAAAATGACAAGAAAATTTTGGTGGAGAGACTGGAAGATGAAGCGGAGGGACTATCCCAGAAGGACAGCAGAGGGATGGGAAAAGTGGAAGAGGAAAGGTAAGAAATGAGGAGAAAATGTCAGAGGTTGTATCGCTCATTCATGGGTGTTTCCGATAGAGAAGAGAATGGGAGAAATCACCTCACGAGTGCTAAGCTGCACTCGGACTGGAAAGCCAGGAGCAAGCAGAGGCGAAGTCCCACCGGACACATAGCTCAGTAACCCTGTGCAGGGCTGGGCATGACCCAAGAGGGGTTGAGGGGTCCAGTGCCCCTCAGGACACAGCAGATGGGAGACGCTGCGTCGGGAGTCTGGGAGGAAGTCTCCGCTGGCACCTCTGCACCCAGACTGGTGACCAGGCAAGGGAGAGGTGGAGAAAACATCCAGGCCATTGAAAATCTGCCTCCCACGCTGGCTGCTTCCGGGGACAGTTCCGGGGTGCATTTCAGAGCTGCTGGGAGGAGGCTGGGCCAGCTGAGCACCTGCCCCGGAAGTTAGTGAAGTGAGGAGCCTGGTCGCCTGGACTGGAGAGCAGGGAAGGAGGCCCGGGGTCCTGGGCCGAGGCCTGCAGAGCCCTGCCAGGCCCTCCCAGAAGTGCGTGCAGCACTCTGGAGCCCAGCGCAGGTAGGGACACTGGATGCAGGAGGATTGGCAGGGGAGGAAATCATTAACAGAGGCAGGCCGGCTCCTGTGCCCAGCGAGCAGTGTGGGCCAAGTCTTTGTTGGGGAGACAGCGGGATACTGCAGTGGTGGCCTCCGGGGTCGGGCCAGTGCAGGGGACACCTGATAGGCAATTTAGGCCTCTCTGGGTGCTGCTTGGGGTTCCCAACCACACGTGTGCACGTGGGTCTCTAACAGCTAACAAGTGCATGCAGTGGAGCTTGGGTCACCCAACACTCCCAGGAGCCCTGCTTCAGTGCCCACACCCCTCAGGGCACCGCCCCTCTGGAGGCCCTGGGTCCCGGGCAGGAGGTGCCCCAGGCCTGTGGGTGTGGCTGGCAACCGAGGTCACGCCTAGCTGTGGCTCACCCGACAGGTTCCCCTTTGGGCACCTTCAGGACTTTGCCCCTGCCGGAGACCTGGCTGCCCGCCTTGCTGCCTGCAGGACACTGACTCAGAGGAGGCTGGCGGACATGGCTTGGTGGGGCCGGCACCGTGGGCCCTGCGGGCCGCTGCTCCCGTAACCCCACAGAATGCCCCAGGGTGGACAGGCTGAGAGGCTGCTCAGGGGTGTGGTGTCCCCCCGCCCCACCCTGGGGTGCCAGCTTCTTGGTGTGCATACAGCCTAACTTCTAAGTGAACTAAGTGAACCGGTTTCTCTCCAGGACTGTAAGCGCAGACAGGCTAAGGCGGGTGTGTGACCTAGGGCGGCCAGGCCTGGCTCACATCACTGTCACCGCCACAGACTGACAGACATGGCCTGGCCTGGGGGAGGCCTGGTGTGGCCGCCTGTGAATTGGAATGTCCTCAGGAATGTGTCCTCAGGAATGTGCCTCCCCTGGGGGGTGTCAGGCCTGGGAGTCTCACCCGCAGGAGTCTCCTTCCCTATATCCGAGGTCCTGGGTGAGCTTGGTGGCCAGCCCTGTCCCTCCCTGGGCTCCTGAATGGACACAGGCACCAGGCCTGGCAAGCCCACCTGGTGGCTCTTCAGCAAGCGGTGCTCTCCCCGGGCCCAGGTAACCCTAATCCCAGAGGCCTGGCTGCCGCCTGGTGTGGATCCTCAGAGCTTTCTGAAGATGATGGAACCGTGTTAGGATTGAAACTGACTGCTGTGGAGTTAATTAACTGTGTTTTCGAGTTTGAATTTTTCCTCTTAATTTTTAAGAGACCCTTTTATGACTTGATCTTGCTCATATATCAGTGTATTTGTAGGTTTACTGGATTTTGTTTTTAGGGAGTGGGGTGGTAATTGCTTACCTTTCTTGGTGAAGTTGGCTCCGGTATGGCTCTTCAGTAGACTGGGTGGATCTTCAGCTTCAGGTCCGTAGCAGAATGCTGTTGTCGGCACAATTATTGTGTGTGATGAGACTGGAAGCATGGGTTTGGGTTTGTACCTGCATCTTTGGATTTGCACATTTGGTTACGGAGACTTGGAGGTCCTAGTTGGCTTCAGTCACGTGTGTCTGCTTTTAGGTGACTTCATCAGCTGTGGTCTCTTTGGGTTTGTGGTTCAATTTAGAGTTGTGTTAAACTCATGTTTTGCATTTGACTTCCTTTTCCATTAGCCTGAAGGTAACTGTTTGATTTTTGAACTCTGGGATCTTAGCGGGAAGTGGGATCCAGGGGGACGTCGTCCTGTCCCAGTGCTGAGCCGGGCGGGGCCTCATCCTGACCCGGGCAGGGGCTGGAGCCTTGGTTTCCCAGCTGAGGAACAGGCCCCTCTCCCAAGGTTCCAGTCCTTTCATTGCAGTCAGGGTCTGGGTAGGTGCAAGGCTGCTGGGGTGGAAGTCACTTTTCTCCCTGCCCCCTGGGAGCCTCGGGAGGCCCCTCAGTGCAGCTCAGCGCACCCTGTCACTGCCCGGTGACCCTGGGTCACTTCACGGCGCCCCCTGGGGGCGGGTAGCCTCTCCTGTGCCCGGTTGACAGATCTGGGCACTGGGATAGGTGGTGTCCCTCGCTCATTGAGAACATCCAGTGCCCAGGTCCCCGACAAATGCGCGGACCTAGCGTGTGCAAGGCCCCCGCTGGCTGGGTGTGCACGCACTGTCACAGCCCAGAGTGCCTCCAGAGAGACCGCTGTCCTGGCGCCTCAGCCCCAGCTGGCTGGAGCTTCATCGGCATGTGCTGTGGTCACGCAGCAGGGCAGGGCGCCCCGGTGCATCACGTACCAAGCCGAGCGTCTGCCCAGAGGGACTCATGTCCACTCGAACCGCATCTCTCCTCCTGGCCGAAGCCAGGCTTGGGGCTGCACTGACCCCAGGGGACAGAAGTGGCCATCGTGCTGGAAGGAGGAAGGTGGCCGTGTTGGGGACCCGTACTGGGGCAGCAGCACTGCAGGGCTGCAGGACAGCAGATGGGGCACCAGCTGCCAGGGGGCAGGGCGGAGCACGCAGGGCCGTATGTGCCAGTGCTGGGTGTGGAGCTCCGGCCCTGCACCAGAGAGGGCATCCTGGGGCTGTGGCTCGGGTCGAGCTCAGCCGGCACCTGTGTCCCTGGCAGCCCTCATAGCCATGCGGCAGCAGGGGTCTGGGCTCAGGCTGGTGGCCTCGAGGCCTCACACAGGTCAGAAGCCCCACTCGGAGTCAGAAATTGGAAAGTCCGAGCATGTTCCCTGCCCTGGGGAGGTCTTGTGGCCGTGGGAGGAGTGGACGGGCCTGGGCTCACATCCGGCTCTGCATCATCCTGTGCGGTGTCCCTGGCCAGTCCCGGGCCTCTGCCAGCCTGTGCCTCCTGGGAGTGATGGTTGGGGCACGTTCAGTGAGGCAGAGCTGTGGTCCCTGCCGTCACCTGATGCCATGGCCGGAAAGGTCCCCAGGACAGCACCAGGTGTCTGGGCCCCAGTGAGGGACCGAGCCAGGGTCCCAGAGCCCAGGCTCCCAGACAGCCCTGCCTGCCCAGGGCCAAGACTTGCTGGGTGCTGCCCTCAGAGGAAGCTGGGTGACCTCCGAGGTCCAACTCGACTCCGTCTGCTCCCGCCGGGGCCCTCTGAGCTCAGGGACCTGCACCTGCCCGGGTCCTGGCAGGGACGCGCCTTGGTCCTCAGATGAGCCACGAGCAGGTGCCGGGCCGTCCCTGGGCGACTCTTGGTGACCAGGGCTGTGTGCACCACACCCTAGGACCTGTCCCGGGCCCATCTGCCCCTTGGGAGATGCTCAGGCGCAGGAGGGTGTGGGCCTGGAGGCCCCGGGAGGCGCCCCTGCTGCGCCTTCCTCACCTCTGTCCATCCTTCACCCCAGGCACCTCGGCGCCCAGCATGTCCCAGCGGCCCTCAGACAGCTCCTTGGAGGAGAGGCTGCTGGAAAACCGCTTCCACTCGGAGCTGCAGCTGGATGCCAACGGCAGTCCCTCGTCCAAGCTCCCCATCGTCCGGGGCTCCCTGCGCTCCAGGAGCCATGCCGCCTTCGAGCCGGAGGCCCTGGCGCCCCCACCGTCACCCGCAGAGGACAGGGAGCCACGGGGCATCATCCTGAGCACACAGAGCCCTGCAGCCCTCAAGATGGGCGCTCAGCAGCTCATCCCCCGGAGCCTGGCTGTGGCCAGCAAGGCCAAGACCCCCACCCGCCACCAGAGCTTCGGGGCAGCCGTGCTCAGCAGGGAGGCTGCGCGGCGGGAGCCCCAGCTCCTCTCGGCCCCCAGCTTCTCCTTGGACGACCTGGGCGTGAACGTGAGCCCTGAGGGGACCCTGAAGCGAAACCTGCGGACCCAGTCTTACCGCGCGGCCATGAAGGCGCTGGGGTCCCCGTGCAGCAAGGGGGACTCCAGCCAGCTCAGCCCCAAACTCCAGGCTCTGGCTGAGGAGCCCAGCCAGCCCCCCACCCAGTGCCCAGCCAAAAGCAAGGTAGGGGCCTCGCCCGGCCAGGCCAGGACCCAGGGTCCCCAGCCCATAGGTGGGCACCAAGTCGCCGTACCCCGCACTGGGGGACAGACCTTTGCTGTGGGCCCCAGGCCGGCCGGGGGCGGTGAGGCTCTCAGGGCCTCGTGCTGTTTGCTCTGCTTCCTGGTCACTGTCCCGTCCGCTCCTGCCTGGTTCCCTGTGGTCCCCCCATCCCGTCCAGCCAGGGAATCCCTGCTGGACCAGCCTTGGGAACCTGGGCTCCTCCCCACGCATGGCAGGCGTCCCACAGCAGGCTGTTGGTATCATTGAAAGCTCTAAAACATTCGCCTTCACGGGACTAGGGACTCTGCGTGGGTGTCCGTGGGTGCCTGAGGGCGCAGGGGCCTTGCACCTGTGTGGCTCCGCCAGTTCCTGAGCCTGCCTGAGCTCAGCTTCCCACGTGCACATAGAGAGGGCAGCTGTCCTGCCACCACGGTGCCCTCAACAGAAAGCAGCCTCGGGCAGAGCCAGGTGGGGAGTCTGGGAAGGGCGCCCTGGCTCTGCACCCCCACCCCAGCCTCTTGTTTCCTGGCTTCCCGTCATGGAGAGGCGTGACCACTGCCAGGGTGACAGCCACCAGCATGCAGGGGCTGATGGTGGCGGAGGCAGATCCCCTGCCCCCAGGGCCAGCACTGCCCTGGACCACAGCTCCTGCCATGGCTGCCTAGGAGGCCCAGACCCCAGAACCTGGCGGACCACTACTGCAGGTTCCCTGCCCGGGACTGGTGTGGCCCTGAGGCTCTGTACCCCAAGGGTCCTGCAGAGGACTCAATCCTGAGCCCAGAACCCTTTCCTGAGGGCCCTAGGTGGGCCCGAGCTGGGTGCCAAGCTGAGCCGCGTGCAGAGAGCTCCAGGGCAGAGGGCTGCACAGCGGGAGGGAGGGTGGAAGTGGAGCCAGGAGGGTGGAGGGAGCAGGCCTGGGAGTCCACACCTTCCCAGCCAGTGGGGAGTTTTCAGGCCCCAACTGGTTCTGAGAACTGACCCTGCCTTCCTGGAGCCAGCACACCTGCGTGGCTCCTGGGTCCCAGCCAAGAAGGGGGGCTCCCCAAGAGCTCTGCCCCCAGTTGCCTCTGCCCTTCCCCTCCTCCAGCTTCTGGGGGCCCTGACCAGTGCTAGGGCCCAGATGGTAAACAGCCCAACCTTTCCCTTCCTGGACCCCCAAGGGGACCTGGGGTCGCCGCAGGCCCCACCCCCTACCCCGGTCCCCCTCTGCCGAGCGCACTGCCCACCTCAGCCTCCCCCAGGTCCACCCATAACTCCTGGTGCCGGGGGCTCCAATCTCCTGCGCCTCCCCTATGGTCTCCAGCCTTTCCTCCAGGCAGCGCCCTGGACCTGCACCACCCCACCTGTCCTGGCCTCTGCTTGGCAGCCCTGGGGCCCTCTTGAGGTTCGTTGCGCACCTGGGTGTGCAGGCAAAGCCCCCCTACTGGGCGTGGCCTCCCACATCTGCCGTGAGGTCTGTGGACCCCCAGAGTGACACACTCGCAGCAGACCCGCACCCCGCCAGCCCCGACGGCTGATGTTTCTGTCTCCTTTGTCCAGAGGACACTGGGCCGGAAGCGTGCACACAAGGGCTCCTTCAAGGACGGTGAGAGGCTGGGGCCCCACAGGTAGGGTCTGGGAGTGGCTCAGGATGGAGGATGGGCTCCATGGGGTCCTCCAGGGCCTGATCTGACCATGCGGCTCCAACATCTCAAGTCCAGGCAGCTCCCTGGACTCGCATGCAACCCCACGGGCAGGGGACACAGAGCCCCCAAGAGGGGCCACGGCCAGGTCAGGGCGCAGGCCCGGGATTTGCAGATGGCCATGCCGCCTGCTCTGCGTGGAGTCGTCCAGGCCCAGGAGCGGGGCTCAGCCTTCTCTGATAGTCCAGGGGAAAACTCTCCCAGGAGAGGGGCGGGGTGACCCTAGGTGCCAGGGCGAGGTCGGTAGTAGCCACTAGCCTGTGGGCAGGATCGTGGGGTGGCACCCAGCACCCATGGCTGAGCCTCCTTCCCCTGCGGGTACTGCTGGCACACAGGGCTCAGGTTCGTCCTTCGCCTGGCCTGGAGGTGCCACATTCTGCACTGTGCTGCTGCCACTGGCCCCACAGGGCCACGGGAGCCGCCAGCCAGTGGGCAGCCTGCCAGGGCCCTGCACAGCCTGATGCTCTGGGGGGCCCTGGGGAGGGTTTATGCCCCTTTGAGCCCCCTGGCAGACAGGTGCCTCTGCTCCTCTCCGCAGACCCCGGATTCTACCAGGAGATCCGGGAGCGGGGCCTGAACACCAGCCACGAGTCTGATGATGACATGCTCGACGAAGCCCCTGGCCCCGATGGGACCCAGAGGGTGGACACCTCCATCGTGGTCAAGAGCTACCGGCCCGCCCAGGTCACCTGGAGCCAGCTCCCTGAGGTAGGCCAGGAGGGGCGACCTTCCCAGCCACGGTGACCCTGTCCTCACAGGGAGGCGGGCTGCTTTCTGGGCACCCCCATGTGTGCCCTGGGCTGCCCTTTGCTGTGGGCTGGCTGGGCACTGTCGGTGGCGCTAGCAGGGGACACAGTTAGGGACATGTTTGCTCTCACCATGTGTGTGACAGGCATCCGTGCCCTCGCTGACCAGCCAGGTGCTTCCCAGTGCAGCCCCAACCCTGGGAGAGGCTGGGGTTCTGAGAGAGGGGGGTGTAGGGGTGAGAGCTGGGCCAGGCCTTGGCTTCTGCACAAGCTGTGCGCCAGGGCAAAGCTCCTGTTGCTCCTACGCCTGACAGCGAGGCGCCCCTGCCCTGCAGGTGGGCCCCAGTGGAGAGCAGTCAGGCGGATGTGCAGCTGCTGGGGCACACTCGTGACCCTGTGCCCTGAGGGTTGTGGGTGTGACAGGCGGCTAGCAGGGTGGGCCTGGTGTCCCCTTCATCTCCCTACAGTGGGGCTCCCCGTCTGTCACCCCAGGGGGGATGAGGGACCCTCTGTGCTATGCCGGAAGCCAGGCAAGGAGGAAGGCCCAGTGAGGGCAGTCGCTTCCCGAGGAGAAGCCAGAACGTGTGTTTGTCCCCTGCTCGGATGGGCCTGGCACACTGTACCCCAGCAAGGCTGCCAGATGCTCAGATCCAGCCGCCGGGGCCTGCGAAGAAGGCCTGAGGCCCCACCTGGCACCCTTCCGCCCAGCCCAGTCGGGAGGAGGCCATGGGGCAGCAGCAGGCGCCGAGGCAGTGCAGCCTAGCTGCTCCGTCGGAACGAGGCATGCTGAGACTCCGGGGAGCCCTGCTGTAGCCAAGGCAGCCGCTGGCCATTGCCCAAGGGGACGGAGAGGAGGGCAGTGGTGCCACACTGCTCAGTGTCTGTCCCTTCCCCAGCAAGGCTCTGTACCGCCAACTGCGGGCGGGTCTGAGCCATGCCTTCTCCCCTGCCCTGCGGCTCCCGGGGTGGGCTTGCTCCCCACCCACCCACCCAGGGCAGACTTTTGGGACAGGAGCCACCCCAGATGGCCCAACCCTCAGATGCTCCCACTCTTCCTGGGCCCCCCAGGAGGCTCCCAGAGAGGGAGGCGGGGCAAAGAGACCCGGCCAGCTGACATCTAAGGTCACGGAGCTGTGCACAGGTGGCCGCAGGTGCTCTGCCCAAGCTCCGGCTCCTCGGGCCTGTCTGTCCCTACATTGGCTCTGGTGCAAGGAGGACAGAAGTGGGCACTTTGGTTCCCCTCAGGATGTGGGGTGTGATCGGGCCTGTGCCTCCTCAGGTGGTGGAGTCGGGCATCTTGGGGAAGCTATGCACCGAGGAACGCAAGCGGCAGGAGGTGAGGCCGTGGCGATGCCACAGCTCGTGCCCCATGGCTTCCTCCCCGTGCGCGGCTTCCCCGGGGCCAGACACTGTCCGAGCCCCTCCTGTCCCCTCATGGGCCCGGGGCGGGCAGCCTTGGGGGACCCACCTCTCCTCAGACTGCAGTTCCTGCAGCTCTTACGTGGCAGCCACGGCCAGCTAGGGGCGTGGGCCACTGACCGGGGCAGCCGTCCTGGGCTCCAGCTGGCCGAGCCCCGCCTGCCCCTGCCTCCTGGACCATCCCCGCTGTTTGAGCAACGTCACGGCACACACACAGCCGGCCTCTCCGGCGCAGGCTCACTGGCTGCCCCCACAGGCCATCTTCGAGATCCTCACGTCCGAGTTCTCCTACCTGCACAGCCTGGGCATCCTGGTGGCTGAGTTCCTGCAGTCCCCAGAGCTGCGGGCCACCATGACGCAGATGGAGCACCACCACCTCTTCTCCAACATCCAGGACGTCCTGGCTGCCAGTAAGAGGTGAGCAGTGAGGAGCCCACCGCCGCTGGGTACCGGGCCTGCGCTTCTCGGCAGGCTGCCCAGAAGTCCCCTCGTCCTGGCTGGCTGCACAACTGCACTGGCAGAGCCCCAGTCTGCATCTGTGCTGGGATGGTCGGAGCAGCTGCCGGCTGGGAGGAGGTTGGGTGACAGCCTCTAAGGCCCTGGAGGCACCAGGAGCCAGCCCTGGGGACAGGCTGAGCACCGGGGTGGCGGGCATCTGGACTTCCATGAGCACCACGGGGTTGGTCACAGAGGGCCGCGTGGCACAGGCAGTGGTGCTCAGGGCGCTCCCCCCGGGAGGCAGCCCACCTTGCAGCCGGGCCGGGTTCTGCCGTGTCCGTGGCCAGCTGGGCCCCTGTTGCAGGACCTCAAGGAGCGGGAGGGGCTGGCACGCAGGTGTGGGCCTGGGCGTGTGTGTCTGTGCCTGTGTGTGCTGAACCCCAGAAAGGCACAGCCTGGGTGGCTTCTGTACCCCAGGAGACCCAGCGCCTCCCAGGCCGGACCCTCAGCCTCATTGTTGACCCCAGGGCTGGTGTGGGGGCCGGGAGGCCTGCTGGGGTTGGTGAGAGGAACCAATTGTGCGGTACCCACTGGGGCCTCGACAGCCAAGGCTGCGGGCTCTTTTCTGTCGGAATCAGCTGGCCGAGGCCCACCCAGTCTGCTGCCTATGGGGCCCCCAGAATTCCAGGGAAGAGGCACCCGATAGGGAGCGTGCCTGGAGGCAGGCAGCACGCCCTTGTCCTTCAGGGCCCAGGCGCAGCCTCTCCGTGGGCTGCTGCCAGCTTGGCTCAGTCCCTGTAGTGTGTGTGCGTGTGCGTCTGCACGGACGCATGTGTGTGTCACACGTACGCCCTCCATGCCCAGGTTCTTCGAGGACCTGGAGCAGCGGCACCAGGCGCAGGTGTGCGTGGAGGACATCAGTGACATCCTGGAGGAGCACGCGGAGAGGCACTTCCACCCCTACGTGGCCTACTGCTCCAACGAGGTCTACCAGCAGCGCACACTGCAGAGGCTGACGTGAGCGGCCCCCACTTGCCAACCGGCTGCGTGCGGCCTGCCAGGCCCCGCACAGCTGGGCACAGCCACGCCCTCTCCCGCAGGAACAGCAATGCCGCCTTCCGCGAGGCCCTGCGGAACATCGAGAGGCGGCCGGCGTGCGGGGGGCTGCCCATGATCTCCTTCCTGATCCTGCCCATGCAGCGGGTGACCAGGCTGCCCCTCCTGACTGATGTGAGTACGAGGGTCCCAGGAGTGGCCGCCGCCCCCAGGATGGACAGCCCGCAGGCCACGTGTCCCCCTTGCGCTGTGCGCACCTCGGCTCTGTGGAGAGTTGCAATGACCATTTTCAGGCAGTGTGAGTAACAGGGTCGCTGTGGGGCTGGCACCTTGGGTGCCCTCCCCGCAGAGCACACGCAGGCACCCTCGGGCACTGCGTAGACACACACGTGCACACCTACGCACAGTTGCCATGACAGCAGCCTGGCTGAGGCAGTGGAGGCTCAGGATGTGAGGCTCAGGGAGGTGCAGCCCAACTGCATACAGCCTCGGACTTCTGGCCCTGGAGCTCTAGAAATGGAGTCCCTGGGTCTCTACTGGCCACTCCTCAGCTCGGCCTGGCCGAGCCCCTGGGGGTGCAGAGGCCGTCCGGGGGCCGTGTGCACAGTGGCGCAGCAGGAACTGTCTACCTGGGCCAGGGCCTGGAACTGTGGGGAGCCCTGCCCCATGCAGGCCTCCAGGAGACCCGGTCCCTCACAGCTGCTGTCTCCTCCAGACCCTCTGTCTCAAGTCCCAGGGCCACCCCGAAAGGTACAAGGCTGCCAGCCACGCCCTGAAGGCCATCAGCAAGGTGAGGTGGGGCAGGGCCGGAGGGGAGCCCCAGCCCCAGCCCCAGTCTGGCCCAGGTTCCTCCCCAGTTCTTCCTCCGGCCCTGTCCTAGGTCCTGGCCCCCTCTGTGGCCCGGACAGTAGGATAGGGCTGGGGAGACAGGCCTGCCGCCAGTGGTGCCCTGCACAACCAGTGCACCCACGGCAAGGCTGGGACCAGGACGGCAGGCAACGGGGGCACAGGGAGCAGGGCCCCCCTACACCTCATCCCTTGCCCCTGCCGCTGGCCCGGCCCTGCAGCTGGTGAGGCAGTGTAACGAGGGGGCGCACACCATGGAGCGCACGGAGCAGATGTACATGCTGCAGACACAGCTGGACTTCAGCAAGGTCAAGGTGGGTGGCCGCCCCGCGCCATGCCCCTGCTGTCCTGGAGCTCGCATCAGCCTGCAGGCCTGAGGATGAGGAGCCCCCAGGTGCCCACCCTGGGTGGCTGTGCCTTTGGTCCCTCCTGGCCTCGGTTTCCCCTGTGAGAGCAGCCCCCTCGCACGCTGCTGTGCCCGAGGCTGGTGGTGGATGGGCCGGGAGTGGGCACGGGGGGCAGAGGCCCTGGCTGGGTGGTGCTGGGCTCAGAGCTGGCGGTGGGCATCACGGAGCACGCGAGGGGCACAGGTGGGTGCAGCTGGACTGCCGGCCCAGCCGTAGGCTCTTCCCTCCCCCACCCTGTGGCCTGGCCGAGCTCCAGGGCGGGGCTCAGGACTGGGCGACTGAACAGCCTTCACTGAAGGCCCAGGCACAACTCCCCTGGTGCCGTCCAGCCCTCGTGGTTACCCACTGGGTCCTGGGAGACCTGCCCACCTGCCCTCTGTCCCCAGTCCTTCCCGCTGATCTCCGCCTCCCGCTGGCTGCTGAAGCGTGGCGAGCTCTTCCTGGTGGAGGAAGCCGGGCTGTTTAGGAAAATTGCCAGCCGGCCCACCTGTTACCTGTTCCTGTTCAACGATGTCCTGATCATCACCAAGAAGAAGAGGTGGGCAGGGGCTGCCAGCCTCGGGCAGGGGTGCCAGTGTCTGTGGTACATGCAACACAGAGTGGCTGCACGGCTCCTGCTGCCAGCCCGACTCCCTCAGGCCACGGGGACCAGGAAGCGCGAAGCCTCTGTCTCCGGGCGCCAGGCCTGGGATGAGCTCTCGGGAGCGTGGTGAAGGGAGCCCGCTGACCCCCGTGTCCCCACAGCGAGGACAGCTACGCGGTGCAGGACTATGGCCAGCTGGACCACGTCCAGGTCCGGAAGCTGGAGCCCTCGGAGCCGTATCTGCCAGGGGGTGGCAACCGCAGCTCCTCCGTGCCCCACCCCTTCCGGGTGACCCTGCTGCGGAACAGCGAGGGCCGCCAGGAGCAGGTCCTGCTGTCCTCAGACTCTGCGTAAGAGGAAGGGACCCCAGGGGGTGGCCGGGCCACGCGGGTACGGGCTCAGGGAAGGCAGGTGGGTGTTCCTCCACACGTGTCTGAGCAGCTGCTATGCCAGGCGCTGCTGCAGGCTCAGAGGCCAAGCGCTGCCCGAGCAGCCTGTCCTCATGGTGCCTGTGTTCCCAGAGGGGACACGAACTGTCCCGTGACCGCGAGGAGGGGATAACCAGCAGAGGCAGGCGTGGGGGGGGTTGGTGAGGAAACCTCATTCTCGACCGAGTGATACTCTGTTCACCCTGCGCAGGGAGTGAGGCTGTGGACTCAAGGAGGGGTACTCTGCAGGGCCACAGCCATGCAGAGGTCCTGGGGCAGCAGGGTGCAAGGCAAGGGCTGGAGCACAGGAATGCAGGGACAGTGGGGCAGGTCGGACCAGGGGGGGCACAGCAAGGAGAACAGCGCTGGCCCAGGTGGGGCTCTTGGACGCCACGAAAGGGAGGAAGGAGGCCTTGCTCATGCTCTCTCTGGCCCCCAGGAGCGACCGAGCACGGTGGATCACAGCGCTCACCTACCAGGAGAGCCAGTGGCAGGGCCCCACCGACAAAGGCGGTGAGTGTGGGTGCCGGCCTGGGCCGCGCGTGTCCACCTGCGCTGGGCCCTGCCTGGCCTGGGCGCTCACACACCGCCTCCCCAGAGCTGCCCCAGGTGGAGGTCACCAAGGCCTACCTGGCCAAGCAGGCGGACGAGATCTCGCTGCAGCAGGCTGACGTGGTGCTGGTCATGGAGGAGGAGGACGGTGAGCGCGAGGCGGGGTCGGCCCTGAGGGCCTGGGCGCTGGTGTCCCCAGGAGCAGCCCCCGGGAGCTGGGGTGCAGCCCACCTCACGGCCTGGGCCCCGCAGGGTGGCTGCACGGAGAGCGGCTCCGGGATGGCGAGGTGGGCTGGTTCCCCGAGGACGTGGCCCGCCGCATCACCAGCCCCGTGGCCGTGGAGGACAACGTGCGCCGCATGGAGCGGCTGCGGGTGGAGACCAACGTGTAGCACACGGCTGGAGAGCCAGCTGCGGGGCACAGCCTTGCGGGTCCGGAGCACGCAGTGGGGAGGAGGCGCTGCCCTCCGGGCGAGTCCTGGGCTCTGCGGTCTACAGTCTCCCCAGGCCACATCCCAGCAGGAGCCCGGCCCCGCCCAGGGGCGCCCATGGCAGCGGCTCGAGGCTGACGGGGACGAAGGACCGAGGCGGCCCTCTCCCCATAAACTTCCTGCCCCAAGGGACGAGAAGGCCCTCAAGTACCCAGTGGTGCCCACATTCTGATCTGGGCCACGGGAGGGAGGGGAGGGACGTGTGGTGCCAGTGGGGTGATCTCAATTCAGAGCTTTTAAGCAACATTAAAGTATTTCTTTAAAACTTGGGTCTCTATGGCAAATCTGAGCCCGAGCAAGGGCCACAGCCACGTGACCCCATGAAGTGCCCAGGGTGCCACGGGCTGGGACTGGCCCCTGCATGGCTGCTCCGTGCTGCTCCCTGGCTCTGGCCCATTGCCCACTGGCCAGAGCATTGCGGGCAAAGCCCTGCCCACACAGCAAGGGACCAGGTGGCCAGAGCTGGGCCTTGAAGGGCTGGGCCTGGCCATGGGGACTTTGAGGCCCCTCTGGATGGCCCTAGAGCTGGATGTGGCCTCCGTCACCCCTGCCTCCCCCTCCCAGTCAGGACGAGGAAGAACAGGTCTCCACCCCGGCTGCCTGTGCTGAGCCCCCTGGCCCGGGACAGTGCTGTTGGGGTGAGGGTCCCCAGCACACGCTGGAGAACCTGCCCTGATCCCGGCCCAGCTTCTGAGAGTCGGGGTGCGTCTTCCCAGGCACTGCTGGGCAGTAGGGTGGCCAGGGACCAGGTCTCGCAGGGGCGCTGCACCAGGAGGGCCACTGTGGCCTTGGGCGGGACAAGGGCCGAGTCTGGAGCAGCCTGGGCAGGGGTCTGGTCAGTGGCTGCCTCTCGGGATGGCATGGTCGGGAGTGGGGTCACTGGAGATGGGGCGCAGCCCCTCCGAGCCCCACACATGGACAGTGGGGCCTCGACTCCCACTCTGAGCTGGGCTAATCCCGCCCTTCCCAGGATGATGGGCGGGGCTGATGAGTGGTGCTCACGTGCTCGCGCGGCAGGCAGACGGCACTGGCTGGCCAACACTGCGGCCCTGTTGCCACCTGCTTCTCATCCCTGTACCCTGCCCGGAAGGCCAGGGTCCAGGAGGGGCAGGGTCAGTCCGGAGGGCAGCCCAGCCCCACCCGGTGCACAGCGGCTGTTACAGCTGTGCCTAGCTGGCCCCAAAGCCTCATAGTCTTAGGTGGGCTTCTCCAGAGCCGGCTGGATCTGGAGCACGTGACTGATTCATGGTGCAATGCTAGGATCAAGGGTGGTTTGATTGGTGTGGCATCAACCTAATCCCAGCAACCCGGATACAATATAAGGGGCAGAAGGGGCTTGTCAGGTCCCTTGCTCTCTCATTCCTTTTGCTGTCTTCCACCACCATGAACTGTTTCTCCTCTGCCCTGCCTCCCTGCCGTGGAGCCAGCCGAGTAGGGACTGAAACCTCCAAACTGTGAGCCAAATAAACCTTTCGTCCTTAACTTTGGGTGTCGGGTATTTTGTCACAGCAAGGAGAGAAAAGTAACTGAGGCCACCGCAGAGTGGGCTTGGGGGGCTGTGACGCCGGGGACCTGACTCGACCTGCCTTCACATGTGTCCTGGGGCAGGCGGCTCGGTTTAATCTGCAAGTGGTGAAAGCAGCTGCAGCCCCAGTGAGGCCCAGCACAGTCGGCCTGGAGCGGGGACAGCCCAAGGCCAGCAGAGAGGCCGCTGGAGGACAGCTGGGGAGACCTCCGGGCGCTGGGTCACTGGGGACAGCCCGGATGGGAAGTGTCCCCTGCCTGGCCCACTGGGGCCCTCCCACCTCCCCAGCTGGGGTGTCCTATGGTGACTACGACCTCTTCTCACTCAGACGCGTCTGACCTCCATCCGTGCTCTGTGGCTGGTGTCTGGGGGCCACTTCTCTGCTCCCCAATAACGGGGTTGCAGCGATGAAGGGGGATGATTCTGCCACCCCTATGTGGTCAGACTGGTCTCAGCTGGGCCTGTGCAGCCGCCCCTCCTCCTGTCCAGCTGCGTGGCTGGGGCAAGTCCCTGGCTGTAAGGACCCTCCTGTTGCAGATGGGGAAACTGAGGCCCAAAGGCACTCTACCCACGTCTGGGGCCCATGGAGGCTTCTAATGACATCAGCCAAAGCCAGTGAGGCCATGCCCTGGGCAGACCCAGGTTGGGCCAGACAGAGGCGCCTGTGGGGGACTGCAGTGAACCCTCCCCAAGGCCACATGGGGGGACCCTGCAGCCAGAGCAGCAAGACAGGCTGTGGGCCTGAGCGCCCAGGGTCCAGCAGCCAGAGGAGCAGGCCAGGGAGCAGGGAGCAGGGAGCAGGAAGCAGGGAACAGGGCTGGGGTGGCCAGGCAAGGCCAGGGACTCTTGGCCTGTCCTTCAGCTGGGGGCCCTGTGGGGCTCATCACAGCCTCAGTGGCCACTCTCCTGACCTCACCCCTCTCCACCACCCACCCACACCCACGAAGCGTTGTCCCTGGGGGTGGGTGTCACACAAAGGAGCGGGTCACAGGGCCTCGTTCTGGGATCACGCCATTCCGCACATCTGCAGGGCCACGAGTGTGTCCCTCGAGCGCCCCCTGTAGGCGCAGAGTGGCACTGCTGGCCGGCCTTTGGGCACCAATACACTAGGAGCCTGGGGCTGGGGCTGTACCCCTGGGGTCTCAGCGTCCCCATGCTTCTCCTAGAGCCCTCTGGCTGCAGCTTTTGCCCCGTGGGGCTAGATCCATATGCCACGGCCTCCTCCTGCAGATCTCTGATCCTAGCAAGGCTGCACCCTGCCCTTGGCCATTCCGAGTCCGTGAATTCTGCTCCTGTCCTCCTGTCTCTGCTCATGTCTTGATATCAGCCCACTGCACATTTCAGACACGGTAATCCCTACCCCAGCTGCCACCTGTGGCCAGGCAGATGGACAGCCTGGGAGATGACATCTGTAACATCACATCTGTCCTCTGCTCTCTGAATTCTGAGGCCTCCTTCTTAGGTCTTTAAAAATTCCTTCCAAGAGTGAAGACAGGAATCCCTTTGCCAGACTCACTCCCGGGTGGGCACGGCTACCTGCCCGTGGTGGGTGGTGTCTCGAACTGTTGTCTAGCTGGTTACGGCTGAGCTTTTTGCAGGCTTTATATGTGCCACATGATTTATGTGGCTTTACCACCAGCCTTGCTGAGTCCCTGCCAGTGCAACAACCCCCGGCCCGTCTGGGATTTGCAGAAACGGAGGAGCCCGGCCCCTGCACACATGCCAGGCTCCGGCCACATCTTCACGCTTGTTTCTCCCGACGGTGTGGCCGGGGCCACCAAGCTCTGCTGGGTGGGGCGGTGACATGATGCTGCAGACAGCTTCCGGGCCCACGGTGCCACAGGGCCACAGCACTGCCTCTGCGGAGCCTGCGTCCTGAAGGGAAGGCAGAGATGCAGGACCTGACCCGACGGCCCCCAGAACAACAGCAGGAAGGAGGCGGGAGTCCGGACGGTGGCTGCCCTGGGTGACAGGGGTGGGACAGACCTTTGCCCAAAACCCTCAGCAAGGTCCCCTGTGCCTGGTCACCCAGCCCCAACCAGGCGTTGAGCTGTAGCGAACGCTCCCTGCTTCCCGCGAACGCTCCCTGCTTCCCGCGCGGCTCCGCACCCCAGCACTCGGCACATCTTATGCTGGCTCAGGCTGTTATTTCCCAGCGCCTCCCTTTGGACCACTCACGTTTCACCCAGGATTTCTGCGCGCTTGTGAGGGGTCTGAGGGGTCTTTTCCACCCCGCCCCTGGTTGGAGACCCACTTACGGTGGCCCTGTGAAACGAAGCGAGCGGCTTTTCTTGTTTGAAGTTTCTGGACCGAGTGGCATCAGGTAAGTTCACGGCGTCCTGGAGGCCAGGTGCAGCCACCTGTGCGGCGGGGTGCTGGGGGCGCCTGGGCTGGGAGAGCCAGTAGACTTGCCACTCCTGGCTGCATTAACTCCAGTTACTCCCATAGTTTGGGCATTTTCTTCTCTACTTACACGGATGCTGGCATTTTGCTTCCCCCAAATGTATCCATTTTCTTGTTTTCAAAGTCATTGCTACATAGTTGCTTACACTTGTTTTTAATATTGCATCTGCAGTTGATTCTCCTTCCTACCGGTTTTTTTTTAACCTCATCATTTAAATATCATCAGTCTACTAACTTACTAGTCTTCAAAGAACAAAATTTTGGTTTTAACTGTTCCAGAGCTGGGGGGTGCAGTTTGCCTCATATGTGCAAAGGCCTGGGTTCCATCTCAGTACCACAAAAAAACAAAGTTCATTTGTCATTGTTCGCTGAGTGTACACTTTACATACCTGAGTATAAATGTGCACATATAGAATGCGTGAATATTATAAACACAGTATGTGTACTTAAGTTTATTCAAATTGTTACTGGTATTGCTTACTCAACCTGTTGGTTTTGTAAAGAGCTATAATGTATTTATTTCTTCCTGCTATACCTAGAGTGCTGGGAGTCAGGTATGTGTGTGAATGTGCTTCGCAACAGTCACGATGCATTCACCCACCGTGCAGTAGGGGAGCTGCTTCCTCAACTCTGCTTTCCATGGCTCTTTCTACCCTTTAGTTGGGTCTTCACTACTCTGGTTCTAATTCGATGTAGGGCTGTGGCGGATCCTCCCCGTAACCACTCATGTTAGTTCTTAGCCTGTTTCTCTGCATGCTTTACAGCTGACTTCCTCCCCTCGGTGGACAGGCCCAGACCCCCAGGTCCCACCCTGCCGCCCGCCTCAGCTCCCCTGGACACTGGTGTCTTTCACCCCAGGACCAGTGACTTCCACCCTCACCTGCCCCACCCCCACCCTCGCAGCGTGGTCCAGGGATGCCTTTGTAGATTAATAGGAAGGTTTTGCTTTTCTTAATTATTAAGGCGCATGGGAAATGTAGTGAATAATGTCTCAGCTCCCTCCACTCCAGGCCCCTCACTCCTCTTGCTGAGGAACATTCCCCAGGAGAATTTCAGACCAGGCCACGGCTGGCAGAGAGACCCGGGATCATGCATTGATATGTATACGCATCATGACAGTTGAGCTGGGCATAAAATTCAGGTTTCAAAATTCTTGGCAAAAAAAAAAAAAAAAATTCTTGGGCATCTTGAGGCCAAAGCATCATTTTCTGGCTCTCTCTAAAGTCTCCCATCAGCCAGGCATGGTGGTGCATGCCTGAAAATCCTAGCACTTGGGAGGCTGAGACAGGAGGCTCACTACAAGTTCAAGGCTGGCCTGGGTTACGTAGACAGACCCTATCTCAAAAAAACAAAAAAACAAAACAAAAATAAAGTCTCCCATCCATCTGACCCCCTTCCTTACTCCTCCGGGCATTTCAGAATTCCTCTCTGCCCTCGACATTGCAGATATTCCTCATTAAACAACCTACCTGTTTAATGACTGCTCAGACTCACAACTGTCTTTTTGGTACAGTCTGTACGTTGTGTTTACAGAGCCTCCATGTCGTTTTGAGTATAGCACGCCTTGTGCATACAGTACTGTAATTTTTGCTGACTCCCACACAGTACAGTGCTGGAGTTCTTTTTCTGTCATGCATTACAGTGCTGCATGTACGAGTTATGGCGAACAACAGTGAAGTCATCAGGCTGGAGCTTCCTTTGACCATGTTTTGGTTCTGAATATTGTAATATACACACTATAAATAACTCCTCAGTTAGTGACCAATTCATTTAACGACCTGGTCACCGGACTGGAGCTGTCCTTAATGAGGACTGCCTGCTCTGAATGTCAGCCTCAGTAGTTTTGTTTTTCTCTGCCCTTGGAGCTGAGACCCCGCTGAGTGCTTTCCACCGGTGGTGTCTCGACTGGACTGGCGTAGAGCTCACGTAGGTGGACTCTGACCTTTCCTCGGCCACTCCCATTAGCCTTTCTCTGTGGCCCTCTGTAAGCCCCGCTCGGCTCCCAGGAGGGTGTCCTGAGCCGGCAGTCCCAGCTCCCGGCGGCTCAGCTCACCCACAGGTCGGCCCTTTGCACTCTGGGGTCCCAGGCGCCTTGCTCCTGCATCACATTATCACTCAGTCATCCCTGGCCCCGCTTCCTCGGAAGGCTCAGTGCAGGGGTCTGCCGACTTGGCTCCCGCTGCTGCAGGCACCCTGTGTCTGTTCAGGGTGACTGGAACCTTGCTGGAACCCTCCTCCCTTGGCCCTGCAGGATCCTGTGCCCCTGGGGCATCAGCCACCTTGGCGGGCATTGGAGGGGATGAAGGACCACAGCCCAGACCCCAGCGGTACCTTGTGCAGGTGGCGGGTGGAGGCAGAGTCTCAGGGCAGTGTCCCCTGCCACTGTCGGGGTCCACACTCTCCACCAGCCGACCCACCAGTCAGAGACGCGCCCATTCGATAAACGCCATGCTCCGTGGCCTCCCATGACCCCTCCCGCATTGAGGCTGGCTGGGGCTGGGTGGGGGAGCTCGCCCTCTGCCCAGGCTGCCCCACACCACCCTGGCCCCTCCCTCCGGGCCCTGCTTCACACCCACAGGCCCCAGCACCGGCCACCTGCTGGGTCTGGGGCATCGAAGCTGTGTTCTGCGGGTCACTCGCCTGGGCAGCCTCAGCATTCCCCCGTACAGGCCTGGAGACCAGGAGACACCCTGGCGCCACCAGAGCACCTGTCTTGCCTCCCTGGTTGAGCGTAGATTCCTGTCCAAGGGCCCCCTGCCCACTGGCCAGGGAGGAACCCACAGAGTCCACGAAAACAGCACAGACACGGCCACGAGGAAGCTGCCTGCTCCTTTAACCCACGGCATCACGCAGATCCTGAGCTGCCGGCCAGGCTTCTGGGCCCGGCTGACCCGAGTCTGGGATTCCTCGAGGGGCCGTTTCCAGCTGACCTGGGCTGCAGCAGCACTGCCCATAAATACGGCCAGGCTCACTTTCAGCTGGACAGGCGGCCAGCTGCAGCAGTCCAGGCCTGGCACCGGAGAGCCTGCCCCACCCCACCCTGTACCGCCCCTTCCAGTCCCGATCCAGTGCCGGGCTAAGCCAAGCTTCCTCAGCACAGCCCGAGGGCACCCAGTGTGGGCAGTGCCGCCCAGGCCTGTCCACTCCCAAGGTTCCTCCCAGCAGCGGGCCCTGGCAGCCCAAGAGGCCATGCAGCTGTCCACATCGTTCCAGAGAGGACCGGGCCTGGGGTCCTGGTTCACATGTCCTCAGCTGTCACCACAGGCCTGGGTCCCTCGGTGGCACCTGGTGGCAGGGCATCGTGCCAGGGGGCTCCTGAGCTAGTGCTTGGTTTCCCTCCTGCTGAGCTGGGGCGCTGTGCTGTTGGAGGCTGGGTGAGTCCCTGGGGCCCAGGCAAGAAGGTCAATGCAGGGCGACCAGCCGTGGGACACCGCCCCTGCCCTTCAGCGTCAAGCCCCTGGGGACAGCCACCAGCCTCCTCCCCAGCATGTCCAGCCCCATGCCTGAGGTCCAGGGCAGCAAGACACCCAGAACCATGCAGGGCCTCCCTTTGACTGGCCCTCCCGGCAAGCCCATGGCGGGTTCGCCCGCCCCTTACCTGTGTCCTGGGCTGGGGACAAGGGCATGGGGACCTGGGGCGGCCCACCTGCAGGGGACAGAGCCGTCATACTGGGAGCAAAGTCTGACCCCACTCAGGCCTGCAGGCACCTTTGCCATCTCCTCACGCCTATGCCCTTCCCTGGAAGGCAGTTCCCAGCTAGGAGGTAGGGCTTAGCGGCTGGAAAGGGGGGCCCAGGCCTCCGAACACCCCGAAGCCCCGCCCACTGGCCCAGCTTCAGAGCACGCGCAGTCAAGGCTTCGCCCCACCCCGCCGCCCTAGGGTGCGCTACCACACCTGACCACTGGGTGCCACTGTGGGCAGTGTAATGCGTCCAAGCTCCACCCAGCTTGCTGCCGTCTCGCCCCCACCCTCACCCCGCTTAGGGCTCTTCACGGTTTGGAAGCAAGTGTCCCTGGGCCGGCTCAAAACAACACCCGCGTACACGTCCAGCTCACATCCGCCTAGACAGGCCGGCACAGCCTCTGAGCCCGTCCTCCTCTGTCCTCCTCTGTCCTCCCACCCCACGGGAGCTGCGGAGCCCAGGGGAAACCAGCCTGAGCTCCACTGCAGGTGGGGGCTCTTCCCACCGCGCCCCAGGGGCTGGAGAACCACCCGGCTCTGTGGGCGCCACGGGCGGGCGTGGGCACGTGGGGAGCACATACTCCTAGGACATGCACTGGCGCACGCGCAGGCGGCGGGAGGTCCACAGCTGCCCACCGTGAGATCACCCGACCCTGCCCACGGGGCTGGGGCTGTCTGTGGGCTCCCGCTGGGGTGCGCGGCCCACCTGGGCAACTGCCTGGGGCCTGACCGGGCTGCGTCAGTGGCATCAGGGCCCCTGCCCACAGCGAGGCTGCTGCTGGGAGGCTCTCACCCTGCCAGCCGTGTGGATGCTGGGCACTGGGCAGGGAGGGCTGGTTCTCTCTGGCTGGCCCAGTGAAGCCCACCCAGTGGTGTTGGGTGATGGATGGGCCCTCACCGGGTCCTGCCCCTCCCCCGGAGGCCTGACTCACCTTCCTGGCACGTGGGCCCCATGTAGCCGTCCACGCAGTGGCACTGCCCACTCACGGGGTCGCAGTCAGCTCCACCCTGGCAGTCACAGCGCAGGGCACAGCTGGGCCCGAAGTGGTTCCCTCTGCAAACTGCAGGGCGGGAGGTGGTGGGAGAGGTCTGAGCACCGCCCCGCCTGCTCAGCTGCAGGGCACAGAGTGGGGAGGGCGGGAGCAGCCCCCATGTGGCCCCCAAGCCGAGCCGAGTGCAGCTTTGTGGCTGCGAGCTCCTGCCAGGGCGGGGCCAGCCCCAGGCGCACCCAGTCATGCCTGGAGCTGCCCAGGCCTGCTGGGCAGAGGGCCTCAGGGCTTGACAGGCCCGGAGCCTCAGGGTCAGGTGTGCAGCCCACCCAGCAGCCATCTTCTTGTGGGCCCTGCGTTGGCAGTGCCCACCCACGGTGGCAGGGCAGGGACATCCAGCCTCTCCACTGGGGCTCCTCCGAGATCGAGGCCCAGCCTCCAAAGGGCCCCGGGCCCCAGAGAGCATGGGTCCCAGGGCCCTGGACCCCGGGGCACGGTGTCCAGCTGGGCCACAGGCGGTGCTCGACCCACATAGCCCACACTCGTCCCCGAGGGCGCCCGCGGGATGTCACACTCACTCAGGTCACACGTGGCTCCCGTGCGCCCCGGCGGGCAGAGGCAGAGGCCGCTGGTGGGGTCGCAGGGCACCCCCTCACCGCAGTCACAGTGCTGGCGGCAGCCCTCCCCGAAGGAGCCTGGCTCGCACCCTGGTGGGGGCAGTGGACTCAGCATCCACGCTGTGGGGCCCCAGGCTGGCAGGGACCGGCAGGGACAGCGCAGGGCACTCACCGTCCGCGCAGAGCTGTCCTTGGAGGCCCGCGGGACAGAGGCACTGGCCACTGACGGGGTCGCAGGAGGCTCCCCGCTGGCACTCACAGGCCCGCTCGCAGCCCAGGCCGTGGAAGCCGGGGGGACAGGCTGGGGGGGGGACCCTGGTTAGAGCAGCCGAGGGCAGCAGGCAGCAGGACTCTCCAGTTTGCCCAGGGCGAGCAAAGGATGACAACGCGGGATCGAGAGAAGCCCCTTGCGCTGGCCCCCTTTGACCCCAGTTCGTGGTCCCCATCGTGGCCCCCAGCATCCTATGGGGGCTTCTGGGAAGAGGAGGGGCATCCGGCCACATGATAGACAGGCTCCAGGCCTTCCCACGTGACCCCATGTAGGGGCCTCTGGGCTCGAAGCCCCAGCCTTGAGGACTCAGCCCTTCTTGAGGGGCCCCCATGGGCCAGGACCAGGAAAGTGCCCGTGGCTGAGGTGGAGTCAGGGCCCACGGGGCGGGGGGCGGGGCACAGCCCACGACTCACGGTGCTCGCAGGCCGGGCCATAGAAGCCCGGGCTGCAGCGGCAGGCGCCCGTGGTGGGCTCACAGGTACCGTTGTTGTGACAGGCGCACTCCAGGCGGCAGGCGGCCCCATAGCGCCCCGGGGGACAGGCTGGGGGCACAGGGAGGTCGGCCCTCAGCACTGCTGACCCAGCACTGCCCCTCCTGCCTGGCACATGGGCACTGCAGCCACGCACCCTGCTCACAGTGTGGCCCCGTCCAGCCCAGGCCGCAGGAGCAGCTGCCCGTGGCAGCGTGGCACAGGCCTCCGTTCCTGCAGGCGCACTGGTGCTCGCAGCCCATGCCGAACCAGCCCGGGGCGCAGCCTGCGGGCAGAAGACGGGCACTGCTCGGGGCTGAGGCCAGGGCTGGCACTCTCGGGGGTCACAGCCCCACACACCCTGATTTCGTCCCAGAGCCACCTGGCAATACTTGAGGCCACAGCCCCCAGGGCCATGCGAAGCTGCCCAGCCCACAGAGAGGGGTCGGGAGGCTTCCTGGAGGGGTGGCGCCCTGCACAGCCCCCCAGCGTGGGAGCCAGGCCCACACCCGGACTGAGCAGCGGCGTGGTTGCCCGTAGAGGTGGCCCCTGGTGGCCCCTGTGTAACCTGACAGTGGCCGGTGTCCTTCCTGGATGTGGTACGGGCCCAGGCCATGCCTGACCCTTAGCCACACAGGTTCCAGGGGCCCAGGCGGCACTGCAGGTGCTTGAGATGAGGGTGCCAGCTCCTCAGGACCGAGGAGGGGCCAGCCAGGTCTGCTGCCATGGCCTGGGCACTGGGTAGGTCACTGCCCCGAGCTATAGCCACCGAACCTGCGTCCACCCAGTTCTCTGCCATGGCTTGTCTCCAGCCCCTCTGCCTGACTCCAATCTCAGACAGAAAACAGCCACCTGCCCTGGGTCAGAACCCCAGGGGTACAGACAGGTCACCGGGCAGAGGCAGGCCTGGAGGTGCGGGACAATCTCCACCCCGCCGGACAGCGCTGTCCACACAGCCTGGAGCGGCCTCATAGCCCGGGTCCCCCGGGGAACCCACAGTGGCCTGGTGTGGACGTGTCACCTGGGGACAGCTCTTCCTGTCGCCGAGTGATGTCAGCAAAGCGCCCACGCACCCCGCCCGGCACCCTGGCAGGCACCCACCGTCCTCACAGTGGACGCCGGTCCTCCCGGGAGGGCAGGCACAGGTGCCGGTCACGGGCTCACAGGCTGCCCCCTGTCCACATCTGCACACGCGGGCACAGTCGGGGCCGAAGCGGCCCTGTGGACAGGCTGCGGGGAGGGGACAGGATAGGACGGGACAGGGCCAGGGGACCTGTATCTGCCCCGACAAGGTGGAGCTTCGCGCTCCGGCCCCTCTCCCTCCACCTGCTCGCTCTGCGGGGACCCCATGCCCCCTTCCAAGCTCTGCAGCCCAGACGGGGAGCCCCACAGGGTTCAGGACAAAGGTCCCAGGAGGACACAGCCTGGGGATTCCGGTCACACTGACTGCAGGGCCTGTCCCTCCCTGCTCAGTTCAGCCCAGAGCCAGGCCCAGGAAGAGGGGGACAAAGGACCAGGGACGGGCAGGCAGGGTGGGAGGAGGAGCCCCGCAGGCCACCCGCCACTCACAGAGGCTGCAGTCAGGCCCGAGGAAGCCGGCGGGGCAGTGGCAGGCCCCTGTGGCCACATCGCAGGAGCCCCGGTTGAGGCACCTGCATAGCTGCTCGCAGCCCGGCCCGTAGCGCCCCGGCGGGCATCCTGTGTGGAGAGGGGCCGCCGGTCTGCATCCCGCCTTCCAGTCCCGTGGCCCTCCGGGGGGACTGGGGACCTGGGCAGCACTCACGTTCCAGGCAGGCGGGGCCGTGGTAGCCGGCAGCACAGGTGCAGGCCCCCGTGGCCGGGTGACAGATCCAGTTCTGGCCCGGACACTGGCACAGCTGCCCACAGCCCTCTCCGAAGGTGCCAGGAGGGCAGGCTGGAGCGGGTGGGCGGTCAGTCCGAGCCAGCCGCAGGGACAGGCAGCCACCCGCCCACAGCCTGCCCTGCGCCTACCCTGCTCGCAGCGAGGCCCGGTGAGGCCAGGCGGACAGCGGCAGGCCCCCGTGACGTGGTGGCAGGAGGCCCCCGGCGGGCAGCGGCAGCGCCGGGCACAGGCATCTCCAAACCAGCCTCGCTGGCAGGCTGTGGGCAGAGGGTGAGGGCTGGGAGGACTCGGGGACCCCAGCCTGCTATGAGGTGACCTCTCCGGCCCGGGGGCGTCCCGGGGACTACGGGGCTGGGCTCACCATCCTCGCACCGTGAGCCCCTCCACCCGGGGGGACAGTGGCAGGCCCCCGTGACATGGTGGCATGTGGCTCCCCGCCGGCAGGCACAGCGCTCCTCGCAGTGGGTCCCAAAGGTGCCCTCGGCACAGGCTGCCAAACGAACAAGACCAACAGGAGGGCTGTATCGGGGGCCTCGGGGCCCTGGCCGTGGGGTACAGGGAGGGGGAGGGAGGACTCAGGGTCCAGGCCTCTGCCAGGCTTCCCCAGGCCTGCGCTGGGCATCCTGCGCTGCCCCAGAGGGGCTGGCGTCCTGGGGAGAGGTGGGGAGCAGGAGGCCCGTGAGCCTGGGGCTGAGGACGAACCCTGCACTGTCCAACCTGACGCCGCTCGTCAGACTGGATGGCTGGGGCTGGCTGGAGGGAAGGGCCTCGGGCACAGGGGCCCCGGCGGACGCAGGCTTCAGACCGAGCCAAAAATGACCCTCTCCAGAGTCCTCCTGCCTCTGCACCTCACCACCGCCCTCCGGGGCAGAGATGCAGCCCACCAGGCCGGCCTCCTGGGTGCAGGTGCTGCCCAGGGGCCCGGCAGCTCGGGGAGCACGACCCCACCTCCCACCCAACAAGTGAGCACCCAGGCCCCTCACTCACGGCTCTGGCACTTGTCCCCGGTCCAGCCAGCCGGGCACAGGCAGCGGCCCGTGTGCGGGTCACAGAGGCCCCCATGGAGGCAGCTGCAGCTCAGCCGGCAGCCGGCCCCGTAGAATCCCGGGAGGCACTCTGCAGGGACAGGGCCGGGTGAGCATCCGCGCCCTGGCCCAGGCCCTGTCTGTGACCCGGGCGGCCCAAGCCCTGTGCCCTCGGGGACCGACCTTGGAAGGCAGCCGCCCCGCCCCTGGCAGTGCACCTGGGCCACCGGCCCTCACCGTCCTCACAGGCCAGCCCGGTCCAGCCCTCCGGGCACGCACAGCGGCCGGTGGCAGCGTCACAGCTCCCTTTGTTCCGGCAGAGGCAGAAGTGCTGACAATTCTGGCCGTATAGGCCGGCAGGGCAGGCTGGGCCGGAGGGAGCAGCCTGCGACATCTGCAGGGCCCTGGGCTCTGTAGCCCAGCCCCCCACAAAGCCCAGCACCAGCTTTGGGGTTGGGGACTTTGCCTGGGCTGCTCCACGGTGGCCGAGCCCAGGCCCACCCTGGACCCACCAACCCTGACGGCCAGGGTCCTGTCCGAAGCACCCCTCCCGCCTCCCCCAGGGGTCCCAGCACCTCCCACTGGCTGTTCCACCCCACGCTCAGGTGACCGCACAGGCGCCCAGCGAGAGGCAGGGCTTACCCTGAAGACAGGCAGGCCCCATCCAGCCAGGTGCACAGTGGCACTGCCCATGGACAGGGTCACAGGAGGCCCCGTTGGAGCAGGCGCAGGCCTGGCTACAGTTGAGGCCGTAGGTGAGGACTGGGCAGGCTGCAAGGGAGGGGCGGTCAGAGGCAGGGGTTCCTGGAGGAGCTGCAGCAGGCAGTCTCAGGCAGCTGGGGCCACTCCCCTCCCTCGCCCGGGCCACCCTCTTGGCAGAGCAGGCACACAAAAGGACAGACACTCAAGTCTTCATGGACCAAACTCTGCCCTGGAACACCCAGGATGGCCCACGGGTGTGTCTCCTGCAGCGGCCCCAACCCTCACGCACTCTGGGCACAGCGGGGTCCCCAGCGGCCGGCTGGGCAGACGCAGGAGCCCGTCACAGCATCGCAGGCGGCCCCGGCAGAGCAGTCGCAGGCGCGGTGGCAGTCCACTCCGAAGAAGCCGGCCGGGCAGGCTGTGGGCGAGGGTGGGGTGACAAGGCGCCCAGGGCGGGGCCCCACCCGCATCCCGGGCCAGCCCTGCCTACCGAGCTCACAGAAGCTGCCCCTCCAGCCGGGCGGGCAGGTGCAGGCCCCACTGACGTGGTCACAAGCCGCCCCGTGCTCACACTGGCATCGCCGCCCACAGCTGGGCCCGAAGTAGCCCTGGGGACACTCTGAGACCCATGGCCCGGCCCACTGTCAGCCAGGGCCTGGGCCTGACCAGGGCCTGACAACGGGGAGCAGGGCCTGGATCACGAAGGAGACCCTCCTTGTCTATGTAACCCCAGCCAGGGCTCTGTGAGAGCCCCAGGCGTCACCTCTGGGAGCTGGGACCCCCTACCCTAGCTTGGGGGTACGGTCCAGTGCCGTGTCCTCCCCTCCCAAGCCCAGGCGGGGTGGGACAGGCCACACCTCTCCCGCCTGCTGTCCAGGTGGCCCCATGTGACAGCCGGTGGGTGGGCACCAGGCAAGTGTGTGCGTGCGTGTGAGCACCATGGAGACAGGTGTGTGCAGAGGCTGTGCACACATGTGTGCCCAGGCACGGGCACGCCTTGTGCACACGGGGCAGGGGTGGCACGGCCCAGGGCCGGACTCACGCTGCTCACACCAAGGGCCCTTGTAGCCAGCCTCGCACAGGCATAGCCCACTGGTGGCGTCACAGCTCCCGTGGCCTGCGCTGCAGTTGCAGGGGTGGCTGCAGTCGGGTCCCCAGTGCCCACTGTCACAGGCTGCAACAGAGCCAGGCGGAGCTATGGAGCCCAGGCCAGGGTGTGGGGGCACTCAGGGCAGGGCTACGAGGGCCCCGTACCTCTCTGGCAGCTGAGGCCGGTCCACCCGGGGGCACAGCTGCATTGTCCAGTTGCTGGGTGGCAGTGCCCATCATTGGCACAAGAGCACCTCATCTGGCAGCTAGGCCCAAACCAGCCTGCTGGACAAGCTGTGGGCAAGAAGGGCTGAGCACTACAGGCCAGCACGGCCTGTTCGCCTCCAGCCACAGGGGAGGCCGGGTCGGAGCCGCACTCACCATCCTGGCAGCGGCGGCCGACAAAGCCGGGGAGACACAGGCAGGCTCCGGTCTCGGGGTCACAGCGGCCACCATGGTCACACACGGGGCAGATCTCCTGGCAGCCCAGCCCCCAGTGGCCCTCAGGACAGCCTAGCCCCCAGAGCCAGTCAGTCTCCCCACTGGCCAGGGTGGACGTGTCTAAAAACGCATGCCTGGCACAGCACCAAACCCCTGTGCCACACCCAGGAGGGGATCTGTGATTCCCATCAGGATGCCCTGGGCACCTTCTGGCACTTCGGGGTGTCCACCCTCAGGAGAGAAGCCCCAGCCCCAGGGACGGCCCAACGGAGTCTGCGGAGGCACGAGAGGATCCCGTGCAGGGAGCCGGGAGCCCAGGGGGAGGGGAGGCCCAGCCAGACGTCCCTCCTGTGCTGGAGTCGGGTCCAGTGTGAGCTCTCAAAGCTGTGCAGAAGGGTCCGGAACCCAGTGCCAGGGCCAGGGCTCCCCACATGTGGCCCAGGCTGCAGTACCCAGACAGTCCAGGCAGCCCCCTGAAGTCACGTGGCCAGGGAGGAGGGGTCGTGCCAGGTCCTGACACCACTCACCTGCCCCACAGTCCTCCCCGGTCTTCCCTGGCGGGCACAGGCACTGGCCCGTGACCCGGTGGCAGGGGGCCTGCCCACAGGAGCAGGACCCGGAGCAGTTCCCGCCAAATGTCCCCGCCGGGCACTCTGCGGAGGAAGCAGGAGGGGCCTCAGCCAAGGCGGGTGGGGCTGCCCTGAGGGGAGCCACCTGGCAACCATGCTCTGGGCCTGGGCATGGCTCCGGCTCCAAGGGGACCCAAACGGACCACCAGGACGGTGGGTGTGAGAGGCAGGGCGAGGCGCAGGTGGGCAGCGCAGCCTCTCCCAGCTCCACGGCCACCCAGCACCCTGGAGAGCTCCCGGCTTCCCTCAGCCCCGTCCTGGTCTTCCACAGCGGCCTCCAAGGGTGAGGCCAGTGCCCCTCAACCAGGGGGTGCAAGTCCAGGCGCCCCAGGTGTGGCCCGAGGTCCTGGACAGGCCTCCCCCAGGGCAGGGACCCTTCGGTCACTGTGCCCAGGGCAGCCTGAGACGGCCGGCTGGAGCGTGCTCGGCCCCCTCTGCCCAGGCTGGGTGGCGCTGGTGTGGGGAGGGAAGGGGTCTCGGCTCCTGCAACCCCTCGCCAGCCCTGATGGCCGTGCGGGTCACACTGCAGGCCCTCGGTGCCTGTCCACCTGAGCCAGCGGTGTAGACAGCAGGGGCCATGCCCAGGTGGCCACCCGAGGGCCTCTTCCTCCTGCAGGGGCCCCGCCCACCCGCTGTCTCCTCTCTGGTTTGAGGCTGAGCGGGGAGGGCTAAGCGTCTCCACCCCCAGCTCCACGCATCCACCAGGGACGCCCCACACTGCGTGGATTGTCAGGGTTGCTGCCAGTGCAGGCTGAGGGACCCCGGCCACTTTCTCCAGGCAGGTGGAGCCACAGCACCCCCAAAGGTAGTGTGCAAGGCAGCCAGGACTCCCAGGGACCCCAAGGACCGGTGTCAGGGGTGCATCAGGCTCCTCTGTTCCTGGGCCCCAGTCTGGGGTCCACCCCTCGCCGTGCCGCACTCCCGGGGCCCACCCTGACCTTGGGGTGCCAGGCCAGCCCCTCACCTTGGACACAGTCGGGCCCCTGGTAGCCCGGGGGACACTGGTCCTGACACTCGCCGCTCACGGGGTCGCAGGCCACTCCCGGCAGGCAGGTGCACATGCGCTGGCACCCGGGCCCGAAGAAGCCTGGCTCGCACTCTGCGAGTGAGGCGGGCATGAGGGCCAGCTGGGCACCGCGCCCTGCCCACCCACACTGCCACGCACCTGCCTGGCACCGGTCGCCCCGAAAGCCGGCCTTGCAGAAGCAGCTGCCATCCCTCCGGTCGCAGGACTGGGTGTGGGGCTGCTCGCAGCGGCACTCCTCTGAGCAGCCCGGCCCAAAGGCCCAGGACGGGCAGGCTGCACCCAGAGCGGTGAGCGACGGCCGCCCGCAGGCCCGCCCACCCTGCTCCGTGGGCCAGGGTCACGGCAACAGCCCCTGCATTGCGCCCCTCCTGGGCACGCTCTGGGGGCCAGGGCACCTTGCCCCACCCCGAGCGAGGCTGATGGCTGTGCTCCCCAAGCCTTCCCGCCTCACCCTGCTCCCCACGGGGAAACCCCAGTGTCCTCCTCTCCGAACGCCCCGCACCAGTGGTGTGAGGAGCCATCTCTATCCGCCTCCTCTGCCCAGCCTCCCACTCCCCTCCCCATGACTGCAGCCCCCAGAAACGGGTGACTTGGAGGGGGCATGGGGCCATGAGCCCCAAGGCTCGGGGGCCTGCTCCACCCCACTACCCACCACCTCCCAGTCAGGGCTGGGGACCGGACGCCCCAGAGGCCTACACCATTGCTGGAGACAGGGCTTGGGCCAAGTCCCAGCCCCGACTGCGGGCATGAAGTACAGAGCAGGCCGGGGTGCACCCAGCACAGTCAGGACCGCTGCACCCCCCCACTTAGACACCAAGGAGCAGCGGACTCACCGAGATGGCAGAAGCGGCCGTAGAGCCCTGGGTCGCAGAGGCAGGCCCCGTAGAGGCGGTGGCAGCGGCCCCGGTTGGCACAGTGGCATTTCTTGCGACAGTGTTTGCCATAGAAGCCCTTGGGGCAACCTGGGGGAGGGGCCTGGTGAGACCGGAGGAGACGGACCGCCCACCATGCGCAGCACGGCGCCAGGAGCAGGCCCTCGGGCCCCGAGCCTCCTGAACTCAGGCTGGCCACAGCAGACTGGCACACACTGGAGAGGCACACAGAGCTCCCGGCCAGGGCCCCAACATCTGACCACACTGGGGAACCCTGACCTGCACCCCACAGTGGTCTCCAAGCTCGATTTTCCCACCTGAAAGCAGGAAGCCCACAGGCTCCGGATGGCCAGGCCCTGGGCTGAGCCTCAGGAGGCCCGGGGCAGTGCGGTCCTCCCCAAATGCGGCCTTCTGTCCCCGCCCTGCCCTGTCCCCCTCCTGCTCTTGGGGCTGTACCAGGAACCCCAAAGCAATGTCCCTGTCCTAATCCCCAGCCCTTCAGACAAGGTCATCTCGCATGGCCAGGTGGATCCCAAATAGCACCAGACACCGAGGAAGGAAGTCAGACACAGCGAGGGTGGCAGAGGCTCAGCCGGCTGTGTACAGCCGCAGGCAGACGCTGGAGCAACATCACCACCGGGCAGGGGTGCCCAGTGCCTGCAATCAGCCTGCTGGGGAGTCTGGTGAGCTGAGATCCATCGGGGGAGCCCAGGCGCCAGACGCAGACCCTGCAGTGCCCGATATCCCTCGTCCACACAACCTGCCACAGCCATGGCTCTGCCGGGCAGGCTTCTCACCTGGCACAGGGTGGCGGGAGATGGTGAGGGGACGCCACAGGGACGCTGGCCACGGGGAGGAGTTGGGGAGCCACGGCTGCCTGGGGGTTGTGCCACCCGGACAGCTCCCCCGGCCACCCTAGGCCCTGGGAGCCCACTGCACCCTCTCCTCACTGCAGCGAGGGTCTCATGCACTGGCCACTCCTCCAGCCAGAGGGCAACTGTTATCCAAGGCTCAGCACGTCAGGTTTCCACCTCCTAGAGCTGAGTCCCGGAAAACAACCCTGGAGGACCCACGCCAGTCCCGCTGAAGGGCCTCTCCTGCTCCGTGTGAGTGGGTACTGGGGACACTGGGCGGGCACAGGGGACGCTGCCCATCCTCTCCTCCCCAGGGTGATTCCTTCCAACTGCCACACGCACCGTCCTCACAGTGGGCCCCGCTGACGCCCGGGGGGCAGCGGCAGGTCCCGGTCACCGGGTCGCAGGTCCCACCGTTCTGGCAGCTGCAGGGGGAGCTGCAGTTCTTCCCGAAGGTGTCTGGCGGACAAGCTGCAGGGGTGACAGGGACTGTCAGGAGCAGGTCTACATGATTTGGGGGAGAGACCATTTCATAATTAAACCGTGATTAGGACCCAGTTCTGCCTGCAGGCCAGCCACAGCACGTCCAGATCCAACTGTTTTCACCTCCAGTCACACCTAAAACCTCAATGGTCCCGTGATGCTCTAGGGCAGGACCACACCACCGGGAGACATCCTGGGAGGAACCAAATCTTCCTCTGCATAGTTCCCCACGGTTCTAGATCATCGGTGAGCCCTCTGAGTCATCTGCTACTTTTGTTTCTCCAGATGTTCTGAATAAAGGTGTGGCAAGCTCCAGGTCTGGGGTCTTGGCCACCCAGAGCGGCACTGATCAGGCCAAAGCTCAGCTTCTTGTCCAAGTCACATTTCTGACTATATATTAATTAATTCACCTTGTGCTGTCCTGCCTTGCAGGAGACTAGGACTTACTGCAGAGGTTCTAGTAACGTCCCCTTTCCCTGTTCCCTACAAGGGACCGCCAGGGTCACCAGCCGGCAGGACCCACGCAGAAGTGACAAACAATGATGACACCTGGGCCCCAGGACCCCAGCCACGTCTGTGACAGACATCACTAACCAATCGCCACATCCTGCCTTCCGCTTTTAAGCAGGTGGCCAGCTGCTCCTCCCAGCTGCCCTCAGAAGTACTGTGGCACCCAACTGCCCAGCCGTTGTAGAGGCCCCTGCCGTCCATGCTTGTTGCTGCTGGGCCTGCCTCAGGCTGACCTCAGCTTGCCTTTTCCCCAGGAATCCCACCAACCAGAACTGAGCCCAGCGCGGGTGGACAGCCAGGGGACAGCCAGGGGACAGCCAGGGGACAGCTGTCGTTCGCTGGCCAGCAGGGGCCACCCCGACCTGGCTGCTCACAAGTCCCAGGACTCAGGCCCCGCCCAGTGCCCCGGCCCGGGGGCCAACCCCAGCCAGGCCTCACTCTCATTGCAGACGAGCCCGGTCCAGCCTTCCGGGCAGTCGCAGCCCTCTAGGCCTGGAAGGCAGGTCCCGCCGTTCCTGCAGTCGTCACAGGTCAAGCTGCAGTCGTGGCCGAAGGAGTCATCCAAGCAGACTGAGGGCAGATGGGGAGGGGCAGCAGATCAGAAACCAGCCTCGGGGCCCGGGGCCAGGGAAGAGGACACAAGGGACATCCTCAGGGCTGAGGCTTAGGAGGGTGGAGTGGAAGCGGGATCTGGATGCCGGGGCCGGGAAGAGCCCCAACCCAGAAAAGGGGCCTGAGCCAGTCAGGTGCTCGCTGTGTGAGCTGCTCAGCCTCTCTGGCCCAAGGCCACAGGGTGGTCAGCAGCCTGGCTTGCGCAGAGCCTGGGCTGGGCCCACCACTCACCAAACTTCTCTGTGAGCGTGAATTCTCCCCTCAACTCTGCCTCCTCCTCGGCCCCAGGGTCCGCCGGGAAGAGCTGCGGTAGCTCGTCCTGCAGCACCGCGATGTGGGGCAGGGGCCGCTCAAAGGGCAGCTGCCCGTCCGGATCCACCACAGTCTCCTCCAGAGCTGTGAGGGACAAAGAGCCCTCAGCCCTGGCTTCTGCTCTCCCCAGGCCAGGCAGGAGCTGGACCTCTCCATAACAATGCCCTGGGGACACTCGTGGGACAGCTCCCCACCCTGCACCCTGTGGTCCCCACCCCAGGACCCGCAGGGCCCACACAGGCCGGGGACAGGAGGGCTCACGGGTGCAGCCCCTGCGGTCCTCGTCCAGTCGGTAGCCAGCCTCGCAGGAGCACTGAAAGGAGCCGGCCAGGTTGGTGCAGTGGTGCTCGCAGCTGCCTCGGCTGGAGGCGCATTCGTCCACGTCTGCAGGTAAACGGGGCTGCGGGGTCAGGGGCGAGGCCCCACTGCCCGGCTCCCTGGCGGGTGGAGTGCAGGGCTCGGGTGCAGGGCCAGCGGTGACGACACCACCCCAACCACAGTGCCCGGCGGGGCTCCCTCACGTCCTGCCCGGGCCCCGGCCGCTCCCCGGGGACAGACACCCACCCTCACAGCTGCAGCCATCAGTGCGTAGCCGGTAGCCGGCGTAGCAGCCACACTCGTACCCCCCAGGGGTGTTGGCGCACACCTGCTGGCAGCACGGGGCGTCGGCACAGTCGTCCACGTCTGTGGGGCATAGCGGGGGCCCTCTGGTGCCTGGCGCCCACAGAGCCCCCCATGCGTGTGCAGCATGCACGCCCACACCTGCACACAATCGCACCTACCTACACATTGGCCACACACAGGGCTCGGCACAGCCCAGGGTCACGGATGGGCCCAAGGGCTGCTGGGCTGACGGCCGATGTGAGGACCCAGGGCCCCCCCGGGTGGCTGCACTGCCCCTCAGCAGGCTTCCCAGCGCGGGCCACCCCCTCCCCAGGACTCGGCTGAGCACGTGTCCTGGCTGCCCAGGGAGGAACCTGCGGGGCGTGGCGGGGAAGCCCAGGCTCGCACCCACGCAGGTCTTCTGGTCTCGGTCCAGCTGGTAGCCCTGGGGGCAGGTGCACAGGGGCCCCGCACTGCTGTGCCTGCAGCCATGGGAGCAGCCGCCGTTGTGGGCCTCGCAGCTGTTCACAATCTCCATCTCGATGCCTGGGAGAGACTGGGCGTCTGGGAGGTGCGGTGGGGTCTGGAGCCCCACTCCTGCCCTCGGCTCACACCCAGGGGTGCCCAGGGGACCCAGAAGCCTGGCCAAGGAGGCTGGTGGGGCCCCGGGAGCCCTCACCCACTGCCTGACACCCACTCACGGTAGCACTGCCGGAAGTCAGCACCCAGCTCAAAGCCCGCATGGCACACACACTTGAAAGAGCCCTGCGTGTTGAGGCAGCCGTGGGCACATTGGGCCAGGCCTGTGGCACACTCGTCCACGTCTGAAGGGAGAGATCCTCAGGGTCAGGGGGCAGAAGGAGCCTTTGCCTTCTCAACCATGGGGGCAAGCATGTGGGGCTGACACCGAGGTGTGACCCCAGGCACGGCTGGTCCCACTGGCAGCTGCTCCCCATCCTGGGGTTCTCAGGATGAAGGCGACCCTTCCGGGAGCCCTCGGAGGGATGGGCTCCATTCCCACTAGCAATGATGCCTGGTGCTGTGTGCTGTGTGCTTGGGGCCTCAGCTTCCATAGCCTGCAGCCACCCTGGCACCCCCGGACACCTTGGACCCTGACTGGACCCGGGAGGACCCCGACCCCGAGGCTGCTCATCCCAGCTCTGCGTGGGAAAGACAGGGGCACCCAGGTGCCCAGGGGTCACGGGGCCACTCGGCAGGTGACAATGGAAGCAGTGCCCAGCTGCGATCTAGCACGGAACAGCATTCAGCACACAGCCCAGGAGGGGCGGGCGGCGGGACCATGCCTTCCTCCTGCCCATCTCTCCTGCTGTGCGTGAGCAGGTGCCTCAGGAGACGCCAAAGCCCGAGCTCTCCCTCAGCCCTGCTGAAAGGAACCTCAGGTGGCGACAGCGTCTGTGTGACCTCCCCCTCCACCTGCCACCCACCACCAGGGAGCTGGGACCCAGCACCATCCCAGGTGGTGGGACAGGTGGCCCGGGTCCCACAGGTGCAGGGAGGATGAGGGGGGTCTTGGTTTTCCCACCTTCGCAGGCTTTGCGGTCTGCAGCCAGCCGGAAGCCCGTGTGGCATCCACACTGGACCAGGCCCTGGAGCTCCTGGCATGTGTGCATGCAGCCGCCATTCCCCTCCGCACATGGGCTTCTCCCTGAGGCCCAGGTCCCAGCAACCAGGAATGGAGACAAAGGAAGAGGTCAGGGTGGGCAGAGAGGGGAGAGGCGGGCAGGCTCAGGATGCCGGCCGTGGTGTCCCATGAGGCCCTGACCAGCGCCACCTCCCTCCCTGCCCAGCCTGGGTAGGGTCTCCTCCCCAGACATGGGAAGCCCTGGGGACACTCAAGGAGACTCATAGCCTGGGGACAGTCAGGTCCCCCCTCAGGACCCACCAGGGCATGAGGAGCCTGCACCTGAGGGCCCATGGCTCCCTGGTAATCCACAGAATGGAAAGGAAGGCCCAGCTGGACCAGGCATCTGCAGAAAGGTGGCTGTGACCCCAGCCCTGTGCCTCCCTCAACCCTGTGACCCCCCAGCCCTGTGACCTACGCCATTCCAGCCCATGACTGGCTTCAGCCCCCCCATACCCACACTCGACCTTGTCCTGTGTCAGGCTGGCATAGGTGGGGGGAGCTCTTCAGGCCGTGTGCCCCCCGTGTCCACATCTGGGGAATCTGATTGATCTACAGAGCCCCCCTCACTGCAAGCAGTGCTGAGGCCCTGATCAGTGGCCAATGGGACCTGGCTGCCTCCTCTGTCACAGAGATCCAGCTGTGGGATGCCCGACCCAGGGACCCACCCTGACCCCCAAGGCACCTGGGGGCACCTGTGGAGCGGAGGCCACACCCCCACCCTGAGCTTCCTGTCCCCAGGCTGTGCAACCCAGAGCAGAGCCCCAACCCAGACACCAGGCCCTGTGCACTCAGGCTCAGGCGGAGCCAGTCCCGAGCCCCCGGTGGTAGCACTCACGGACACAGCGCCTGCCATCCTCCTGGAGCCGGAACCCGGGCTGGCACTGGCAGCGGTGCCGTGAGGTCGTGAGCTGCACACACTGGTGCTGGCAGCCGCCGTTGCCCAGGGTGCAGGAGTTGACGGCTGGGCACAGAGGGGAGCCAGGTCAGCCACCTCCTGCAGGAGGCTCCCTGCCTTCCATCTCTGACCCCCAACCTGGCAGGGAGGCAGGGAGAAGGGGCTGGGCTGGGCCAGGTGCCCAGGGTGGGCACTGCGCCTCCTGAAAGGAGCAGCCAGAATTCAGCACAGATTTGGTTACGATCGCGTCTCTGGCCACGGACTTGTGGCTGGGGAGAGAGCCGCCCAAAGCGCAGAGGGGAAGCCACAAGAATGTGCCTCCGTCGTGCCCAGGGAGCTTCGGCCATCTGCCCGCGGGCGTGTGCCAGAGCAAGCCTGAGCCCTGTTACCTAAGCCCTGCGGCTGTGGGGACCCAGCTTCACCCCGAGAGGCTGCCTGGGAAGGGGTTTACTGTCACGGCACACGGAATGGGGCGCACATCAGCGGAGCAGGCACTCTGAGGCCACGGAGCACCCTGAGCGACACAGAGCACCTGAGCTGCCCAGGGCTCCTGGAGGCTGGCGAGCGTGGGCAAGGCTCCCCCAGGGCACAGCACTCAGGCCACCCTGTCTCCCCACGGGCGCGTGGGTGAGCAGCATGTCGGAGGGCCCCCCATCCCAGGGTCGAGCCAGCCACAGGTGACCGCTGTGTCCTGGCCACCCACACCCACATGACCAGCAGGGAGGAGCCACAGGCCTGAGTCTGTCCGCTTGAACCTGAGCTGCCAGACCAGATGTGAGCCGTGGACCAGCCCACCTGAGTGGGCTCTGTTCCGCCACACCCCCCAGAGCCTGCAGCTCCCGGCCTGAGCCGACCCCGCATTCCTGGGGCTCTGTTTATTTGTGCTCACCACACCAACTGCATCCCTGCTTGGGACACGTAATAGGAACCAGAAGCCCTTTCTGGCAGCGCCAGGCAGGCAGAGGGGCACAGAGCCTAGGCAGGGGCAGGAGAGCAGCGGGGCAGGCGTCAGGGCCTGTGGCAGGGCTGCGGCTTGGTGCCCAACACGGGCCCTGAGAGGAGCCCACCGGGGCAGATGGCAGGGTGCCATGGGCCGGGGGTCCTCATCCTCCTCGCCGGAGCTGTGACGCCCAGCTGCTCCCAAGCTGTGCGTGGATGGAGCCAGGACGGCGTCACCCTATGCGTTCTGCACAATTCCCGGAAGGCTGAGCGAGGCAGATTCCCTCCGGGAAGGGCCAGCCTCCCAGGGACTGGGCTGGGGCTGGGGCTGATGTTTCAGGGCCTCTGTCACAGAGATCCAGCCGTGGGACGCCCAACCCGGGGACCCACCCTGACCAGAGCCACAGGCTCTGCCGATCGGGGCAAAGCTCAGCTGTGACGCAAGCCGAGTGTGTCCACCAGAAGGGAGGAGGCAGGGTCCACAAAGCGGGCTCCAGAGCGAGCCCCGTTTTCTCCTTCACATCAGTACCATCAAGCAGTGTTTTCTCCACACCCCACGGGAGTTCGACAGCCACTGTGAGCCATCCCGCTGGAGCTGGACCATCAGCTCAAGGCCTCCGTCCCTGACACTGGGCTTTCTCTGCCAGGATCTAGCTTAGGTCTCTGTCCACTTCCGGATGGGAACAGTGTCTACTGTTTATGCCACTCAGCACTGGGACCTGAATATCTGTGTCCCCTAAAAGTCGCATGTTGCAGCCCTGACCCCCGAAGTCACCCTCCTTGCAGACAGGGACTTCACGGGCTGGCAGGGGAGATGAGACTCCACAGTGGGCCCCGACCTCAGTGGGAACAGGCTGGCCACACGCTGACCTAGGGCCTGCAGCCTCCACAGCCGTGGGCCCGGCCTGTGGTGTCTGTCTCTAGCACTGACTTGCACATCCCACGTTCCCGTTTGCAGATGCCAGGGCGCACATGGCCAGGAGCCTGCAGGTTCTAAGAGCAGTAGAAGGCCCTACCATTGGCGACCCACAAGGCACACATTCTACAGAGGGAAGGAGGCTTGGTAGAGAAGGCACCCGCACATTCCAGAAAACAGGTTTCCTACAGTGCCCAGGGCTGCCCATCGTGGCCCTTGCCCTGGGCTCCTGGAGGTGTGGCGTTCCCGGCAAAGGGCAGGAGGTCGGAGCCCGGGCACAGACTCGGGCCCTGAGCCAAGTCCCCGCACTGGTGGTGACAGGCAAGGGCGGAAGGAAGCAACTGCCGTGCCTGGGGGGGGCTCCCTCCACTGGAGCCTCCAGTGCAGCTTGGGACTTGGGGCCAGCCTGAGGGTGATCTATCCCCACTGATGTCCTGGGGTTTTGTAATCACTGCCCTTACACAGTGTGGTTTCTGGGTTCGGAGAATTCCCACCACGGTGGTCAGTGGGCAGCGCAGTGCTTCTCTCTAGGAACCTGCTGCTGGGCCAGCGTGGAGGATGCAGCCCTTGGTTGCCTACTGCTCCTGCCCTGGGCACCCTGCTCCCCGCTTGCCTGTGTGTGGGACCTGAGGTGGCCCACTGGTGGTGCCAATCAGGCCCTCTGGCCCTAATCCTGGCCAGACGGAGTGCCAGACATCGGGCATCGGGCATCGAGGGAAACGCCCAGCTCCACTCCCTCCCGGACCAGCTGTACTGGCCGCCATCGTTCCAGCCTGGTCCTCCCGGGGGCACTGTCTGCCATGCTGTGCCGACTGGCCAAGGTGAAAGGAAGGTCCCCAGGCAGCTATGCTGGAGGTGCTCGGTCAGCCTTTGGGTCACGCCGGGCTCCCGGGAAGCCAGAGAGCTCGCCTGGGGACAGAGCACACACCGCCCCACATGGGCACCCTCGTGCTCAGCTGCACTGCAACCTGGCCCTGCACGGAGGCCCTGTCCCACCAGACACCGGGCTCCAGGGACAGCTGTGTCCGCTTGGTGGGGCTCTGCACTACTGCCCGACTGGTGCCTGGAATCGGGGGGTGACTGTGGCAGACCAAAGGTCCAAGTCCAGGCTCCCGGCCCTGCTGGGACCCGAATGGCTTCGTGCACTGGCCCAATCCCCACCCCTCTTCCCCAGCTCGGCTGCCCCGGCCCCACTGGGGCACTGCCCCCAGCCCAGGGTCCGTGCCCAAGATGGTTGCACAGGACCGTGGAGGGGGCCCGGGCACGCTGTCCACTGCTCTTCCTGCCTCTCCCAAGGACTCGACTCCAGCCAGGTCCCCTCCAGCCTGGCCCCTCAAGGCTGGGAAGGCCGCTTCAGCAAAGCAGCTGTGCTGGCTTTGAAGGAACTGGGGATGCTGGCGTGATGAGTTTTGTAGATGAGCCTGGCAGGCTGCGCACTTCAGATGCCTGTGGCTTGGGCCCCAGCCCCACGATGTTGCCAGCAGCAGCCTCCAGGACAGAGGGCCCTCCTGGGGCCTCCCCACCAGAGAGCAGAGGTGGCAGGCAAAAGGGCCTCTGCAGCCTCGATGCCCGACAGGTTGACCCAGGCCTGGGGAAGGAGGGGTGAGCCAGGGCTAGGCACGTGCATGGCAGAGCCAGGCCACTTCCTCCAGCCTGTGCTCTAGGGCCCACCTGACTCTGGGGTGGGGACACACAGGCCGGGGCAGCCAGGCCACCAGGGACACTGGCAGCAGACTCTTCGGGTCCTTCCCGAGTGTGGCCAGTGGTGAGTGCCATCCAGGGCCCCCAGGCTGGCCTCATGTGTGTCGCTCAGCCCAGGGGACACGAGAAAGCCACATGTCTGGGCCCAAGTCCCCAGGGTCAGCGAGGCCAGCCTGGTCACCAGGGTGGGGGGGTGTCAGCTGGCACACCCGGCTCACAGCAGGGAGGGCTCCCTCCCATGTTTCACGGCCAGGGGCTGCTGTGCACGCTGGCACTGCAAGAGGTCACAGGAAACCAGGAGTGACATTCAGAGACCCCGGCCAAGCCGCTTCCTGGGCAGCCCGCCCCCTGGGGAAAGAAGTGGCTGCTGCACGGGAGCCTGGACCTGCCCAGGCTCGCTGGGCCCCTCTCAGCACCCCCAGGATGGCGGACCCCGGGAGGACACCCTGGCAACACAGCAGTCCCCCAGGATGCCAGCACCTGGAGTTGCAGCCAGGGCTAGGAAACAAGGCCCTCACTGAATTGCGGCCAATGGCAAAGTTCCTCTCAGAAATTCTCATTTTTAAGAATGGAAATGAAAACCTTTTTGAGTTTTATTCCGTAAGATCCTTTGGAAGGGAGGCACGCAGGGAGCTTGTGATTTCCTGTGCTCTCCCTCCCCTCCTTGGGGTGACTCCAAGGGTGTTTCAAGGCCCCCCTCAAATGTTTTAAGACCCCCCCAAGCCTCCTTGGGGACTCCCCAGCCCCTTCTGCCCGGCCCCTAAGAGCTCCTGCCCTGCTAAGGACCCCGTCCCCTGCCCTCCATAATCCTCAGTCCAACCAGCGCTCAACTGGGGTGCACCCTTGTCTGCCTGCAAAGCCCCAGGGGAGCAGGCCCTGCCAGGAGCCCAGCGGGCGGGTGGGAAGGGGCCCTGCAGAAGCTGCGCTCCAGCTGTGTGTCTGCCCTGCAGCTGGTGATGCAGGGAGGGCAGGGCTCTTGTAACTCTCCGCTCACACATCTGCTGAGGACCTCTTGCCGCCTGGGCCCGAGGTGCCTCTGAGAACGGGAGTCTCCCTGGAGTCTGGGAGAGGCTGCAGAGGGGGAACAATCTACCTCCCCATGGGTTACCCCAACCACCGAGGCCCTCAGTGGCCCAGCATGGCCTGGGGGCCAGGCCAGGCTGTGTGGAGCCCCCGCCCTGGTATCCAACAGGCAACCCCCCAGGCCATGATGGGGCAGTTGGCCACCCCCACCTGGCCAGCATCTCAGGTCCACTGCAGCCAGGGCCACGTCCTCAGCAACAAGGAAGGGGCTGGGGCGGGGTGGGGCACCCCAGAACCCCACAGAAGCCCCAGGGAGCCCTGGGAAGGGGGTTGGGTGGTGCCTAGGTACGGCAGCCTGGGAACAGGACCAATGCGCTTGTGCCCCCAGGCCCCCAGCAGCTTCCCTAGCTGGACCGGGCCTGGGGTCCAAGTCACCACGGACTGCCTGTCAGAGAGAGGTGGCTGCCAGCCCCGGGGAAGCCAGCATGTGTGTCCACCAGCACACACAGGGAGACGGGTGGGACCGTCCAGAGCCTCACACATGGTTGAGGGCGGCTGTTACCTCCCGATGCTCCTGTGCAAATCCCTTACTGAGAGCACAGTTGGGAGAGGGGGGAGGGACACAGAGGTCACAGCTCCATGCCCAGCCACGTCCAGGAGTCCCAGCTGGGCCCTCTGGTGGGACAGCCAGGAAGTGGACCCCAGCACTCACAAGACCATGGAAGCCCCTGGAGGGCACCACTCGGCCAGGGAAACGGGCCACAGCCCTGGGGAGACAGCCAGGCCGTGAGATCACACCAGGAGCCCTGGCATCTGACCCTGCAAAGACCTTTACGGTAAGGAGGTGCCACCAATCAAGAGCACAGAGCCCCAGAAGGTCCGGCTCCAGGACAGCCATGCACATGGGCAGGCGCTGGGGCAAGGCTGGGGGTCAGCCCAACCCCTGCATCCATCGCCCGTCCCTCCTGGCCCTCGTCCCTTTCAGAGGCATCTCAGTGAGCATCACCGCCACACAGATGGGCGAGATGGAGAAGGGGGGGCGTGCCAGCTCTGGGGACAGGAAGGGGCCAGCAGGAGGGACACCCCCACCAGTCCCTGGGCGGCCCTTCCCTGAGGAGCAGCCTGGCAGGGCAGGGGAGATATGCCCCCCAAAAGCTGCCTCTTGTAGTGGCTGAGGTGACCACAGTGCCCCCGGCTAAGAACCCCCAGAGGTCCCAGCAGGCCTCAGCTTGGCTGTGCCCCGACTCCACTGTCCTGAGCACGCGGCAACATTCCTCATCTGCTTCTGCTTCCCACCCAGGAGGCTGCCTGGCTCCCAAAGCCAGGGCTGGGACGCTGGGGGAGGGGTGCGGGGGGCTGTGGGCCAGGGAGTGGGAGGGAGGCCGTGCGGAACTGCCCGTCCAGGCCCACACTGGGACTATAGGTTCCAAAGAAAGGGCGTCACATCCACCTGCTTCTCCAGCAGAGACGGGGGTCCGCCTGGACCCCAGGCACCCATATCACTGCAGCCCCCCGAGCTGGTGGGGACAGACGCCCACTGACCCCATGCCCACAGCAGAGGAACCGGTGCCCGGCATCACCCTTCCCCATTACCACACCCTGCCGGATGCAGTCCACACCACAGGCTCCCGGAGCAGCCCAGCTCTGCAGGGAAGGAACAGCCACCCGCCTGCCCGCCCAGCGGCCTCCTCCATCACCCAAGGGCATCCAGGTCTCCCTGAGTCCGGTGGCAGCACAGCCCAGCTGGCCCCTGCTGACCGACTCTGCAGATGGCTGCTCAGCAAGAGCACATGCAGCCTGGGGTGCGGGGACCTGGCCGAGTGGCACCTCGAGATGCCCTTTCTACCTGCATCTGCCTCGCTCCCCGGGAAGGACCTTGGGCCATTGAGGCTGCCAAGTCCACCGGCCTGTGTCAGCCCAGGGCCCCAGAACAGGGCCCCGGCACAGCCAGGAGGGCAGGGACTGAGGCCAGCTGCCACGCGCAGGGCTCCCAGAGACACCTACCCAGGCAGGTCCTGCCGTCCGAGTGCAGCCGGAAGCCGGGCTTGCAGGCGCAGAAGTAGGAGCCAGGCGTGTTCACGCATCGGTGCTGGCAGCCACCGTTGTGTGCTCGGCATTCATCCACATCTGTGAAGAGAACCCAGGGTCACAGCCAGGCCACAGCACGAGTGCCAGGCCCAGAGTGGGCAGGGGCGGCTGCCCTTCCCAGGGCCGGCATGCTGGGTAGGGAGAGCCGGCTTGGCGGGGCCCCCCGGGATGCCCAGAGCCACACGGCGCTCCCCGGGCAGCACCGGCCCCTCCGCCAGGGCCCACAGGCTGCAAAGTGCGACTGGCCCAACATGGGGGAGACAAACTGGGGGTGCGGTGGCATAAATGGCTCCAACAGTGTCCCCCGATTCATGCCCATTCGTCCGGAGACAGCGTCTTAGTGGACGAAATAAGGGTGGGATGAGGTCACTGTGTGAAGGGTCCCTCATCCAGTAAGGGACAAGGGACACAGAGAAGGCCATGGGAGGGGCAGAAACAGGCCAGGTGGCCAGATGAGGACAGGTGGGAGCCAGTAGGAGGAAGAGGCAGGAAGAACCTTGCCCACCCTTGAGCTCAGGATCCAGCCTTCACGGTGAGAAGACAGGCCTGCTGTTTTAGGGCCCTGGCTTGTGGCATTCATTCCGTGGCTGCAGACCCAGGACACTCATGCAGGTGGGGTGGGCTGAGCACCCCCACACCTAGGCTCCCTGAGCAGGGCAGGGTGGGGCAGGCAGCACGGCCCCCGACCCAGAAGGACTCGGCCACCACGGGGCCCTCACAGCACCCTGTATGGCTGCATTCAGAAGTGCGGTTTGTAGTCCCAGGAAGGGCCTGGGGTGCAGGGGACGGGACTACAGGCTGGGAGCGGGAGGGTGGACTTGACTTCCCTGCAGGGCGCTGGCTTGCAGGGTCTCAGCTGTGCACAGATGACCAGGCAGGCCCAGGCCAAGAGGGCCAAAAGAAGCCCAAGGCCATGGGCTTCTTGCAGGGCCTGGGTTCCCCTGTTCTTCCCGCCAGCAGTGGCTGAGCTCAGAGAAGGTGCCACCCGGAAGAGACAGGAAGGGAGCTGAGGGCTTGAGAAAGACCCTTCACCAGGCCCACAGCCACGTCCTGTGGGACGCAGTGGGACACACTGGGCAGAGAAGACACAGGTGCTGGGGGCCTGGGCAGAGGCAGGGCAGATGGTCACGGCGCGGAAGGCAGAGCCCACAGGCTTCCTCAGCCGCTTGCGTGCACGGCTCCTGGTGGGTCCCCCGCCATCAGATGCCACCACACAGCCACCCATCCCAGCACTGCCCATGGGGAGGATTCCAGAATCCAGGGGCACCCAGGCCTCCGGGCACAAGGAGGGTCAGGCAGAGGGGCTGAGGATGACACAGACACAATGCCCAGGAGATGCCAGAGGCAGGGGAGCAGAGGGCGCCACTGGTAGGGCAAGGGCAGAAACAGGGCTGCCTTGGAGCGCCGGACTCGGCACCAGGTCCAGGGCAGGTGACACCGCCGCCTGCCAACCTCACCACCCTGAAGCCCTGGGGGAGAGGAAAGGGTCCTCACAGCTGTGGGGAGCGGGAGGCAGACCTGGTGCTCGGGTGTGAGCTACTCCGAGCATCGGAGGCCCTGACCAGGGCAGCACTCGGCCCTGAGGCCAAAGCCCCCCAGGGCCAGCGAGGTGGGAGGCAGCAATGCTAGGCTCAAAACGCAGTGGATTCCTCGCTGGTCTCAGCATGCTGGGGGAAAATGTGATTTCAGGGGCGGCTCCCAGGGGCCGCAGGGAGCTGAGGTCTCTGGCCATCCAGGGTGTCCCTGCCCTCCGCTGCGACTGCCAGGGCCTTCTGCCACCTCTCCCTCTCCTCAGCCACCTCCGAGGCTGCTCTCAAAGCCCATCCCCAGCGTACTTCGGAAGGAGGCAGAAAGCGAAGCTCTTCTCTGTCCCCAAGCCTGTGTCAGGCGCCACCCACCGGACAGGCTGCACCTCTGCCGTACAGGGATGGTGGCCCCATGCACACCTGCAGCAAGTGCCCGGCCACCATGGAGGACACAGAAGGAGCCGCAGGCTCTGCCTGGGGATGCATTCACTCTGGGGAGACAGCCAGGGTCCCCCCTGAGCCCTGAAGCCGCTGCATGAAAGAGGTTGGAATGAGACCGTGGGGACCTGCACCAGGAAGCTGCGACTTCACATGAGGGTCCTTGGAGGCAGAGTGACTCTCGGGAAGCTTGAATACAAAGGGCTGACGGGCTGACTGGGTGGGCCCTGGAGAGGGGGATACAGCGGGCAGCGCCCACCCAGGAGGCTCAAGGAGGACCCCTCAGCTCAGGTCCCTGAAAGGCAAGATCACAGCCAGGCATGCAGCAGGTGCTTACTAAGAGCCAGGCGGTCCTGCATGATCCAGTGCTCAGTGGGCTCCCTGTGGCCACCTCGAACCTTACTCCCTGGCTCTAGCAGAGTGGCCAAGGTGACCCCGGCCCCGGGGGCCGCATCCTCACCAGCACTCGCCAGGCTGAAGGACGAGGCTACTGCACCCTGCCACAGCCCCAGGGCCCTCAGCCAGCCCAGGAGGGTGGGTGGCTGCACACAGCAAAGGGAAAGGCTGTGTCCCAGGGAGCTCTGGGGACAGGGCAGCCCTGCGCTTGGCAGGGCCTCCGCCTCCCAGACACCTGCACGTGACCTGCTGCGTGGACCAGAGCTGTTCAGTCCCATGTCCCGTCCCAGTGTCTCTTGCAGCTCAACTCCCTCCAGAAGTCCCCATTCCCTCCCAAAACACAGGCCTAGCCAGGCGCAGCGGTGCATGCCCGTGACCCTGGCACTCAGGAGGCTGAGTCAGGAGGATCATCCAAAGTTTGAGGCCAGCCTGGACTACACAGCAAAACTCTGTCTCCAAAAAATAAATAAATAAAAATGCAGGCCTAGGCCAGCCAGGTGAGGAGAAGGGCCTCCACACGTGTCCACGGTGCCCTTTCAGGAGGCTGAAGCTGCTGTCTGGGGGGAAACTACCCGCAGCAGGGGGCATGGGCAGGAGGCACTGAAGTTCTGCCGTGGCTCCCGGCACCCGTGTCCACTGTCTTCCAGGGTCAGCCCCAGGCTGAGGAGCCACAGGCTCAGTGGTCTTGAAGGACAGTGGTCAGCTGAGTCACGACCCTAAGGACGTCTGTGTCCTCGTCCCAAAACCCACTGATGACAAGGACTTCACAAAGGGGATTAAATCGGGGTCTTGCACTGGCCAGGCTGCCTGGGCTATCAGGGTGGACACAGAGTCATCGCCTGGGCTCAGAGGGAAGCGATGAGTGACCAGGGCCAGGGCCAGCGCCTGGAAGATGCTGCACGGCTGGGGCTGGAGGAGACCAGAGCAGGAATACCCATGCACCCTGGGGCCACAGAGAATCCTGCAGCATCCAGGGCACAGCCCTGCCCCACCTTGGACTCCGACCGCTGGAGGGGTCCGGGAGTCGCTGGACATGGGGTGGGTACACAGTGTTTGTCTCAAGAGCCTTCAGGTGCAGTCAATTGAGTCCAGGAGGCCCAGGCCACCCCAGAGGTTGGCTCTGGCCAGCCCAGCTCCCAACCCCAGCAGCGAGGCCACTGTGCCCTCTTAGGGTGGCACCTCTTGAAGCTGGGTACCCTGGATCCCCTGTCCGCAGGATGGTGCCACACTGCCTGCGCTTGTGGGGTATGGATGGGTTGGGCCCTGCTGAGCCCTGTGGAAGCTCCAAGACCAAGACCCCAACAAGCAGGGCCACTTAGACCCTGCACCCCAGGAAAACAACATCCTGCAGGGACGAGGGGGCTCCAGGCCCCGGGCAGCGTGGGCAGTGTGGCCCAGTGAGGCCAAAGGGGGCACAGCAGCCACCCCTGTGGCCCTGCTGTCTGTGAGTCAGAGACGGAACCTGCTCACCCCAGGGGCAACAGCCTGGCCTAGGGGCAACACCACCTGCCCTGTGCCCCTCAGGCACAGCCCAGGGAGGGGCATCTGGCTGGGGAGGAGACAGCCCAAGCAGGGCCCCGAGGGCCAGCCAGGCCAGGGCAGCACAGGGACATCCTGTGGTCCTGCTCTGGCCCCAGGACAGGCCTGGCACACACACTGGCATGTGGTGGCATTGCTGTGCCGACCCAGAAGCCAGGTGACACCTGCAGGCATTTGCCACGCTGGGCTGGGGGGGGCCACGTGAGCCCGAAGCCTCCACCAGCTCCTGGCCCAGTAGTACCCACACCTGGGCACAGGCGGTGCTGAGCTGCTGCCAACCACCTGTCTCAGCGGAGACCACCCGGAGCCCCTCCAAGGCTTCCCCAACCATCTGGACACAAGGAGCCCCCTGGGTCCCGCTAGCAAGCTCTGCTCTGCAACAGCACCACGTTAGAGTCCTGCACCATTACCCAGCCTGCCCTCCCCACAAAGTCCTCGGAGCAGTGGGCTCCAGCCCCCCAGAGCCCAGACACACTCACAGAGCTTGGATGTGCACAGAGCTTGGCAACTGGTGCCACTCATAAAGCGACACGCCCACTGGGCCTGGGCTGAGCCACCAAGCAGGAGGGGAAGGAGGCAAATGTGGGCCCCAGCTGGGCCCAAAGACCCCAGCAGGGGAAGCAGGCAGCATTGGCTCAGCATCCAGGCATCTTCAGGGATGACAGGGAGGCTGACCATGGGGACGCTTCTAAGGGGCACTGGCGACCAGGGCTCGGTAGGGAGCGGTGAACCCCTGGCCCCCGAGGTGGGGATGACTCACTGAGAACGCACACCACACCCCCTCACATTCCTGGGTGCCCAGCTCTGCAGAGCCACAGAGCCACGCGGAGGAGGCCGGCCCCTTACAAGCACCCATCCCGGAGGCAGGGAGACGGGGTGGCCCCAGACAGGCTGGACCCTGCCGGCCGGGCTGAGGCCTGGGAGGGGCAGGCAGAAGGCACCTGCCACACCCACACGTGGCCCCTGGACACCCCGGAGAGACCCAGCTCCTCCTGCTCCCCCTCTCTGACCCCAGAGTAGCTGGTGTGGGAGACCCCAAGCCCCAAGCAAAGCAAGGGACGTTTTCCTTCCCTTTGGCCACGTGACCTCCTTGCTGTCCACAGTCCATACGGCCCGAGGGGACCTGGACGTTGGGATTCC